ATCTCCTTGCACTCGTCCCTCGATAGTTTGTCCTGGGAAGGCTTGATTCGCCCGGTAAGGGCGTACTCCACGCGGGTGCACTCCAGGGGGTTTGCGTTGTGGGGTTTGTTGCAGGGGCACGCTTCGGATTTGCCTTTTCCTTTCGAACCGCTTTTTCCATCTGAGATTGCTTCGCTCGGGCGACCGGCAAGGGTAGCGTACACACCGCTTGTTTTACCCCGATTTTTGTCGTATAGGGTGTCCTCATACAGCAAGTCCTCCAGCATATCCCTGTATTCACTTACAGTAGGGATGCGGTCCCCCTTGCGCTCCATTTTGACAATTTCAGTAAGCTCGGAGGTCGCCCAGGAGGGGGCAAAACGGTGTCCCACCGCTCGAAGAAAAGTTTTCGAAGCGAGCGTTCCCTGGCTTTCCGGTATTCTGAATCGAAGCGCGCGGAGCAGTACTCGATGGAAGTCTCTTAGCCAGGTCTGGGGGTTTACGCTTGTGTTGGCCTTTTCCAGGAGGAGAAGGTACTCTTCGCGAACTGTAGTTTGACTGCTTGATTCGCTTGGAGCGTAGCGTTTCCGAAGGTACTGAATAAGAGCACGGAGTGAACGTTGGTTGTTCGCTAGGATCTCCGATCTCGCAGCGTAGAGGATGTCCTTGTCGACCGTTTCCTTAACCCAACGCTGAATAGAGTCGAAGTCCCGCTCCCGACGAGTTTTGAGGACGTCGCGGCCTGATTTTGAAGCGAGGTAGTTCGTATATCTTTCAAAGGTCCCGGGCGTGTTTTGCGTGAGAGTTGGTTGTGCTACAGGCTCCTGGAGTTCTTCCCCTGTATCGTCACTCGCTTCTGCCCTATGCTGGAGAATCGAATCGTAGGCTTTCCGCTTCCGATCATAGGTTCTACGCTGCTTTTCGTTCTGCTGCGTGATCCATGATTCGATCGAGAGTTCTTCATCGTCCTCTCTTGGGTCTGACGGAGACGTAGTGTCGTCTGGGTCTATGAGATCCCAGACGTCTGCTGCGTCGGCTTCGGCGTAGAGAGCGTCGTACCAAACGGGGAAGTCCCGGCGGCAGGTTAGCCTTGTCGTGCTCGTGAGAACAGATATCTGCGACGACATCTTCGTTGTAGAAGTTGCTGTTTGAAGCGAAATTTGTGAAGACCGTAAGGAGTTGATGGTGTTCCGCCACGAACCCTTCGTCTGGTTAACAGTAGAAAGGGGTGATGTGGTAAGCTGGGCTCATAACTGTGGTGACCGACGTCAGGCACGGGCGGCATCAACTAGGAACAAAACGGCTTGTATTCTCTAAGTGAGCGAGCGGAGCGAAGGACGCTTAAGAATACGGTCGCTGGAGCGAGGTCACGTGACCTCGCGGCCGAGACGCGGCAGAGTGGGTCCGGAGGCCCGGAGCCAGCACGACACTAAGCTAAAAGTTATTAAGGATAAATTATAAGTTAATTACTAAAGAACTATCTAAGAAGCCTTAAGTAAGTACTTAAGTCTTAATCTATATATAAGTCCTTATTCTTTAAGGCTGACTCTTATATTGTTGCAAGCTGATATCTCGAAAGTCGGCTGCCGATATACTAAAAGTCGTATTAATAGCTACTTATATAATCTCTACGTAACCTTTCCTTCGGTCGATAGTTCTTCCGTTCCGGTAGTAACCTATTATTTCCCGTATATCCTGTATATATCTGATAGTGTAGCCGCTGGCCTGAGTAGGTCTGTTAACCCTCTGTTAGGCGTAACGAACGGGTCGTAACATGAAGCTTTGGACGAAGGTTAGGTTGCAGATCGATATTAAATAGTTCGCAGACTGAGCTTCTGCGTGATAAGAAACCGGATTCAACGACAAACTACACAATACAAAGCTCTGGGTAGCAAACTGCTATGTTGCATAAAATGTATTTACCACGCGACATTCTTGCAGCTGAGTTACAAAACTGGGGAACGGAAGCTCTATTTATGGACAATTAAGCAAGTACATCAGCTACTAATATGGGAAATATATAAATAATAGTTTCGGAATTTCAAGGATACGCAAGCCTCATTTGTTTGTTGTATAGAGAATATTACCGTGTTCTAGTCTTAGAAAGGCTTTATATCATTCCAGTACCAGGGTAGCTGAAAATAGAAGCTGACTGGCTTCAAACTGGACGTTGCTGGAAATTGTGATCGTAAATATCGATTTAGTCTTATTCGCAGCCATGCCCGGCTACACTGTACGAAGATTTGAAGTAAAGAATAGAGTCAAGACGAGTCAGGCATCTGAATCTTGGTTATCTGACTCAGATCAGCTTGTTTTAGAATCATGGCTTGGGCGTTGCCAGACTTTCCGAAAAGACAATACTTATCCCATCGACCGCGGCATGACCCCATTTTCGCCAAGGGAGGGGTAAAGCCAATCAAGGCATAAATGGCTGCCAGATTCGTTAACTTATGTACTTAATATTTCAGTACAGAATGCTTCTAGTAAAAATCTAGTGCACCAGAAGTACTCGCCACTTCTCATGGAACCTGTCATTTAGAGGCAAATGTTATGTTTTCTATGTATCTAGTGTAATGCGGAGTAAAAATGGCTCTAAAAGTGGAAACTTGAGGACTTGGCGAAAATGGAGTCAAGCCGCGGTCGATGGGATATAATGGCAACCTATTGAATTATATTATCCTTGTATGGCACTCAATATTCAGTTGTCGACTTAACGTCCCACACCCACTTCTGGGCACCCCCCACATTTGGGCACCCCATTTACACCAAAAACGCCGTTTTTCGAAATTCTATATTAAACTAACTACTATACTTACTAAGAAAAGAAAATATATATAAACTATGTTAAGTATAATTATAGCCATCTAATTTTTTATAAAGGTTTAAATATAATAATAGTTATAATATAGAAGTTTAAAACTAAAAGCTTTAAAATGTTAGTAGATACTAGTAACTTACTAGTATTCCTTAACATTAGAAAAATATATTTTCGCTTATATATACTTATTTAAAAAATCTAGGAAATTAATATTTATACTTATTAAAAGTATATAATTATATCTAAAAGAGATTTAAAAGTATTACTTTAGTAAATATAGTATAATTAAGGGTTAAAATTCTATAATAGAAACTTTTCTTAAGGGAAATTTTAAAATATTATTCTAAGCTTAAAGAATTTTTTACTAAGTATAAGAATATATAAATCTACTATATCTTACTTAAAAATTCTAATCATATTAGTTAAATATCTCTACCTATTTTATATATTAAGATATAGGCTAGGTAAATTAGTATTATAAATGTTAAACCTTGAATTTATAATACTTATTATCAATAATACTAGTATATAGCTACTTAAGTATTATAATTAAGTCTTAATCTATTTAATATATATTTATTCTCTTTAATAAGTAAAGTATTTAGTTTAATATAGAATTTCGAAAAACGGCGTTTTTGGTGTAAATGGGGTGCCCAAATGTGGGGGGTGCCCAGAAGTGGGTGTGGGACGTTACCTGCAGCACGGGGGTGGTGAATGGTTATAACCGTGGTAGAAGACTACTCTGTTGAAAGGTGTTGCGAATGTATTCAAAGTAGTCTCAGTCTCGGTTCATCGCATTCCTTGTGTGTGCCTTCGAAAATGCAATGTGCTGTGGCAAATTACTAACTTACTTTGTGACATTACCCAAAACCGTCAACGTATTATTCCACTTCCAAAGAGTAGGAAGCAGGGTCAGGACCAAAAGAACCGAAGAGGTATCGGATTGGGTAGTTTTTTGACAGTACCTGACTAATCTTTCCCACCTCTGCTCATGCAAGATAATGGCGACAAATGATCCGACCCATTGGAGCAGTTTGTCAAAGGCACTGAACATGCTTAAAAAGCGAAAGCCATCTGAGCATGGTGGTGAGTGCAGGCCAGACCTGTTCCATGTAACAGAGGACTTGTGAGACTACAGATGTAGCCTAGGAACGGTATCAAACAAACACTGCAATCAAAATCAACATGGCAGCCGAAATGGAAGAAAGCTTATGGCTTGGACCCTTCCTTTACCAGTAAGGTTTGGCTCATATTCCCTAATGGCTACTATAAAGTGAAGTTAGGGTTAGAAGCTTGGAGGCTCGAATTGAATTATTCTCGCACATCAATTATCAAAGGTGCAAATATCTTCCAAATTAGGCATAAGAGCCAGACGGCAATGCTTTAGTTGTCCAAGGTTTCTACTGTTCAATCACCCAAGTTAGTCCGCTTAGATTTATCATTGGTGTTTTATCACAGAATTTGAGTGGAATGAGCTTCTACATCTGCAAAGTTTCAATATGAGATCTGGCCGACGTAACCATGCGAAAATCGCCCTCATTTGTATTGTTCAGCATGATTTGAGCTCGTTATAAACATTTGTTTTGGGCTTACCGCAAGATGCAGTCCGATACAAGCGTTGTCAGTAAATGCAGATGACAAGATCCATGATAAGTCAAATCAACGTTGTCTATGAGAACTCTTCTCAGATTTATTTTACCTCTCTCGCGTTCAGAGAGACTAATCAGATTGACAAGTCATGAAGCGTTGTCAGCCGCTAATTAGCCCGTTGTAGTAGCTATACATAGACTAATGGTCGAGGTGTGGCACTTCTTGCCCGCATATTATGATCAAGGGGTAGCAGCTTGCGTGTGGGTTGTATTGCATGCTGGAAAGCCTTTGTTGGTTGGATTATGCCTCGAAGCTTGGTTTGAGCCGAGCCCACATTACCTTTAGATAAGATAAGGTATGTAATCTTGTGTCGTACAGGGGTGGTTTCAGAGGTCGTCAGGGGCAACTTCATGGCAACAATGGATCTGGACCGTGCTGATTCACCAATCACACAACGAAGATGAGAAGCGCGTTTTACTTGTTTTTTTTTTCCCTCCCCCCATCCTCGTTCAATAATCCAGACGAGAACTAGCATTCAGCGCCACTCTGATAGAACAAAGCTTCACTCTCTGAAAAATCCAGCATTACACGTCCGCTCCAGACCCAAACCCCCATGTCGTTCCTCCGTAGGGCTCCGCCTGGGAGCACCCGGCCCCGTAACTCGGTCATCATGTCGTCGGTTTCCCCTCAGGCTACCCACTCAACTCACGTTTTGATGCCTCCGCCACCGACGCCACTGTCACATGTTCCTGAGCCTGACGCGGAAATAGGTTAGTCACTGACGCTTCAGTTATTCTCATCTTCGCCCTCCTTCTAGCTGCCACTCATAACAGGCGCTGATTGCTACGCTCTCCATCTGCACGGAGAGCTTTCATAGACTTCCCAAGTGGTGTTATCACGGACCACAACCTCGACCCTGACACCTACCGGGTAACTTTTAATTGGAAACGCATTGGTGTGCGCGAAAAGCAAGTGATTCATGAGGTTCATGCCCAGCTCATCGACCAAGAGAAGGTCTTGGAATACTGGCACCAGGCCTACCTAGTCACCCGCCTGTTGAGGGAACAGACACTACGTTGTGACTTCTATCATGTATTCGAAATACTGGACCATCGCCGCAAAGCAAGCAGATGCTACCTTCTGGTACAATGGGTCGGCTACTCGGATGCGGCGGAAGATACCACTTGGGAGCCACTGAGCAAGATCGACAACATCGCCCCGTTGGACGTGAAGGATTACCTGGTGAAAAAGCGCTTATGGAAGAACCTACGACCGTGGCCCACATGGAAGAGAAAGGCCCAGGAATATGAGGATGCGCTGCAAGCTCAAATGGCAGCACCCAGTTTATTGGATGAAGTCAACCAACGTTTGCGATCCGAATCGACCGCAAGATCGTCTGCCGATCTCGGAGCCGAGAGATGAAGATGAGATTTACTTGGATTTGAAATCTCATTTATCTCGGCTTCAGTAATGGCAACGAAGTACTATTTGGTCAAAACCTAAAGGACATGTGTCACCGTTGGTGATCTTGTCATAGCTACGGCTTCAGAATGCAGGCTGGGAATTACGCGAAAAGGTTGCAGCTAAAAAGCTTCGCTTCATCAGCCCAATCTCTTCTCTCAGAATCAACCGCCATAAGTCGCAAGACACTCTCACTGTGCATCATTTCTAAGATGCAAAATCCGGGATAACGATGGGAAACATTGATAGCGACAGCAGAGACGCCAGTATCGACACCTGGGCGCGTTTGCTTCGCTTCCCTGCGCCCCAAACTCCCGCTGCTGCTGAACGACGCTAACGGTATAGCTGAGGCAACAAAACAATGGGTGTTGGCATGCCAATCACTCATATGGTGCCTTCGTCTCCGTCAAAGGCGATGGGTGCCTGCCCAGAAGCCCAGCATTAAGGGCGTTTAACCAGAGAGGTTGACCAGGGAACACTCTGCGTCTTCGTTTGAATCTTCTAGTGATGTTTAAAGAACCAGCAAACAATAACCCTTGCACAAGCCAAGGGGCGCATGCACACCTCAGCAATCCTCTCCATGGCTTGCTGCGTTCTCGGGAGCCAAACTGATGGCCAAATATCTTCGGGGAATCCTTTTCACGAAGCGCAATTAGAACAGACTAATCTCACCAGTGGTAATAAAAACAATCAAGTGCCATGTATTGAACTGATGGACGTGTGAAGCCACCACAGCAATGAAATTTCTCCCACTTACTTGTTATTTCGTTGAGTCGTTAGAAGTTGAAAATCCAATCTTCGAGAGCAGCTCAACAAACGACGTCATTGTCTTCCGCGGGAGGGGTCAGGGTTAAAATAGATTTTGTGAACATTTGTGTTGCGGAAGAGCATTCATAATTACCTTGCAGGAATTGTGGCTAACAGTATCACGACAGTTTCCAATTTGTCAACATGAGAAACGGTTTATGACTCTTTCCATCTAAGCCAAAAATCGTAAAAGAATCGAAAAGAGGAAGTGAACTCGTACAAGGTCCGATGGTTTGAGTACTATTTCATGAGGCTCATGGTTTCCATCCTAACACCGTTTATACTGGTATTTGCGGCTTAGCATGGATCCACTTCAGGATACCATCCAATGTAGACATGTTGGCGTCTCATGCATGAACCCTATGCTGATAAGATGACCATAATTTTATGCCACTTCAAGCTCCAGCGTCGGGTGGCTTGATTAGAGAAAAGACCAAAATCCTAGGGGGACAATTGAATGCTCATTGAATACAATTATTACAACCCGGGAAAGGATTCCAGATCTCTGTGTTTACTTGAATTAGACTACTGTTATCCAGCTTTGATTTTAGAACCCGTACGCATCAAGTCCATAATGCTTGCAGATCCAAAACCTAGATATCATTAGGATTCTGGAACAAAGTAGTGGTGCAAGAATACATTATTCGGCTAATACCCCAAACTCGATCTCTCTTACAGCGTTCTTATTCCTTCTTCGGACACTGTGTTTACTGAGTACACTTGCAGGACACAGATAATTTAATAGACAGTCGTAAATAATCCGACACAAATGTAATGAATCACCAAAGAAATGAGGATGCTAGCAATGGGAAAACTCTGGCATGGCTTACATCCTAGAAGCCCGGAGCTCACCACGTCGTCGTCAAATGCTCACTCAGGATATGCAAACAGCCTAAGGATATTCTAGAGGTTGACTGTGATCCGAATACACTGCCAAAATGCTTCTTCGTCAAACACTTACAGCCACCACGTCCAATAAGATCCACGCTGTCTCTATATTACCAATCAATAATGATCTCGTAAGTCGGGCCCTCAATTTGCATGGATCTGTTGCACCGAATGGAAGATTATACTGATCAATGGAAACAAGCGGCAGTCTTCTTGAAGTCCCAGTCGCGAGGTTATCGAATTCTTCTGCGACACTTGTTAGAGTGAGGGGGGTGATCAAAGTGAATTCTTGCCAGATCCTTGATGGAGAGGTATAAGAAACCGTCTCAAAATTAAACTTACAGAAACCTGGTGTGAATTTCAACGTGTCTGTTTGGCGACAGCATCTTAGCCGGCTTGCCAATTCTGCATGACGTCTTTGTTCTTTCGCCATGTGACGATCTCACATATACACCTGTGCTGATTTTCTAGAGCAGAAGCAGAAAGACCCCCTCTAAAAGCTCATGGTCTAGAGAGGGGAAACGTCCATGAGTGTCTTGGAGACATGTCCCTGTCAGATACTTTGACCTCATGGTTCTTGGCCGTATCACGCGCTGCAGCTGTCACTTTAACCCTTAGTAGTGGTTTGAACCCTCGCAATTCTCAAAAGATATCGACTAGGTCCTGGATAATTTGCCTATTTTTACAAGGAGTACCTAGGATAGCGACGGACAAGTTGGCCCTCGGTTTCGCATTTCCTCATTGTTGTTTTACAGTGTAGTAGTGGCGGTGCCGAAAAATAAGGTTAGAAGATTCTTCAAAATTCCTTGGCCTGTTGATATTTTTCTATCTATATTGGGAGGTTCCACAAGACCCACATGTCAGCGTTACGGATAGTATACTACTAAAGCAGAGTCATTGAAATTTATACAGATATAGCATGCTGACGCCGCCGATCCCGATCTACAAATTTACGCCGTATTTAGGACTATACTTATTATCACCAGTTTCTGAGAATCGAGGTATTTCTGGCAGTTAATCGATAAAAGTGCTTTTGCAAAGCTGCATTTGATTCGACACTTGTAAGCACTCAGAATTAGGCGAAGACATCATTGATTTTATCTCTTTTTTGTTTTTCTATAAGAAGCTATACTTCTTCAAGGATTTGTGAATGAAGAATAACCAAGTGTCGTGCTAACTAGAATATAACTGTTGCTGACAGTGGGGATCTACACAAGTCTCCAGTTATCTAACTTTATTCGACTTCAGACGGCTTGCACTGGTAAGGGGAAAAGCGCCGATCTTTCTATTTACTTGAATACTTAGTCCTTCAAAATGAAATACTACTTTGTGAGGTATTCAAGAACGACTCACCTGAGTAGAAAGGCCAATTTGTACTTAATAAGATGCCAAATACATAAAGAGCGATGGTGTCCTTCGCAACAAACGATCTTGTACCTTCAATAACATTCCAGCGACAACACTCTTTTTGTCACGTCATTCTTTTTATCAAAACAGTCTTTCTGCTGTGTTCCACTCGTTACCTCTGCTTATCACCTCTTGACCCAGCAATCAAGTCAATTACAAGGTAATTTCACGGTATAGCATGTCTTTAACTATCACTAATAATTTCTTAAGATGAAGGTCTCAATCACCCTTACGGCATTGCTTTCTATGGCTTCGACTATATACGGATGTGATCTTTACAAATTCTGCCATTGCTACGATTCAAATGGAATGCCGAACGACAAGGCCACTCAGAAGGTGTGCCCAGGCAATATAGAGAAAAGAACCGAGTTCGGGGTCACATTTGACGAATGCCACCATCACAAGTGGAGGGGGCTTGGTTATGAGGTATTAGGTAACTGCAAGTTCCGAGAATCTTGCCAATGGGCGGGGGCGACTGGGACGGACTCTAGCTGCAGAGCCAAGGTCGATGATATTTTTGGCACCAGCCGAATTTGAGGCCTTAAAGACACCTTCAATGGCTGAGCGTTGTTTGCTTGAAATGGTAGACATCTGATCAACTTTCAACAAGAAAATTTGAATGTACTTGGGAGCTAGGATGAGTTTCTATCCGGTTTATTAAGTGAATTCTATGCTGTAACCGACTGAAGTAATTGGTGATGTATAAGTTTGGACGTCACATAAGCTCATTAATGCCATGGTGCCTTGTTTGCGCAATGTGCTAGAGTCTTCTAAAGGATTTATCTTCTTTCAATACTTTTAGATTAGTGACAACGGGGTTTCTTTGGGTTAGATGGCATGAGTTACGATGAGACAGCCTGAGATAGCATGTACTAGAGATCCCTGCCAGCCGGCAGGATATGTATAGTGTGCCTCGACGGCTGTAGATTGGAGAATAATTAACGCAATTTGCTGGTTAGAAAGAACTTGTCTAACGTATTCGTCACCGACTTTAATATCTATACCTTTCTTGACATGACAAAACAACAATGCCAAAAGTCGGGTTTCATGGTTCCAGCGTAACAATGCCCCAAGATGCAATATTCTCACAAAAGCAATGTGTATCCATGAACCTAATAATTTACCAGTTTGGAGTGAGAACTGATTATAAAGAAACGGTTATATCATTCGCGGTGTATGTAGAAGGGTCAGGCTCGATTAATACATACGCTGCTCCCAAGAATGTGGCTCTATGAGATGATAGTATTTTACCTATTAACTACTGGGCTTGCGTACATTAACGTTGCATATACACCACAATGCCAGGATACATGCACAATTACCATCACTCTTTGAAAACTGACCAGTCGACATCCAACTGAAACCCTGTTTAATGGTTCGCAATATCAGTCGTGTAGTAATGGGCAGTTATTCTACAAATCCCATTGGACGAACTTGAAGACTGGATAGTTGATAAGTGATAGGATTAGCGTTTTTTTGAAATACTTCTTTTTACTTGAAAGCTGTCAGGCAATACGGGAATCCAAGGCGAGACTGTAGAGGCCAACCTTCAGATTGGGCACTGATCATGTAACGGTGTTTACACTTCGCCTTCGACCTTTAGACAAAACTATCCAATGGATACTTTCGCTTCTTATTGCATATGACTATTTAGATACCCTGTAACTCCATGAAGTAGTCAGAATATTTAAGGAACAGGGATTATTATAAGACAGAAAGGTGTGCCGAATTGATGAACATCCTATGCTAAGGAACAGAGTCAAATATATATAGTTTGACAAAAGTTTGGTCATAAAACTTAGCTATTCTTGCTTTAATATGAGACTATCATCTAGAAGATAGGTTTGGAAAGAAGATTACCGGTTCTTGTTCAATAATATCATACTTGACGAAAGTAATGTTGGCTATTCTAGTGTAAACAAATTCCGACTTGATTTCCAGCTATTGAACTTGATCTATTTGCTTGTTAAACTAGAAACTCGAAGCTTGAAGGTATGCTCTATTCGTCTAACGTGATTAATGCTCCTCTGGATTTCTATGAGCTCAGATGTATCCTAAAACAAGTCAACCAGGCGAAGAGCGTCAAGGTGCCCTACTGATGTTTGCAGTTGGTTTCATTTGGTATAATAGAGGGTCCTTTTTCCATTTTTGCAAGGCCTTAAATATGTTTCTTAGCAACCTTGGACCCTAAAATGAGACGGCTTCCTCTTATTCCGTTTTTCCCTTCCTTCTTTTTGACGATATTCCGCTCCTTTAGTCCTCTTCAATCCCGCTTCATGTGATTTTGTGACCTTTGAACTCTTCTGTTCATGAAATCTATCTGATAGCAGCCCAGTTAGGGCCCCTTTAAGTCTTTCCAAATTTTAATAGGCCTTTGTTTTCTCCTTTTGTCTTTTAAGCCTTGGTGGATCTGTGTCTGGGTTTCTTGTCTCGTCTGAGATGTCTATTTAAAAGTTTTGCATTTGCCAAGCCTCCTGTTCGCTTACATTTATGCGTGTCAAGTACGGCGCTATGAGCAGCACATGTCACAAGGAGTGCAGTGACACAGGGCCCCAGATAGAGTCCGCAGACCTCAACTAATGATGTTACTGATGTGACTCCTAGGTTTCACGAGGGCTAAGCTAGAGTGTTTGCAGGCGAAAGAGTAAACTGGAAAAAAGCATAGGAAGCAATATGGAAACGACTACGAGCCTCCCATGACTCCCGAAGCAGCTGTTCGCACTCTTGGGGCCGGCAAAAAGAGATAAGTAAATACTATCCTAACCCTAATATACGGCTTGAACTATGCAAATGAGGCATTGGCTCCATTATAGGAATTCTCATATTATCTGACCCTGGCTCTCGTTGTTCCCGCTACTGAAGAGGCATTTGATCGTTCATTTGCGTAGCTGTTAAAAAGGTAAGACATGAGAGGTGGTGAACGGAGACCAAAGCGTACAACCCTCAAATGAGTGAAACAGGTGACCGCTTGGTACATGAGGTGGTGATAAGAAAGCAAAATGGTCCAAGTCCCGATAAAGGAAGGCAAATAAAATTGCCATATATTTTCTTTCTCGAGTCTGATAGCAAGAAGGCAAAGTAAATGACCCGAATAGGTAGGAGCTATTGTGAGGAATTTCCCCTCTTATCATACTTTCCCCTTCGAGAGTCAAAATGGTCCTAGCGGCGCTTGCAGCGATGCAGCCCACGGCGGAACGGAACTTCGGGCATTCACAACTAACGCCATAAATCAATACAGAGGGCAATTGCTGCGATACTTAACCTGTGTATACCCAAAAGATGCCTGATTCCAGATTTAGCTGTTTAGTTGTTGCAATTGAGATAGACGAAGCCCCACACGGTGAATTACTCCGGCGAATACGAGTTTAAACAGATTTGCTCATATGTGCCTGTGGTCATTTCGCGCGGCCCTACGGCAGTCCGCAGGGCGCACTGGGTCAAAATTCAAGGTAGTGATAGGAACACCCCATAAGCGTAAACATATGTAATCTCGCGTAAAACGATTTTTGTTTTTGTACATTTCTAGGTGGGTATTTGCCCTTTTAGGAAATAAGGGTTTACTACATAGAACCACAGCCCCCTACGAGGCTCTACAATAATCCGTCGGAGGTTAGATCTTCCGGTTCCGGTTGATTAGGTGCATGGTCTGTGCGCCCAAATCGACAAATAAATAGGAATTCAGTGGGGCCCAGAACTTCTTCCTTTTCCCCACGCCAAGCAGAGTTTAGGTATGTGACCCCTACTGTACAGAAATTTACAGCGCTCTCTACACTGTTTTACAGAGATTCAGTTTTTATCCTTTGTTACACTTCCGTTTTCTTTTGTCTTCTCTATTTTTGATTTTTTTTTCCGATTTTTTGAGCTTTTGTACATTTCTGTACAATCATTTGCTAACTGTTAGCTTTTGTACAGATTCGCACATCCCCGGGCGCCAGGCGTCGCCCCCGTCACATTACGTACAGTTTTCCAGCAAAGCTTCACAACATCCTACAACATCCTACAACATCCTACAACATCCTTACAATCCCGAACGACACTCGACATCACTTTACACTACCGTACATCATGGCTCAGGACATGGAGCTGGCTGCCGAGCTCGTGCCGGATAAGATCGGAGACATAAAGATTCCTACGGAGTTGCCCGCCGAGCTACCCTCTATGTACACTCATGCTCTCGGAACCGGCTACTACCTCACCCGTATGTACACTTCTGTAATTCCCCTACAATATTGTACTAACTTGTTACAGATGGTATTCCTCATGCCAGCAACACTCTCATTAATAACATTCTGGACAATGAGGAAGCGGAGGTATAGTCTCCTTACACCCCCGTACGTACCTTACTCTTTTGCTTACATATTGTATAGGCCCGTAACTTGATCGATGTTCGCTCTGCGGTCAAGAACGGAAGACGTCAGAAAAAAGCGCTTGAGTACAAGCGTGCGCAGAATGCCAACTCTTTCCTTATGCACGTGTACGGAAATGCGCGCGAGGGTAAGGACCAGTGCAAGAACTGCATCAAGGGCAATGGTCCGTACAACACCTGTGTTGTTCTGGACGGCTATGCTAGCTGCGCCAACTGTACATACAATTCCGGCGCCTCCAACTGCAGCTTCGGTAAGTTTCGTCCCAACCTGTACACAACTAAACATGAATCTGATCTATTCTATACAGCCCCGTCCCCCTCGAAGCGACCTGCCGCAGAGATTTACACTTCCGCCCCGAGCAGTAAGAAGTTGTGCGTCTCCCGTGCGGAGTATGACTTTCTCAACGCGGTCCGTGGCGTTAAGCCCAAGCACATACGACTCATTAGAAATGCGTTAGTTTCTGTCGCAGACAAGCTCGCTGATGTTAAGTACGGTACGTTATCGTACATGTCTGGTGCCGTCTGTACATCTTTGCTAACTACAGTTATGTACAGATGAGAACGAAAACATCGAGATCGAGCTTTGTCACGACTAAGCAGGACCTTACAAAATCCTACACGACCGTACAACAACTGGAGATGACGTGAACATGCATTTACACAATGCCACAGATGCCTACCAAGGCGTATGGAATCGGGAATCCGGCGTACAGAAACGATAGGTATACTTACAGGAATGGGAGGATGGATACAGGCGTTTACGGTTGGTAACTTTGGTTTGCGGGTCGGGCACTTCTGTACAGGGTTTGGCACCCCTGTACAGAAGCGTGGGACTGTCCGTACCCTTGCGTTTTTAGGTTTTTTTTAAGATACCCAATTCGTATTTCTTTGCCAACATCTGTATTTTCCCGTTCTCCCTCGTGAATCTCCGTATGGACTATTGCAGCACCTCACCATGGCTGGCCGGCGACGTATCGACCTTACCCCTTTTCAATCTATTATTACTGAAAAGTTCCAGAATGGCTGGACTTATTCTAATATAATTACATATCTTTCCGAATCATTCCAAATTCAGGTCTCTCCGTCAACATTTAAACGTTTCCTACAAAGCTTAAACCTCCGCCGCGAAGTCCGTACAGAATTTTCCAGCGCCTTACTACAACGTATCTTCCAGCTCTTCTTTGATCATAGGCTATCCGATTTAGATATTCTTTTATGCTTACGGACGGAAGGCTTCACAGTCTCACAACGTGGCTTAGAAGATATTCGAAAATGCCACAAACTATGGCGCCGTCAAACCCCCGAGCAGCTTCAAGCAGCATTTCACCAAGCTGTAAACTTCCTTGCCTCTACAACAAGTGATGAAGCACGCGTTACACGAGACTTTGGCCGAGAATTCCTCTTTACATATATGCGCCAACGTGGCCATATTATTAGCCGCTCGGTCTTATATGAAGCATATCGTACAGTTTTTCCCGAGGAAGTTGCAAACCGACTGAAAGAGATCCGATACCGGCGGAAAGGTTGGACTACGCCAGGTCCAAACTTTATATGGTCACTCGATGCATATGATAAACTACTTCCGTTTGGGTTTGAGATATATGCTAGCATCGATGCATACTCCCGTTATATTGTGTGGTTTTACGTTGGGTTTTCTGCACATACGGCCCGTTCTGTATTAGCCCAATATCTATCTACACTTCTATCACGGGGTATTATGCCACAAACTATTCGTTCAGACCGTGGTACAGAAACTATCTTAACTGCTGGTAGTCATTGGTATCTATCACAGGACCGTACAAAGAAGGCCCCTTTACAGCCAGGCCAAGACGTTCCTATTCAGTTCCGTGACTGTTGGATCTTTAGTAAAAGTATCCATAATGTTAAGATTGAAAGCTGGTGGAACCAACTTTGTCAAGCACAGTCTGCAACTTGGAGAGTACGTATTATTTACCTTTATATCTATTTATTTACTAATAGTATTAGGCATATTTCTATCGATTACAAGCGTTAGGTTTATTTTATAACCAATCGCTTTCTGACCGTGTTGCCTTATTATTTATCTTTATGCCACTTATCCGTAAAGACTTTACCTCTTTTGTTCAACTCTGGAATAACCATCGCATTCGCTCACAAAAAAGTCGCCCACATGTTGTTTCTGGTCAACCATGGAAACTTTATCATCATCCAGATCATCAAACCGCACAAGACTTTGCTCAGCCAATCGATCACGTAAAGATTCAAAAACTTCAAAACTTACTTGGAAGTGAAGAACTTAATTTGGATCAATTCCTTCCGCACGAAGTCTTTCAAGTTTGTAAAGGTATTATGGAGCCTATACAAACCTTTCCACCAGTTACAAACTTCTGCGGTACACAATATCCACGTATTGAAGCATATAACTTCCTACGGCAACGTCTTGAAGAATATATTGAGGCTAGGATTCAACCAGAACTTCACTTACTACCAAAACAAAATGGAGGTATTGAATGGGTAAAAGAACAGTTCCGTAGCCGCGGGATTAGTATAGATGAACTTTATACATCACTGTCAGGAAGTGATAGTAGTTCAGAAATAGATGAAACTTGAGTATATAGAGTATACCTAAACGATTGTTTCCTCTTGTCGTACTACTATTTCGTCCTCTTCCTTATCTTCCTGGCTACCCCCCTTAAGAGTTATATCCTCCTGAATAACGTCTGTATGGCCCTGCTGCTCAACTTGCGAGTGCGTACGCTTGCGTGACTTTATTCCTTCTCTCTCCTGCTTTATTACTTCTTGTGCCTTAAGAGAAGGCTTTCGTTCGGTTCGAGTTTGAATTCGAGTTGGAGGTTTAGGCGTAGGCGCTTTCGTAAACATATTGACAGTAGGTAAAGGTGTTGTACTAGTTGTTACCATGTCAAGCGTATGTTGTTTCAGTCGTAACTTCTTTGATACTTGTGGTTCAGTAACAAGCGGATCTACTTGACTTTCGGAAACAAGTGCGATAGTGTAAACGTCTTTGTCAGGGGTAATTGAGGCTTCGCGAAGAAAGGTAAAAAGGTCTTCAGCCTCGTACGCTACCCCACGAAACTCATGCATATCCGTAGGATTCTTTGGAGTAACGGGCATTGCCTTCCAGTTTCGGTCAAGGAATTGCTTCTCAGACGTAAACTTTACTAAGACCTTACTCATCATATCTGTATGTGAAGTAAACTTAGAAGTTAACAAGAACTGTGACTTCCCAATAAACTTTTTAACAGACTGAACCCGAGTGTATGTTCGAATAGAGATTCCATCTATATCCGTAACATAGAAAGATGCAAGCCATAGGTGAATAATAATATCCACAGTTGGGTTCGGAACTGGTTTCTTCTGGGTTTGCTGGATACTAGCTGTACGCTCCTCTGAGCCCTTAATAAGAGCAGTAAGGAGACTATTGTCTGGCTGTGTATCTGGTATATAAAGTGCTTGTTCGATCGGGTTGGTTGTAGTATTGGAAAGTCGTGTACGTGATGAAATCGTAGCCGTTGGAGTTTCGAAGTCGTCAGTATTGGTAAGGTCGATTTCGTCCGGTTCTTGTACTTGGGATAAATCGATTGAACAAAATGCACACGTCTTCCACTTCCATAGCAGTTTTGCTGAGAAGTGGTCCAGGTTAGCCCGCTTGGGGCACCTTAAAGACATATTCGTACAAAATATGGTAAATATTATTGTTGAGAATTGAGAATACACTCCTGTGCGGCCCCGTAAAACTCTGTACATGCACGTATACGAAACATAGAATTCGCTTAAATTTGTGATAATTACATAGTAAAGATAAGAAGCTTAACTATCTATACGGGTGGTGTATGCTTATCTCGTTTATGCATCCTAATTAGGCAATGTTTGAATTTTGACCCAGTGCGCCCTGCGGACTGCCGTACGGCCCCACCACAACACCTTCCTGTTTCAAGCATCAAGGCGAGGATTCTCCATCTACCTATATTACTATCCCCGTCTTTTGTAAGCAAAGGATGTCTTTCTTGCGCAGTGCCAATTGGTGGGCTTATAAAAATGACTCGACTTTTAGTCCGCACTCGGCCTGATAGACTTGATCAAGCTTTCGAGCCTCAACGGCTCAGGAGACCGGGAGATCGGGTCCCTACTCGCACCTACCCGATGTTACCTAGAGTAGTGGCTACCTGCATGCTGAAATTAAGATTTAGAACAAAAATGAAGGAATTAGGTCAATTTGTTCATCTATCTCATCATCGTTATCTCGGAGCACGTCTTCAACACGTTTCATGCCACTCTGCCGACAGCGGACATCATGTTCTGAAGTTGAGACTTCCTGCCTAGTGGTGGTATTTATCATGAACAGGTTTCCGTACCATGTCTGAACTCTTCAGGCGTTCTTTGCTTAGTCTTGCGCCCCCCACACTCTTTTAATCTTATCGTCATGAAATTCGGACTTCATGCCCTGACTGCGGCCACGGTGCTTGCTGCTTCAGGCCTTGCCACTTTGACGCCGCGCGCAGCAAACAAGAATGTTTTGCCTGCCAGCCATGGTTACATCATTGAGCTAGAACCCAACGCTTCCATCAACGGTCGAGGCCTGGAAGGGGATGATGTTGACGTGCACTCTGCATTCCACCGCCGAGCTCAGGATGTGCTGGACTATTCCGTGAGGCACGAATTCAAGGACCCAGAATACTTTTACGGACTCTCCATCAACGCAAAAGAAGACACCGACATTACCACTTTACTCGCATTACCGCAAGTCAAGCAAGTCTGGCCCAATCGCTATTATGAGCGCCCCGCTCCTGTTGTTTCGGGACGATCGCCCAAGGCTCCCAGTGATTCCGTTCCTGTTGGTATCAAACCTATTCATCTGAGAGAGACAGCAAAGGTTGCCACTATCAACGGAACGAGCGATGTTCTTTCCAGTTTAAAGATGACCGGTGCCGACAAAGTCCACGCTCAAGGCTTCACTGGAAAAGGCATCAAAATCGGATTCTTGGACACCGGAGTTGACTACCGCCACCCTGCTCTTGGAGGTGGTTTCGGGGAGGGCTTCAAAGTCGCTGGAGGCTATGACTTTGTTGGAGACGACTTTGCAGGCTGGAATGACCCTGTACCAGACGGCAACCCGTTGACAGTCTGCCTTGACGGAGGCCATGGAACACATGTTGCTGGTATGTGGTTTACAATGCGACGCAAACCCGAATAATCTCCCAAAAGTTGGCTAACTTTTTCAGGAATTATTGCTGCAAGAGACCCCGCCGACACTGGGTTTGGTATTGTTGGAGTCGCACCAGATGCAACCTTGTACGCTTATCGCGTCCTGGGTTGCACTGGAGGTGTAACTGACGACATCCTTATGCAAGGTTTTCAAAAGGCGGCAAGCGACGGCGTCGACCTCATCAGTATGTCGATTGGTGAGACTGCCGTCTGGGAGACAGGTTCACCTTATGTTCCCCTTCTTGCCAAGATCCAATCTCAGGGCATTGGTTTGATCATCGCTGCTGGAAATGAAGGTGACCAAGGCATTTACCTGTCTTCTGCCCCTGCACAAGATGCTAGTGTTATCTCAGTCGGCTCTGTTGGAAACACGGTTTTCACAACAGTGTATAACGCTGTTGGTTCAGATGGATCCACGATTGAGTATGGCCGCATTGTTCCCGTGGACGCCTCGGCTCGTTATAATGTCTTCTATGGAGACGATGATGACGGAAATTGCGTCGACCAGGCATGGACCGACGCAGCTGCGTCTTTCCCGGACAAGGATCGGCTGATTGCTTTAATAAGCTCAAGCAGCAGCTGTGTCTATAACCTTGATGTCCTCACCAACTCGACTGGTATCAAAAACGTTTGGGAATGGATGCCTGACACTGCGGACTTGGAGATTGACTCCCCTGGAGCCAACGGAGACGTTGACGTCGTGAGACTGAGAAAGTCCCAGTCTGATAAGATATTGGCAGGTATTGCAAAAGAGGGCAGGAATTTCACATTGACTTTTGAAGATCAAACGGTCCATGAAATTCAGCAACCCACTGGTAACACCACATCGTGGTTTTCGACTTTCGGACCAACTTTGGAGATGTCGCTGAAACCTCAGGTCTCAGCGCCCGGTGGATCCATCCTCAGTACTTGGGTTACCTCGAATGGATGGGGATACGCCCTCATCTCCGGCACATCAATGGCAACGCCTCAGTATGTATTTTCCAATCACTTTCACAACTGAACTAACTCTTTAAAGCATTGCTGGATGCTATGCTCTCATCAAGCAGAAATATCCCAGTCTGTCACCTAAGGAAATTGCCCGCCGTCTGCAGTCTTCGGCAACTCCACTGAAAGAGTACAAAGGAAACGGTTTGTTAACAACGGTGGCCCAACAAGGATCCGGTCTTGTCAATATCCTGAAGGCTCTTACGTCTGAGACTGTCTTTTCACAGACGGAATTCAATCTTCATGACACACCCAACCCTGCCAAGCAGAATTTCACAATTGAGAACAAGTCGTCCAGCTCCAAGACATACTCAATTGGCCACAAGGGAGCAGCAGAGGTCAATGCTCTGCCTCTTGTGAAAAGCCTCGATGCCAATGATATGTTCTACTGGAACCCCAATTCAAACGCTGTCTATGCCGACGTGGTGTTCTCCTCTGAGTCGCTTACGATTCCTGCAGGTGGCAAGGCAACTGTAGAATTCACGGTCACTCCACCTAGTCTTGATTCAACTCTGTTGCCTGTATACAGCGGGCATATCACCGTAAACGACGGCAGCGACGAATTTGACCTTCCATACCTCGGCATTCCATACACTCGAAACAGTGCGTCTAACATATACACGGGTAACGTCAAAAACCTTGATGCTCGGCTTAATCCTCCTGTGGGGGTTTCTCCCCTTCCGTTTTTAACTGCCGGTGACACTGGCACTCGCAACATCGACAAGATGGAATTCACCTTTCCCGCCAAGAAGGTTGGAGAGAACCAAACTCAACCTGCGGACAACGATCCGAACTTTGTCTTTTTCATTGATCAACCTTCTGCATATGTCCGTCTGGATGCCGTGCCCGTTGACCTGGCGTCCAACCCTGCCTACAACTTCACACCCTCGACTTTAGGCTATATTCCCAGGGAACTTTCGAACTCGACTGGTTTTGCTAACACCACTACAATTCACCCGCCTCTAGACCTTGACTCTTTGGACAACTTTGCAGGAGTTAAGAGCTACGGTTTGGTCGCCTCCTTGTACGGAGGTGATAAGCCAAAGTACACCAACTCTATCAACTTCCGTGGTTACAGTCTCTACAGCGTTGAGTGGACGTGGGCAGAAGTTGAACTTGCTAACGGCACTTTGTATTCACTGCCGAACGCGGATTACCGTGTGCTTATTCGAGCGCTTAGATGGGGAGGAGATATCCACGATTCGAGCAACTACGACAGCTGGCTGAGTCCTATTATCACGGTTAACATCACCGACCCTGGTTACCCCAACCCTTGGCATTCGATTTAAACTTACTACTGTCGACATCATAGAGACAGGTGTTCAAGTTAGAGAATGGGTTTCCCGATAAGCGCATGCACAAGGTCTCAACTTATGTTCCATGTCTCGTAACACATGTACCTAGGCTTTCTACATTCATTACTAAATCTTTCATTTTTCAAACTCTTACCCTTCATTGTGCTTATTTGTTCTTGGTATCGTTTCACCGGACAGAGAAACTCTTCAAAATCATTGGAATCAGAACATGTTCAGCCTTTGAAATGCCATGTTTGAACTAGTCGCGGGTTGTGATGAATTAGCTGAACTGAAACGAGAGAACAGATCAAGAAATAGTTAAACGGAGTAAACGGCTCTTGTATCGAGAAGCGGAAGTGTCAGGTGAATACAATAACCCGCCCTAATTCATGTTCTTCAGGAGGAAGCATTTGAGCTAAGGTCAAGACATGTCGAGATATCTAACTGCCAACATATGGAAACAGTATAGCAAAGTCATGCAGAATGTGCATGTGCAATTCCCCAGCAGCTAACTGTATATTTCCAGAAAAAAGCCTCGTACTTGAGCACACATTCGTACCCTGATGTTGAAGATTTTGCTTGTTCAAGAAGGACGACTTTGCTGGTTAAGGTATGTCAGGTTGGCAGTCCTTTCAATTGAGATTAATTACCCAAGAAATCACCGATAAAGAAAAGGGGCCAATGTTATACTCTCAATGTGACGGACTCTCCAACCTCTTTTTTGAATTGGCCTTGTCATATTTCCGTAAATCCATAGTTCCGAAGGCTATGTGTCACACGGACCACTGCATATATCGGGGCATGCATTCAACCCATGCACCCGGCTATTGTTTCCCATATAAAACTAACGGGGATGTCATTTTGTGCATGAAAACCTTCAAATCGGTAATTACCGAATAGACGGTTATATAATCAACCCAATAACCCCTAGACAGTCTCTAATGAATGGAAGCATCTTTTTTTACCCCATAAGTGGTGGGCAAATTGACTGCGTGACACTATGCTAGTACTCTGCCAAGCCTTCTTCCCCCGCAAGATAATTGAATTTGCGGGGCGACCCTGAACTAACCAATAGAAAAGCAAGACACCATGCTTAAAGCTGAGCTCGCAATCGGTTGAAGTTCGGTTGGAAGAAGCACAGATCAATCTGTCCCTTTTATTTACGTCCTTCACGCGTCAAGGTTCAGCTGCCTTCTTGCGTCCATGACATGCTGCAATTCGCATCGTCTCCAAAATGTTGTCTTTTTTGAGATCGCCTCTTCCGCCGCGTACCAACAATGCTGCCAACAATCCTGTGCTGTATGAGAGAGGCAAGTCATCTGTCACATTCTCCGCGCCTGGTTCGGAGTACATTATGACACACCGGATTCCGCCGACAAGCCGTGAGAACGGGGTTTCTATAATTCAACCACCATTCCACTATCATATCTACCAAGACGAGTTTTTCCGTATTCAGTCGGGCAAAGGAAACTTCTATCGAGGGGTGGAACCCAAGCCATTCACCACACTCTCGAACGCACCTGGCCACCCAACAACAGCTTCCGTTAAAGCTGGAACTTATCATCGCTTCGAAAATGCAACCGACACAGAAGACCTTGTGGTAGACATCCACCTGACACCAGAGTCATATGAAAACGAACAGCGGTTCTTTCGAAACTTTTTTGGATACTTGGACGACTGCAAGAGTGCTGGAACCGAGCCCAGCATCTTTCAGCTATTCGTTTTCCTGCATAGTGCAGACACGCCTTTAGCTGTACCAATTCCATGGCAATTCCTTGGCCGAGTTGTCAGTAGGATACTCCTCATCACTGTCGCCTTCTGGGGACGTTGGGTACTTGGGTATAGGCAAACCTATCCAGAGTACTATGATTCAGAGAAGACCAAGTGATGTGTCATCTGGGAATAAAACCGTCAAATGTTTACCTTGTAAACGATATCGAACCGTTCGAGAACCAACGGCATGATGAAGGGCGTCAAACAGATGGCGTGGTGTGGCCAAGGATTACTCAGTGTGCTCGCACTGCTTCCTGATGATGCGCATCAAGCTTTCACTTAATTGCCCTGAAAAAGTAGTCTGTCATCAAATGTATACTTTCATACAGGGCATTTTCTTTCGTCTTATGTAGAAACCATTCTTGAACCGAATATCAGGATGTCACCCAGCAGCGCCAGACGTACTCATTCACAACACCATAAGTTTTCGACATTGGATATTAAAGAAGAAAACTGGCTAAATTATACCGCTCAATGTGAGACATAGCATGATTCCAAGTCTTGACCTCCCTATATTCCATAATATTTACTGTATCAAACTCGCAGATTTAGGACAGGTTTAGATAGTCGAAGTATAACATAGACAACAAAAACAAGTCAGAACATAGTTACACGTAGCTTCTCTCTTGTCTATTCCATAAAGCCAACCTGGCACTTTCTGTGAATTTCTCATGATTTGGACTTGTAAGCAACCTTCAAGCCTTCGAAGGGTTTCCCAACCATAGCCTGCCACAGATCCAGCATGTAGAGTCTCCTTGGTGCCCAAAGTCCATCTCCTGCCTTTGGAAATACTTTGGCTGCGTGTTTAACATATGTGGAAGTCAGGTTCATTATGGGCCTGGACTTCATACCTTCGGCGCTTTTAATGTAAGGAGTCACAGATGTGACGCCTTGCAATTTCATATCGCGCCAAAGTCGCACGAGGTAGGTGCCAGTTGCTTCAGCACCCAAGGTCCATGAAGCATTTGCGTAACCGAATACATAAGCCAAGTTGGGAACATCCTGAAGCATGCAGCCTTTGAATCCAAATTTCAGGTTTGGGTCTATGTGAACACCATCCACCGAAATGGATATTGCCCCTCCAAACCGAATCCGTAGGCCTGTCGCAGTGATGATTATGTCTGGCTTGAGAGTTTTACCGGACTTCAGGAAGATATGTTCGTTTGTAACATTATCAATGATATCTGTGACAATGTCGGCCTTCCCAGATCGTAGAGCTGCAAAAAAGTCGGCGTCCGGGCATACACAAAGGCGCTGCTGCCAAGGATTATATCGTGGCCTGAAATTTGGATCCACAGGTATAGAAGGCGGTAGTTCCTTAGCAGCACGACCAAGCAAGACTCGACGAGCTGATCTTGGAAAGAGCACGCAGTAGTAGTAAAACAGATACCCCATCAGCATGTACTGGAGCCGAAGAATACGGCTCGAAATTCCCTTTGGCAGGGCAGAGGCCATAAGTCTGCTTAGGAGTCCTTTTCTCTTTGGTAGCCCGATGATGTAGGTTGGACTTCTCTGAAGTATTGTTGTGCTCTGAGCGTCAGTCGCAATGTTAGGAAGCAGTGTCACTGCAGTGGCACCACTTCCCACAATGACTACATTTTTGTTTCTGTAGTCCAAATCCTTCGGCCAAAATTGTGGGTGGACCACAGGGCCTGAAAAAGTCTCAATTCCAGGTATTTGGGATGCCAGGGGCTGTTCGTAATCATAGTAGCCTGTACCTAAGACGATAAACCGGGCCTTGAAGGTCTTCGTTTTCTCACCGCCCACGGTTGCCTGCAGTCTCCATAGGTTCTCTGTCGATTTCCAGTCTGCAGAAGTGACCTGGTGATGGAATCTGATGTTCTTGTCGATACCTTGGGTAGAAATAGACTCATGAAGATAAGACTTGATTGCCGGACCACTTGCCAACGGATTATCACCCTTCCACGGATTCCAGGAGAATCCAAAGGTGTATATGTCTGAGTCTGATCGTATGCCTGGGTAGCGGAAAAGATCCCAAGTCCCCCCGATGTCGCCCCGCCCCTCTAAGATAGCATACGAAGCATTCTGCGGTCCTTGACTTTGCAAGTAGTACGCCGTGTTGATACCAGATATACCGGCCCCAATGATAATGACGTCAAAAGCGTCTTCAACAGATGAGTAAATAGTTGGGTCCATAGTGAAGAGATCAACAAATCATACAATGCATTCAAGCAGGCCTATCTCATTTCAATGAACGAGGTCCTTGGGCCGTTCTTATAGTGGGATCTCGCTGCACGCGGCCTTCCGCTGTTGGGATGCGTTACAGAACGAAAGGTCCGAGCGAAAGCTCGCTCCTGGACTGGAACTACCTTGTAATCTATTGTCCGCATGCTCCAACGACCGCATTATGAGATGGTCCCCTGACTGAAAAATTGTTTTCTGGATGCACAGCTCTTTCGTACTCATCCGAGACAGAAAACGGACTTTCTGTCTCCGCGTCCGCTACAGTGCCCTACGACTGTACGATAGTAGACTTCGAACTTTATAGCCTGCAATCTCAGTTGAACAGTTTACATGCCTATCTCGAATTTCTCGCCCTCACTCGCCTTTTGCTTGCCAACAAAATTTTTCTTGGTCGTTAACGTAAACAAACTCTTTCTCAACCAGACATATGCAGTGCAAAATCTTCATTCAGTAAGAGTTGTGGAGCTCATCAGGATGTGATATTCGCGTGGTCTCTACTACCCGAGATTTCATGAATATCATCTAGGATATTCCTATGCCAAGTCTCCCGCACGGTGTAGCAGTTAAACAAAGTTTCTTGCGATGCGAATGCGATCACTAAACTGCAGAAGCCAATTTCTGAACATAGCCTCGGACATGCAGGCCAGCGGCCGAGGTAACTGATGGCGCCAAAGTGACCACATTCGGCTAGAAAAAAAACATCTGGTTTTCGTCCCATCTCTCGATATCGCTTATGTTTCTTCGAATCATAACCCATTGCGGGCAAAAGAAGTCAAAGCATTACCTTATAGAAGTAAGAGAGTTCGGAAGGACAGATGTGCCTCGGCTAGTTTTGGTTTCAAATCAATTTTGGAATGAGAGCGGAATAAACCAATTGTCCGTTGGTGTCCCGTCGCAACGACGACGACAGTTGCAGTATAACTCCCCTCTTGGTTCTATCGCTATGGAGCCGGGCAGCTTTGTGAGGTTAAGATTCTTCGCCTCAAGATATATATTTGTACAGCTTTAAATTGTAGCTGATTATATTGGAAGAATAAGTATAAGTCGCGTTCGATACGCATTCCAAAAGTGCTCTAACCGATGCGCAGTCCAAGGTAAATTATCGGGGCTCTGGATAGGTGTGCCCAGCTGTTACGGAGTCTGTCGTGTACGTCACACAATCACCGTCAAGCTGCCATTTTTCCTACCGTGTACCTATCTGATAAAGCGTCTAATGCTTCAAAGAATGTTAACCAGGTGAGAGGGGGTTGTGTTTTGGGTTATATTTAACCTACTTACTAAGCGTCTATCCGATGAGATTCCACGGCTCTACCAGCCCATTAGACGTTGCCAATGTCTTTGCGAATCGAGATTTTCTAGATCGCATCGAAATCTTGGGTTTGACCCAACCTTGTGGGAATTCTCAAAATGACAATGCTTTTCGTTCCTCTGATTCATGAAATTACCTGGAGGGGCAATAAGTTAGACTGACATTGTAAGTGACATGAGTCAGTAAGCCAACAACTTCAACAAGGGAGATCTGTTGGAAAGGAAACACTCAAAATTTATGATAAATTAGGAACTATTGTCTTCTTGATATCTGTCGCAATCCTGTGCTCAATGAAAAACTCAACAAGAATGATCAACCAAGTTCGACATATTATCAATGACTTTCGCGTCCCTGTAATGAGTATCAAAAGGTGCATATGCGAAAAGGTGAAAGTGCATCTGCGTGCTTGTGGTAGCACAGTTATTATTCTCCAGCTGCGGAAGTTCGTTTTTGGGCTGATCGGAGTACCACGGTACAAACACACCATATCTACGTCATGGTAACTCCACCGTTAGTAGAGTCTCTGGATATCGCATTATGATTGGTAAAGGCCAGCAGCTAATTACAGGGTGCAAAAGGCTAAGCCCTCCTGTGCAGGCGGAAGCGAATCCTGGTGTAATGCAAGAGCATTGCCTTAATCGGTGTTAAGGCTGAGTGCTGTTGTATAGGTGGATGCGAATCCTAGCCGGAAATACACGCTCGGATTGGACAATAAGCAGTCAAAGCCCCTTTATTCCAGCTGTGCGTCGCAGCCAAGATCCCACGCGAATAAAAAAAATACGAAAGAAGGATACTACGGCCGATAGGCTCTACTTGAAAAGGGAAGGGGTTGTTGGCTTAATTGAGCTTTTTGCATACAGTTGTCTGATAAATTCTGTAGCCCGCCCCCTTCTCTGATATATGGCAGCTCCGTGCCTTTTCCATTTCCTGTAATTCACGTAAACTTCTTCGAGAGGTGTACCATCCAAAATGGGGGTTACTCGCCAAATTGTGCTACAATTCGCACTTGCAAATATCGTCTTTGCAGCGTGTTACACCCATAATGGCACCGACCGCAACTCGATATCGCCTGACAAGGGAAACAATTATTCGCCCTGCTTACAGAACGAGCATAGTATGTGCTGCAGGCTAAAAAATGACCCCTACACGGATACTTGTCGACAGGACGGACTTTGTTGGAATGCACAGCGTGGTCAACTTTGGAGGGAAAGCTGCACCGATCCTACATGGCAGTCGCCGAATTGCCTCAAATTATGTGTCGATCCAATACCAGGTAAGTAGCCTGCTAGCATTGCCGCATGTTGTACTTCGTTAGGCTTTACATGAGAAGGAACAAGCTAAAAAGAAATGTTGTTCGTTTCCAGGAAATATCGATGGCTCTGGCACCCAGTGGCTCATGAGTGAGAATGATGTGCAAGTCACTGAATGCACAAACGGAAGCTTCTGCTGCGGTGCCGATAAAGACGCGCAGACATGCTGTAATGAAGGTCGAGGCTTATGGATTGTCAATGGGCAGGTCACAAATTCCACAGCATCAGCATCTCCATCTACCCCACCAACGACATCTCCAGCATCGTCATCATCACCATCAACAATGCCGACTTCATCGTCAACCCCGGAAGCCACGACGTCCAACGACACGGCGAAAACGATTGGAGGCGCGGTTGGCGGTACTCTGGGTGGCATTGCTGTCCTGAGTCTTGTGGCGTTCTACCTTTATCGCCGACGAAGGACAAGATCCAACGCAAATCAAGGGGAAAGCGCGAATACGGCATACAGTCAGCTTGACTCTAAAACCCATCACAGTCCGCAGCCCTACGAGTTGCAAACACAAAACCTTCCTGAGTTACAAACACAAACACGTTATGAGCTGCATGGACAGGACCATTATGAGTTAGACGGAAGCAGGAGGTCATGAGTATCATGGAAGGTTTTTCAAAAATACCAAGATGAAGTCTAGGGAGAGAGAAAAGTAGGTAATGGCAGCATTATCTGGAAGCCCAAACGGACAGGAAATTAATATTAAGGCTCTATCTAATAGACCGGGTTTTCCTTTTGTTTATTCTTAGGTAGGAGGCTGAAAGGGTAGGCTGGTTGCGAGCGAAGCCACTTCAACTCCCGTTGATCCCATTGCCGTTATGCTCTAGTTGAGGGGATTATTCCTATACATCATCGGTGTGATATTTCGCAGCGAACCAATAAGGATTTGCGATTCTTGATTTCAATGGCGTGCAGAAAATGACCAAATCCCGAACTCCTTGCTTAGCTCAGTCATCAAAGGTGGTAACGGAACGACTTATTCTCCTTGTCCGTAAGATCATCTAGGCCCTGGGAATATTCCGCAGGACCATTTTCCCTTTCACGCTTGTTATTTTCCCTAGCCAGAATGAAGCGAAGCAGTTCCGAGCTCGCAAAACAAACAACAAAACACACCAAAATGCCAATAAAACTAGGGTCATAACGAGGAGCATACGAACTGTAGGGCCTCGTCAGCTGAATGAAGGATACCCGATTAGTTATAAATTGTAAGACGTCACTTACGCGTCGAACATGAGGGGACCGATTATATTGCCGATTGAGTAAGCAATGAAGGTGGCTGCAGCGTATACTGCTTTCTTGGTGTGTCCTGCCACGTTGGAGGTGCCGAGGCCAATACACTGTGTCCAAGCTGATGAAAAAAAGTTTAAAAGATAGAAGCCAATAATACGAGCCGCTCTCATTGAAGAGGGAAGTTGCCACCTATTACAATTTTAGTACAGTGATTCCAGTACGTTTCTAATTAGGCCTGTCTCTTACATTAGACAACAGCCTAGGATGACAGGGAGACAAGCGACCGTGATGATGTGAAAACGGGCATTCGGAACTCGCTGGCCTAAATAACCCGATCCTAGAATGCAGATGAAAGCAAGGGCTCCAATAGGAAGGTTGAGGAGGAGGGACTGAAACACAGTGAATCCCATGCCATTAAAAACGATGGGGGCAAATGTCGACACAGCACCTGCACCAGTGCACGAAACCATGGATAGAATACAAATTCCCCATAATTGGATATCTGTGAAGGCTTCAAGGACTTGGTAGCCCTTAAAGGTTTTGTTCTCTGCGCCTGCGTTGTTTAAGCGAACACGCTCAAGGATCATCTCTCGCTCCTCGTTAGTAAATCCTTTAGCTAATTCAGGTGTGTCCGGGAACAGCCACCAGAGAGCCACGCCCCATAGAAGTGTCTAAGTCATCAAGTCAACGTCAAGCAGAGAGAAATGGAATAGTAGGAACTAACCGCACCGCCGGCGATGAAGTACATATACTGCCAGGGTTGAAGCATGCCTCCGTTGATATGCCCAAGACCGTAATTTATAAGAGGCGATACCAGAAGTGAGCCGCCGCTAAAAGAATACCACCAGCTTGAACGGGAGACTTGCTCGGCGTGTGTGTACCATAAGCCCACGATTAGCATGAATATCGGAGAGACTCCAGCTTCAATAAGTCCAAGAAAGAAGCGATTAACGAGGAAGTGCTCAAAGGTTTTACACGCTGGGGTAGACAGAACAACAATGCCCCAAAGAAGACAAATGGCTGTAATGACCCAACGGGTTGGGAAACGCTGGGCGAGGAGAGAAATAGGGTAGGTTCCAGCAATATAGCCAAAGTAGAAAATAAGAGACGCCCAAGAATATCTGAGGCCGTTCATCATATCGAGGTCTTTTCGCATTCCGAAAATAGCAGCTTGACTAAGAAGGGCTTTGTCGTAGTACTGTAGAGCATATGTGAAGCAGAGCTGTACGGTACAGAAGACAGTAAGCTTTGGCTCCGTAGTATGTAGAGGGTTGTCAAGCTTCTTAGAACGAACTCACCACAGGCATAACGCGTTTATCGATACGTCTAAGAAGCTTCTTGCTGGTCTCAATGTCGATGCGGAGCTCGCCTTCCATTCTGAGAGACGGAGCTTTCATATCAGCGCATTCGACTTCAGCCTTCTGTTCTTTGGACTCCATAGCTTTGAATGGACTTAAAGTTCCGTTTGATTATGCTTCTTTCTAGAAACTCTTGGATACTTTTACAAAATATTTGAAATAGGTAGTTGGGTATTTCAATGTTTAAGAGATGGGTAATGTCGCTTGTTAAAGATCAACCCCAGATGCATGATATCGCCCCTCCCACCCTGACCCCGCGCCTGTGGACGCTCCCCAGAAATCCTGGTTGGCTCGGCTCGTGATTACGGCAGTCTGTTGGGAATACCAGGTCAAAATTTCTACAGCTATTTAATTAGGTGACCTGAGCTAGATAAACAGATCCGACTTGTATAAACGGCCAGCATTATTAGTCTTACAACATCATCGTTATAGAATTAAGCAAAACTTGCAAAAGTAATGTAGACATATGTCTATATTTATACCCTACGGAGACAGAGGGAGAGAGAGAATAGCAACGTCGCTTATTAAAAGTTTGCCCTAGATACATATTAGGGCTCCCCCACCCCCACACTAACCCCGCGTTTGCGCGTTCCCCAGACAGTCCTTATTCGCTCGGCTCGTAATCATGGTAGTCCATAGTGAACAACACATGAAGACTAATAATTCGACTCCATCATCCTTTTATCCGCACTAGCACAAGAAAACAGTTGCTTCAATGTGCCACATTGAATAATTCACAGCTGTAAGCTTACTCGTGTGGGATCATAAGCCTGAGGGAAAATTTTGCCTTGATCGTTATCACGTTGATTAGCCATAGTGAGTTAACAAGTCTGCAGTAAGTGTCGGGTCGGTGAAACGGTCACTTACATGTGTGTTAAGGAAGGATATGGTTTTGTTCCGAACTGTGAAGCAGTGAGGCTAGGATTGATGAATCTATCCTGGTCAGTGGGTATACTCTATATCCTCATACAAGCTGGATTCAAACATTGGGTAAAGTAAAGTGTTAATGTGAAACTAGATGGCACACAGTTGAGTTGTTTCCAGTTTACCGCGATGCTGTCATTGGAGCCAGTCAAATTCGCAGCGATTGCCTCTATTAAAACCCGTTACAACTCAGCTAACACGGCTTTCATTCTGCAGGTTGAGGACATTTCCTTCGCATTACTTACGTGCTTCTGTTTTCTAATGTTGTATACGCACGCTGTTCGTCTTCCAGCTCCGATTGTTTAGTCCTGTCTTTTTATCACGCCACTAAACTTAGTACTTCTTCTTCAATTACATCTTCGCCATTCATCCTGCTTCCTGGAACTTTTGCAATCCTAAAGGTTGTTGTTGCCGTAATGCGTAGACTGAACTCCATTAAGGCCCCTTCTTGAACACGACAGCGGATCAGATTGTTGTTACAGGCACCTACTCTTTCCATATGCATACCTTTTCTAGCTCTAACGCCATGGCCAATGTCATGCCCAAACCTCTATTAGCTTACAGGAGGGCTTCTATGCTGTTCAGAATTCAAATGAATTATTGGCCCCCTGAATATTTACTCTGTACTATGCCAGGGAGCATGACTTTACCAAATCCGTCATCTCGCGCCTCAATACACTACTCCCCAGAATATTGCTATTATATCGGAAAGTACGTTACTCCAGACGCAGTCCGAAGTTGACCACCCTTGAAACAACTTTGAGTGGTTTTGTAAGGACACTGACGAGCGTGAGTCTGACATTTTCGAGTTTCCAACAAACACCTGCTCCCCCAAATTCTAGTTAGTACTGAGCTTCCCTACAACAGTAACCGGATAATGCACTGCAGTAAGGCTTTAGCGGTAGCTCTCATAATGTTCTCAGAGTATGAAATGTCTCCCCAGCTTCGTTACGCCATTCTAGTTCGACTGGAAAGCTAAGTTGTACCAGATGGCTAGAAGGAAGGTACTCCTTTCAACCTGTCCTGCAGCAGTGAAACCAACAATACCCATTACTTCCATGCCGATTTGATCAATTACTGGCTTGAAGTTGACGCTGAAAATATGCTTATCTCCGATGGCAGTGGCTGCAACGATTGCATCGACCCGTCGGTGGCATACTCGGCAATTACCCTGCTGCCGCCACATGCACTACATCTGATAAGGGGCTGGGAAAACGCATAGACGATGTCTTTCTGATTCATAATAACCGGGGACTGTGGAGGTCATTTCTCCTACGCCACGAGTTTCTTTGTCACGCTTACCAACTCGTCCACTTCTTTACAACGGCAACCAGCACCCGCCGCAGACCCTAATTTAGTATCATGAGTTTTTCTGTCGGTGCATTTGAGCGCAGTGTTGAATAGAATTGAGGACACAGCCGTTGCTGAGGATGGCTTTTTAGAGCACTACTTGTTGCAATTTAGACGCCTAGGGGGGGGGGGGGTTGATTCAAACTAGAAAACGTGGTTGTAGTCACACTGAGCAAAAGACTTGTCTTGGTGCTCCCTACCAACAAAGTAGTTGTCAAGCAAGAGACTGGGGCTTAGTTTGAATTTTCGGATATCTTCCAACCGCAATGCTTCCAGACATCTAGTGCGATTTACCTCGAAAATAAAAGGACCGAAGTCATGCAATCCTTAGGGAAACATGGGCTAGCATTCCCTCAAGTCTGTAAGCTAAAGTGCTTGTACCACAAAAACTACCTGCATTGCCCCCTGCCCCCTTAGCCCAAATGCGAATTTGAAGCAGACAATACAACCAGACCCACAAGTTATGGGAATTGTGATGACTCATCATTGGTGGATGGTTGGCTTATTGGACCAAGCGTCATTGTTTTCTAAGGGCATCAAGGTTGCCAAGATTACTATGTCTTAATGATCTCAGGAAATTGTCGATAAAGTAGTGCAAGACGGGCTAACTACAGTTACTCGCGCACTTCGGACGTCTTAAAAGTCCGGGGAGCTGCTTTTTTGTATGAAAAGAAAGAGCTCGCCTCCCGTGGCCGTGCTAATCGCCGATGTTGGTGTGTCGATCGGCGCGTGGTTCGTCAGCACCATCTGGCGGCTCCGTGGATCTATGACGAAAGCATACCGTCTTATTTACCTAGATGAAGCTTCTCGATTAAAATACCATCACTCCACTTGGTACCAGTTTTACAGCCCAACGTCGAGCTGACGCGACCGACTATGTCGCTAGTCGCTGGCTACACGTCGTCATAGACTTGAATTGGCTGGTCTAACAGAACACCCTAAGCCGCTTCCTGCAGCCTCTCATGCTGTTCGAGACGAACAAGGATAGGATGACCCAGAGCTATGGAACCTCCATATTTAGTATGTAAATCAAATGAAATCAATTTTTTTCTCCGCGGCTCTACTCTTTCCTCTCTAATCATTTCAACCTTTACGACCATGTCGACTGCGTTGTATTGAAGCAACCTGAAAGTTCATAGTTTGTTTGGGCTTTCTACTGGTGTCCCATAGTGACGGCCGTAATTTTCGCCGTCGCACTGCCGTCTTATTCACGCCTTGAGGCTTAAGGGATTGTGCAGTTACGTCATATATAGCCAATATGGATGAGAAGCCAACACCGCGGGATAGCGACATCCCAGGAGGCTTCCCTGAAACACCAAGTCTTGCACCCGCGAGCGGCCGTGTTACCCCCATGGGGTTTTCTGCCTCAAACGGCGATACCTACAACTCTGAAGCCCCTGGTTTTAGTTCTACACAAAGTCGTGTCTCGAACTTTCAGACCACAACCACTTCGACTGTACGCCGTAACTCATCATCTACTACTTTCACGGCCTCCGGCAATAGCAATGGCAACGGCAATGACGACGGCACAATCGCTGCGACCAGTCGTAAAGGCTCGAGTGGCACAAGTGGGACTCTACCGAAGCAACGAGAAGTTGATGATCGATCAACGTCGACGTCAACGTATTCAAATGAAGAGTTACCAGCAAACGATAACGCCCATTTTGCACCCCTCAAGACCAACACGAGCAATGTGACGAAGCCTGGAACCCAAAGACGAAGCAATACCCTCACGGAGGATGAGCTCTTCCGGGCCCTTTCTAGACGACGCACGAATGCGACTGATAAATCCGATGCAGACCAGGAGGAGGAGAGTCAAGAGGTCGAACGTCTCATGTCGAGAATCTTCGGTCGTGCCCGTCAAGAACAGAGCGAAGAGGAGAAGACAAGACATAGTGGTGTCGTATTCCGCGACCTCACCGTTAAAGGAGTCGGCCTTGGTGCGAGTCTTCAACCCACGGTGGGCGACATATTTCTTGGGTTCCCGAGAAAGCTTAAGCTCCTCTTCAAACGTGGACCTAAAGCTGCTTTTGCCAAGCCTCCTGTTCGAGAGCTCATAAGCCACTTTGATGGCTGTGTACGGCCCGGGGAGCTCCTCCTTGTACTGGGGCGTCCTGGGTCAGGATGCAGTACATTTCTCAAAGCATTTTGCAACCAGCGGGCAGGGTTTGAGGCAGTCGAAGGTGAAGTAACTTATGGCGGTGTAGGCTCTGAGGAAATGAGCAAGAAGTTCCGCGGAGAGATCATCTATAACCCTGAAGATGATTTGCATTACCCGACCTTGACCGTAGAGAGAACTCTCAAGTTCGCGCTTCAGACTCGCACGCCCGGAAAGGAATCGAGGCTCGAAGGCGAAAGTCGTCAGGACTACATTCGGGAGTTTATGCGAGTCGCTACAAAACTTTTTTGGATTGAGCACACACTCGGCACTAAGGTCGGTAATGAATTTGTTCGAGGTGTTTCTGGTGGTGAGAGGAAGCGTGTTAGCATCGCTGAGGCCATGGTCACTCGTGCCTCTGTTCAGGGATGGGACAACTCCAGCAAAGGACTCGATGCCAGCACCGCAGTCGAGTATGTACGCTCCATCCGTGCCATGACCAACATGGCTGAGACATCGACTGCCGTTTCTCTTTACCAGGCTGGCGAATCCCTTTACGATCTCGTCGACAAGGTTTTGCTCATTGACTCGGGCAAATGCCTTTACTATGGCCCTTCCGAGGCAGCGAAGCAGTATTTCATCGATCTAGGCTTCAAGTGCCCTGATCGATGGACAACGGCCGACTTCTTGACTTCCGTAACAGATGAGCACGAACGACACATTCGCGAGGGATGGGAAAATCGTATCCCTAGGACCCCCGAGGAATTTGATTCAGCATACAGGAACAGTGAGGCATACCGTAAAAACCTTCAGGATATCGAAGATTTTGAGGCCCAGCTTTCACAGCAAATTGAACAGCGCCGCCAAAACGAGTCTGAAAAGACTAAGAGCAAGAATTACGAGATTCCCTTCCATAAGCAAGTCGTTGCTTGCACAAAACGCCAATTCATGGTAATGGCTGGTGACCGCGCTTCCCTCTTTGGTAAATGGGGTGGTTTGGTTTTCCAGGGCCTCATCGTTGGCAGTTTGTTCTTCAACCTCCCCAACACCGCTGCCGGTGCATTCCCTCGCGGAGGCACCCTGTTCTTCCTCCTACTTTTTAACGCTTTGCTTGCGCTGGCGGAACAAACAGCAGCATTTGAGTCAAAACCTATCCTGCTCAAGCACAAATCTTTCTCTTTCTACAGGCCTGCAGCATTCGCCATAGCTCAGACTGCGGTTGATGTACCACTGGTGTTTATCCAAGTCGTCCTGTTCAACGTCATTATCTACTGGATGTCAAATCTTGCGCGAACAGCGTCTCAATTCTTTATCGCCACTCTTATTCTTTGGCTTGTCACTATGGTCACTTACGCATTCTTCCGTGCGATATCTGCTTGGTGCAAGACTCTTGATGATGCCACTCGATTTACCGGTGTAGCTGTTCAGATCTTGGTTGTCTACACAGGCTACCTGATTCCACCGGATTCAATGCGACCCTGGTTCGGATGGCTGCGGTGGATCAATTGGATTCAGTACGGATTTGAGTGTCTCATGTCGAACGAATTCTACAACCTCGAGATCGAATGCGTACCGCCTTATTTGATTCCTCAAGGCCCGAATGCCACTCCGGAATACCAAGGCTGTGCTCTTGCTGGTAGTCCACTGGGGCAGACGATTGTCCCCGGCTCAAGCTATATCGAGGCATCGTTCACATACAGTCGATCTCACCTCTGGCGTAACTTTGGCTTCCTCTGGGCCTTTTTTATCTTCTTTGTGGTTCTCACTGCCTTGGGTATGGAACACATGAAGCCGAACACAGGCGGCGGTGCTATTACGGTTTTCAAGCGCGGCCAGGTCCCGAAGAAGGTGGAAAACAATATCGCGACGGGTGGTCGAGAGAAGAAGGCGGACGAAGAGTCCGGCGCTGTCAACAGCTCGCAGACCGTTTCAGACGATACTGCAGCGAATGAGAAGAGCGGCGATGACACGGTGAATCAGGTGGCTCGCAACGAAACGGTGTTCACGTTCCGCAACGTAAACTACACGATTCCATTTGAGAATGGCCAACGTAATTTGTTATCCGACGTGCAGGGATACGTAAGACCCGGAAAACTGACTGCTCTCATGGGTGCTTCTGGTAAGTGGAAACCCATCCCCTCTTTGGCACAACTATTCTAATATAATCCAGGTGCCGGCAAGACGACGTTGCTGAACGCTCTGGCTCAACGCCTAACATTTGGAAAAGTCACTGGCGATTTCTTAGTGGATGGTCGTCCACTGCCAAAATCATTCCAAAGAGCGACAGGTTTCGCCGAACAGATGGATATCCATGAGCCAACAGCAACTGTGCGGGAGGCCCTTCAGTTTTCAGCGCTCCTGAGGCAGCCACGGGAGGTATCCAAGAAGGAGAAGTACGAGTATTGTGAAACCATCATCGACCTCCTCGAGATGCGCGACATCGCCGGAGCAACAATCGGAAAGGTGGGCGAGGGTCTCAACGCCGAGCAGCGAAAGAGACTTACCATTGGAGTGGAGTTGGCATCCAAGCCCGAACTGCTCATGTTCCTGGACGAGCCTACTTCTGGTCTTGACTCGGGCGCCGCTTTCAACATCGTTCGGTTCCTTCGCAAACTAGCCGATGCCGGTCAGGCCGTCCTTTGCACCATTCACCAGCCATCTGCAGTCCTGTTTGAGAATTTTGACGAGCTTCTCCTGCTCAAGTCCGGCGGCCGAGTCGCCTATCACGGTCCACTGGGCCATGACAGCCAAGAACTAATCCAGTACTTTGAGTCCAACGGCGCCCACAAATGTCCTCCTAACAGTAACCCTGCCGAGTATATGCTTGAAGCGATCGGAGCTGGCGACCCCAATTACCATGGCAAGGACTGGGCGGATGTTTGGGCGCAATCGAAGAACAGGGAGGCGAGGTCTCGAGAAATCGATGAGATGCTGGCTAAAAGACGGGATGTCGAGCCCTCCAAGAGCCTCAAGGACGATCGCGAGTACGCCATGCCGCTGTCCGTTCAGACTATGGCGGTGGTGAAGCGGTCCTTCGTCGCGTACTGGCGTACACCCAATTACATCGTCGGCAAGTTCATGCTTCATATCCTCACGGGTCTGTTCAACTGCTTTACCTTCTACAAGATCGGCTTCGCATCCATCGACTACCAAAACCGGCTCTTCTCCATCTTCATGACACTCACCATCAGCCCCCCTCTCATTCAGCAACTCCAGCCGGTGTTCCTGCACTCGCGTCAAATCTTCCAGTGGCGCGAGAACAATGCCAAGATCTACAGTTGGTTCGCCTGGACAACGGCCGCTGTGCTCGCGGAAATTCCCTACGCCATTGTTGCCGGCGGCATCTACTTCAACTGCTGGTGGTGGGGAGTCTTTGGATGGCGCGCCGCCAGCTTCACTTCCGGTTTCGCTTTTCTCCTAGTGATACTTTTCGAGCTCTACTACGTCAGCTTTGGTCAAGCCATCGCAGCATTCGCCCCGAATGAGCTGCTTGCCTCGCTACTGGTCCCCATCTTCTTCCTCTTCGTCGTCAGCTTCTGCGGAGTCGTCGTGCCGCCGATGCAGCTGCCTACCTTCTGGAGAAGCTGGATGTATTGGCTGACGCCGTTTCACTACCTGCTGGAGGCGTTCCTTGGTGCCGCCATCCACAAGCAGCCCGTTGAATGTGAGGCCGGCGAGTTCGCTAGGTTCCAGCCGCCGCCTGACCAGTCATGCGACGAGTATGTGCAGCCGTATATCGCTCAGGCTGGCGGATATGTCCGGACCGGGGAAGGCGGCATCTGTGAATTCTGCCAATACGCCACCGGCGATGAGTTTGGCGCGGGCTTCAGTGTTTACTACCGGAACATCTGGCGGGACTTTGGCATCTTTTGCGGGTTTATTCTCTTCAACTATTTTGTTGTTTACCTCGGTACTTGGTTGCGGTTCAAAGGGAAGAATCCTCTAAAAGGCATCATGGCGAAGAAGAAGGGAGGCGGATAGATACGATCAGTAATGCTTGGCTTTTGGTGTTGTTTGGATCGAATTAATTGCTTGTTTTTGAGGGGATTTTAGCGTGTCGTATGTCGATTCCGAGACCAAACACCAAGAAGTCAACTGAAATAGATTATAAATAAATTGACATCACAAAGAGTTCGATTTGCGACGAGACACCAAACGAAATAAAAATTGTAACGCTACGTTTCAACAAAGAATCTATGAGCAACAAGATAATGGGTCTAAGGAAGGGTATATGCATCCGACCACTTAATTCTTGAACGCGCCGTTTGTCAATTCATCCTCCAAATCGTAGTAAACCTGGAACTCGCAGTAGCATATCTCAGGGTCACTTTCCACGTCAAAATTGAACTGCGCCTCCTCGTCCGTGATGAGAACCTTGGGCAGCCCGTTGGCCGCGGCCGCCTCAGCAAGCAGCTGCACATGGCATTGACGTTCCATGGAAGTGTACAGGAACGCCGCCTCGTCCACCGTCTGGCCAACAGTCAAAATGCCATGATTCCGCAGGATGCACGCCTTGCCCTTGGGCCCGAGAGCCTCGGCAATCAGCTCTCCCTCTTCGGGGCCGAGGACGACGCCGCCATAGCTGTTGTAGACAGTGTGGGCGTCGCCGCGGAACTTGCAGGCGTCCTGGGTGAGCATTTCCAGACGACGTCCGAAGACGGACCACGCCTTGCCGTAGAGACTATGGCAATGGCACACTGCGTGGACGTCAGGACGCGCCTTGTGCACGGCGGCGTGGATCTGGAATCCGGCCGTGTTGGGCGGTCTGGTGCGGTTGCCGCCGATGACGGCACCGTCAAGGTCGACGAGGATCATGTCGCTGGCCTTGAGGAGGCCAAAGTGACGGCCGAGAGGGTTCGTCCAGAAGGCGTTGGGGAATTCGGGGTCTCTGACGGAGATGTGGCCGCTCATGCCCTCGACGTAGCCCTCGCGCTGCCAGTGGCGGAAGGCGGCGGCCATGTGCTCGAGTTGCCATTGGCGCTGGGCGGAGAAGTTGGGGAACTTGGGGATACCGGCTAGCACGACGTCGCCGTGGGACATGGCCTGTAGGGGCGTCTTGTTGTCGAGTTCATGGCCGTGCTTGGAGTGCGATGCCTCCTTTGGTGCGACGGCAGTTCCGCCGACGGCAGGGGCTGTGGCCTCGATGGTGGCGGAAGGAGCCATTGAGAATATTGTAATACTACAAGCCGATGACCGGAGTTATAAAGAAACGACTGCTTTGACAAAGCAGAACAGCTGTTTCTTTTGGTGTGGAACGGGGCTTATGGTTTAGTGGAGGGGCAATTGTGTTTGGATCTTGAGTAAACGGACTGTTATTTTCAACAACTGGTGGTATAAGGATGAGGTTGAAGTTAGTGAATAGGTGGGAAAAGGGTCTATTGATAACGCCGCCACTTACGAAAGGCGTAAATGTCATACGCGCATCCTGAACCAAGACGTCTAGTCGGAGCGGGGTTGCGGGGGTTAGATAAGCTATGACCGGGATGTGCTCCTCAAAGAGAACCGGAAACCGGATACCGGCCCGGTCCAGTGTTCGGCCTGGCGGTTAAGGGCCAGGCTGCGGTAGCAGCGGCCTCGGAAGCCAGACTTGAGTTCCGCCAGCGCATTAACAGCCTCTTCTTGTCAGGGCCATACATCACTCAGGAACAGATTGTAACACCCTTATGAGGATGCCAAGTGTAATAGACGAAAGGAGACATGGTATGATGAAATAAAACATCGCGAGGAGGGTATGTTACAATAGCGAGCCCATGCAAATTCCGCCTGCCCGTCATAAACCAAGGAAATTCTCTTTTACAGCGACCGCCCTTGTCGTCAGGCGAATACTTTTGTTTACCCATGCTGCGCAGCATCCGGCTCCTCGACATCGCGCCGCTTGCAGTCGCTTTCATGCAGAATCGAGACCGTCCAGGTGCTTCGTAACTCGAGCCAGATCATGTACCGAGCTCCCCATTAGTTCGTCATTAAAAAGCAGCCAACCTGCCAACGGTTTTCGCAGCGCAAGGAAACAACAAACATCCCCTTCACCGCTTAAGCTGCGCGGCCTTATCCAAGCACTGAATAATCTAGACAAGGGGTCAGTCAACGCAAAAACATCAACAATCAGCGGACACATACCTCATCACCCCAAACGCCCTGGTTGCTGAGATAACGTCCCATGCCCCTCACCAACTCCAATTGCTCCTCAACAGTCAAACCTGTTACGGCCATCTCCATGACGCTGCCGAGGTTGACCTTGTTAATGGCAATGAAGGAATGGTAGTACATGTAGGTGAAGAAACCCATGATAAACTGGCAATCCATGCGGTCAGTCATACCACCGTGGCCGGGAATAGAATCGCCAAAGTCCTTGATCTTAAAGGTGCGCTTCAGCCCGGAAGCGAAGAAGCCACCGAAAGGAGCGATAAGCGAAGCAAAGGTCGCCAGAACCAGGGTGTGGAACTGAACAGGGGCCACCGTCAAGGAGAGGCTCTGTTGCATGTTGGGCGGCAAGAAGAACAGAGGAGGAAGGGTATAGGTCTTTGGGTTGAAGACGGGGTTTCGTGTGCACTCGAGGCCGGTGAAGATGTTTGCGCCGAGATCCTTGGCACGTCAGCAGGCAGGTCTCTATCAGAATGCAACACGAGAGGATACTTACAGTAACGGGGCAGAGGAAGAAATCGGAGCGCATCAGCAGGCTGGTAAGAAGCATGCCGAAGATGATGGTCATAATCCAAGCGCCAACGAAACCCTCGACCGTCTTCTTGGGGGAGAGCTTGATCAGCTGAGTGCGGCCAAAGGTGATTCCCACAATGTAGGCCCAGATATCGTTCGTAATAACCATAGCGGCAGGGAGGAAGAACCAGATCATGCCCTCGAAGACGTTGTTCATGATGAAGTGGGCTTGGACGACAATAAGGTATAGCGCCATATGCGTCCAGGCGAACTGAGTGAACTGGAACTTGTAGTGACCAGCCTGGAGGGAGGTGACGAAAAAGACGAAGCCTGAAATAGTCAGATAATCTCCCGAGGCAACCGCAGAGAGAGCAGTGGAAACTTACCGAAGATATACAGGATGAAACTAATGAAGCGATGGTGGGTGGCCAAGGGAAGTAGGACCTTGTCGACCAACACAATGTGCTTAAAGTAGTAAATAACGGTTTCGCCGTACAGGAAGTACATGGTGGTAGCCAGCCAGTACCAGTTGAGGCTCTTGGAGGAGCGCAACTGACGAGCGCGGCTGGGGACATTGGCAATGGCAATGACCTCCTTGAACGAGATGATTTGGATAGCGGTGATGATGCAGATAATGTAGATATGGCCCATGAAGAGGGCAGTGAAAAAGCCGGCGAACATGACAAAGGTCCAGAATGTACGGGTTAGGAAGTTGGCCTTCTTCTTCTCGTACTCGGCTCGCTTCTCCTCTTCGGGTGATTGAGGTTGCTGTTGAAGAGGCACATGGTTAGTATGACGGCAACGACGCTTATTTGGCAATATGGGAATGAAGAGCGCCGGACCACAGAGTGGTGGTTGGAAGCTGGAAAGGGCGTCAGGGGCGATGGGCAGCAGAAGCTTACCTCGGCGATATTTTGCAGGGCAGCGCCAGACTTGCCCTTTGATTGGGAACCATCTTCGCTGACGTCGCTGAAGCTAGAGCGGCGTCCATCCGCACCGACATGGCCGTTTGCCTTGTGGGGAAACTTGACTCCCCTCCGTGTGCGAGCCATCATGTCTTTCTGTGCCAGGTATGATCGAGGGGTGGAAGGCGGTAGGCGTCGACCGTGTTCTTATGAGATGGTGGCCCCCAAAGATTTGAGGAAATCAGCGACGAGGTTTTTGTCAAGGGTAGTTCGCGGGACAGGTCGCTTCTCGTCGCAAAGCGGGTGGTTCGGATGCGGCAAGGGTCAGAAGCGGAGGGTCGGCGCAAATTGGGCCGTTGGGGCGCTGGGGCGGCGCGGTCAGAAATAGCGGGATCGTGGAGAAGGGGACCCAGGTAAGGGAAAGGACGGGTTAACAGTCGACAAGCGAGACTTGATCTAGGTCTGAATGACGACGAAGGCGGACGCGGGCTTTGCGTTGCGGGCCAAGACAGACGTTTGACGGGGGGAGAAGAAGACGGGTTTTGACGACGTGGATGTTTTGTTGAACCGAGCGGGTGAGGTAAGGCAAAAAAGAGACACCAGGCAAGACAGCTGGCGCAGCCACAAGGTGGATATACACGGGGGGCCGGGTCTTTGTGGATTTTTCTGAATGCCAAGCGGGCGGAACACAACAACGGGGACAGGAAGAAGAACTGGGGAGATGCGCTTTTCTCGCTTGGTTTAATTTTAATTGGCGCTTATGCTGGCTCGGTAGGTTGTGCTGTGCTGGCAGCGGATTAAAACAAGAATAAAATAGTGCTAAAATGATTAGGGAAAAGAGGACCAAAATAAAAAATAAAAAAATAAAAGCTGGAGCTGCTGCTGCTGATGCTGCTGCTGTTACAATACCAGGGCAGCTGGTCGTGGTGGATGATGACGCTGTAATTAGCGCAGAGAAGCTACGTCAGGCTTGTGGCTTGGCGGGGACATGCCCTGGAGCAAGGAGAATATGTAATCTGAAGCGAAAGCTCGGGGCACTATTACCACCATCACTCCAGTGATTGGCAGAAGACTTTTTTGGTAGTGTAGGTGAGCGGGGATTATATAAGCTGGGTTGAGATAATGCACGTGGCGCCATCTGTCGGTCAATCCGTCCGCCCGCCATAGCACGCAAACTCCGGAGAGTAGCCCGGGCTGCGGAATGGTCATGTAGTCCGCTCCGCTGCTTTCTGATCTCCTCTGTATATAGTAAATTACAGCAGAGTGGTATGTCATCCAGATTAACCACGAAGCAATCTCTCGCATTCTTGTTACTTCCCGTCGACCCATCCCGTCTTTTGAATCCCCCGTCCATATCCTTTACACACGCGGGAAACACGAACGCCGGCTGAATGTCTGGGGATTACATGGGGACGCTTCGTGGCCCTGTCCTGGCTTGCGTGCACGGTTACATGGTACATACGGATACGCGCATCTTTTTAAGGGCTCGACTCCCCTGTAATCCTTCCATTGTAGGAGAGCATCCCTTGTCTACCGAAAATGTTGAGTTGATCAGCTCCCCAGTCTCAGAGGTTGATAGGCTGGAGGAAGACCCATCAATACAGGACAATTGCCCCTAATACTGTCGGAAACCACAGGGGGAGCAGCAAGAAAAAATCTGTGTGATTATCCGCAAGTCCAACCAGGATTTCAGACACGGCGTTTTGGCGTAACTCGTGCTCATGAGGCCCCCAAAGATTGGGCAACAGCAGAATCGCCGGGTGAGCCGAGACTATGCACTTTGCGCCAGTTGACATCATCACATGCCGGCTGTAGCTTCAATGACCAACTGGAAATGGTCTGACCTGCTGTTTATCTGCTAAGGCGTGAGCTACCATTCGCTTTTTCTCCTGCAGCTAAAGTTACTGGCTAGAACGGAGGCACTACCTATCGCATCCGGGCCGTAGATATGTGGCAGTGCATCTGCTTGTGATTGTGGCTGCCAGTTTCTGTGCGCCACAGTGCTCTATGGCGGTGCATCACTAAAGTTGTGGCTCAGCGCGGCCTCTTCCTTTCTCCACCAGCGCGCGTCGTCGCGTCTCTTGTCCCGCGTTGCAGCTCCCCGCCGAAAGCAAGCGCCCCCCCCCTACAAGCTACCGATAAGAAAGATAAGGGAAAACGGCGTTTGTTGCCTGCGCTGGTGCTTGCCACTATTCAGACTGTAGAGTCAACAAACTACAACTACCCCTTTTAATTTTCGACAATGCGTTGTCTGACGCTCCCTTCGAAGCCATGGACGAATACTCAGATGATGAATTTGATCAGCTGAACGACACTACTCTCCAAGAGCTCGAGGATAATGCCATTCGCCTCACTCAAGCCCAGCCCAAGTTCAACGACTCTCAACTTCACGATTGGTCACAGGTCGAGAACTACAATGACCTGGAGTTCGAAGACGACGACCTCGACGATACCGAGGTGACAAACGAGCTTCTTCCTGTCATTACCAGGCCCCTTCCCGAGAAGACGGTACCTCAACATCACACGCATCTACCCGGACGACCTTCCCTACAACCACAACCACAACGATGGAATCCACCCCCTGCACCCGCGAATCCACCACCTCTCTCTTCTCGTCCTCGATACCCTCCGCCAGTCCCGTCTTTTGCACCTCCCGCTGCCTCTCAGCGCTTTCAGCCTCCCGTCGGTGCTCCCTATCGTCCTCAACCAACCCAATTTGGGAGGCCCCCGCTTCCTTCGTCGACTCGATACAATCCCCCGCTATCCCAGGCTCAACCAACACTGCCTGCTGGTAACGATGTTGTTGCTGCTCTACAACAACGGCTCAAGGCGCTTGAGGCCGAGCTCAACTCCACTCGCGGAGAGGTTGCCATCATCCGTTCGAATTCCACCAAGGCCCAACAAGACCACACCGCTGAAATCGCACGCCTTAAGAAGCAGAATGCAGAGCAGGCGGCCAAACAAGAGAGGGCAGTTGAGGCTGCTGTGGCTGCTGAGAGGCAGGCCACCACGGAGCTTCAGTTTCTTCAGCGTGATATGAAAGACGCAGTGAGCCGGCCACGTCGGAAGGATACAGCACAGGAAATCTCGGTGTCGGGGACAACCACGCCAAAGAAGACGAACAAGACTTGGGGCATGGCCGACGGGTTTGATGACATGGACATCGCACCAAGCCCTTCCAAGGCGAGGGGAAAGACGCGTGATGCTGGTCCAGTTGCCGTTCCCATGTCAGAAAGAACGCCCACGAAAGGCAAGCGAAAGCGACCTACCGTTGACAGCCCAGTCATGGCCCTAGAGACCCATGCGGAAGATGCGATCATGGTTGACGATTCGGCCACTATTGCGCCACCTGTTCAATACCCAGGCCCGGGGCCAAATGTATTGCCTTTCGAGGTAAATCTAGCCATTTACGGCGTGGCTTTTCGTGATGAGAACATTAGCTGACGATGTTGCAGTTCCTCCAAGTAATTCTTGATCATGGCTCGCTACATGGGGAGCCGCCGACGTTTGACATCTTGTCTCGGTACACATTCCCCTCAGATCCGGCAACATCTTTCGCCTCCCTCATATTCCGAGAGCTGCCTCTGATGGGCAATCCGCTGAACCCGGTGCAGCTTCTGGTGGACTTTTCCCGCCTCATAATTCGCATGTGGAACCAGTGTTTAAATGAAAACTTTCTACGTCCAATTTGGGACCTCACCTCCCTGCTCTCTTTTACCCTTCAGTTGCAAACCATGTCAGTGGTGCCTCAAATCATCAACGAACTGGTCCCTACGGCGCAACAGTCTATTTACTTGGTTGCTGAAGCACGCTTTCTGAGTGTCGATGGCGGCATCTCACCTGATCCCGCAATAGACGCCTTACAGCAACATGTTGATACCACCTACATCTTGTCGTTACTCTACGCCTCTGCCGCCGCTTGCGCCACCACCTTGACGGAGACTGAAAACGGCACCCAAACTCGACAGACTGACTTCTGGCAACTGATTAGTTTCGATCTTGTTCTTGTATTGCTGACACCCAAGCAGCGGCTAGACGATATCCTTGGTATGCTCAACATGCTCTGCACATCTGCTCTCGCCAGCTCCGTTGGCCCCATTGTCTCCGGCAAGGAGCCTGATTTGCTAGCAAAAATGATCATCGACAAGGTGTCACTGAATCTCGTTGACCTCCCACGTGCAGCCGTCACCACTAGCGAGAAACATGCCGTGAGGTTCGCCGTTATACAGACGCTCATGGCCTTTGCGCGCACGCCGTACGGCGCACGACAAATCGCGGTTCATATCAGTGTCATACCGCGCTTAGTCACGGCGCTCAGCGAACTAGTAGATGCACTTTACGACCTTTCGAATCCTGTGGCAGGCAGGAACGTTAGCGGCTCCTCATCCTCGCGCAAGGACGGGGCCGTGGTCGTAGCCCCGGATGATCCCCGCGATGATGCCGAAGATTGGGATGATGATCGTAGTAGTCCGTCACTGTTAATATCGCAAATCGTTCTCCTGCTCCACACGTTGGCAACAGACCCCAATACAGCCAACGTCGCCAACATTCTCTCGAAATTGTCCATGTCACACGGTGGCTCGCAACGATACATCCTGTCACTCTCACGGCTAAATTTCGCCGAGGAAGACCTGATCTACGAGGCCGGCATTGACGCAGACACAGTTGACAGAGCTCACGAACTACTGGAAATTGGGGTTACTCCGGATGAGGGCGACAGCGTAGCCGAGTCATTTGGTGTGTGAGCCATCGGATCGCAATCTCATCGAGTCGGGTAGCCGTACCAGCATGTACAGACGAAAGCGACCATCCGATACGGCCTCGTCTGTTCCTGCGCGCACAGCATCTGAACTTCGGACCAGGCACTGACACGACTGGTCACTTACCAATACCATGGGCTTGCCACCACCAACGGATGCGGATGCAGATGCGGCACAGTCGCCATTGTCCTATAGGCCCCTCTGCATGGAAACGAGAGGGTTGTCAAGAGCTTCTGGCCCTTTTTGAAAATGCGCCGGCCTAATGCAGGCGTTTAGCGGCTGTGACTGTGATAGCGAGTGTGATAGACGCGCTGGGCGATGCCGAAACCAATGAATCATGTCGTGGCTTGAAGGGCAAAATCTCGGGGTGGGACTATCTGCATAGTCATGCTGCAGAGCCTGCATTCCCATTTCCCATAGGTCTCATGACCGCCAGTCAGAAATTAGCAAGGCGACGAGGCAATACTGAATTGAGGGGAAGATTCGGCCGAAAAGTCAGGGCCAACGTGTTGACGATGACTTCCCCGCGGGCCAGCATCCTCAGGGTCTGCATTACTATGTTTTCTCCTTGACGACTCAACTCAATGTCTCACTATGCAAAATTGCACAGACCCTCATGCGCTAAAGGTCTAGCAGGTCGTCGTGGTTGATCCCAAAGCTCGACTCTTGAGGTCGAAACGCACTGATTAGCCTCGTTAATCTGGTTGGTGCCGGCCGCCATGAGCAACTGGAGGCACTAGTTATGCAAAGCATTCGACCTAAGCATTAGCGCCTACGGGTGACGGCCCCATTCCCAGCGCGCCCCTGAGATGAACAACAGCTCAGGGCAGCCACTTCCGGTCGTTCGCCCTGAGTTCCTCAATCCTGATTGGGCTTGTCAAGTCCGAGCCCGATTCGTCCGGCGTGGTCCCCAAGGGGCTGAGCCGGAGTCAAAGCTACGGCGCGACATCAACACCACGTTGACTTTTGCTCGACTCAAGATGGGTCGAAGTCAAATGCAGCCAAGTCCATAAGCCAAGAAAGGCACCCAAAGATGGCATGTCCAATTTTCTTTCTTTCCAAGGTAAGCGTTGGCCTCGGCCGTTAAGCTTTCGAGGTCGCACATGGCCGGGTCAAGGACGAGGGGGGAAGCCACAGGTGTGTGTATCTGAAAGGCTGCCAGGCATCCCATGGGTGGTGCATATGTACTTGCTTCATAGAAGAGGGGATGCATTGGATGACCAGACCACTTCTCGCCTGGACTTGCATATATCATACGTTTGGGCCGCTGTGCCCCCTCTCCCCTCTCCCCTCTCCTCTTGGGAGTGATATGAAAGAAGAAGAGTTCCCATCTCTGCGCCCCATCGACCCTTTCCTGTGTTCATGTCCCTCATCAACAACGCCGCCATGCACATCCTCTTCCTCTGTACTGCGCACAACTCCTTGTCGCAACGCCTGTACTTGGCGTTGTCCAAGACGCACACTATCACAATCGAATATGCCCAGTCGGATGCAGCAATGATTGAGGCTGCCAGACTGGCCAAGCCCAACCTAATCATCTGCCCTTTCCTTACAGTCCGAGTCCCCCGCGAAGTTTACGACAACTATCTCACGCTCATCATTCATCCTGGACCCCCAGGCGATGCTGGTCCAAGTGCCTTGGACTGGGTGCTCATGGGCGATGATGGCTCTGTCGCTGACGCCGAGACACTCGTCCAAAACAACGCATGGAGTGAGTTCGGCCGGCCGTATTGGGGTGTAACCGTTCTGCAGGCCGTTGAGGAATTCGATGCCGGACCAGTATGGGCTTTCGAACAGTTTCCTCTACAAATCGATTCCCCGACCGTCACCAAATCAAGTCTTTATCGTGGTCCTGTCACGCGGGCCGCACTCACAGCCACCCTCGCCGCCATTGAGAGGATTCAGACAGCATCCATCCGAGCCGCCTCCCCTTACACGCCTCCACCCTCTCCAGGGAGTGACAAGTTCTCCCCGCACCTTGTCAACCCCCTTCTTGAGGCAAACCCCACCTACCGCAACGCCTCGGTGACACTGCAGAAAGCCTTCCTCGGCGGCGTCACACATCACCGGCCGCTTCTCAAGGCTGCGCAACGCGACTTCGACATTCAGTCGCATACGGCGCGAGAAATTTCCCGAAGGATTCGATCATCCGACTCCCAGCCTGGCTGTCTGACCAAGCTTTTTGGTCCCAGCCTCTACGTATACGGAGGGTCCATTGAAGAGTGTGAGGAGCTCACAGCTCAAGCACGTCCCGGAGATGTCATCGCCTGCCGGGACGACGCCGTGTGCATCGCAACCTGCGACGAAAAGGGTATTTGGATTTCACACATCCGTCGCCTCAAGAAAAAGACCGACGCCATGTTGTGGCCCAAAGTTCCTGCCGTGGCCGGGCTCAACGAGCTGGGAATCATAGACGGCAATCTCGTCGTAGAGAACCGCATCTCCAGAGCGACCATCGACTGGTCTCAATCCCCTCACAACACGAAGCAGGACATCTGGGTGGACTTCCAAACATTCTCCGGGGCCAGGAGAGTGGCATTCCTCTACTTTGACTTTTACAACGGCGCCATGAGCACAGAACAGTGCTCCCGCATGATTGACGCCCTAGACTTCATCTCATCCAGTCATGTCGTGGAGCGGCCACTTAGCGCAGTGGTACTGATGGGTGGCGACTCGTACTTCAGCAACGGAATTGCGCTCAACGTTATCGAGGCGGCTGCGGACCCCGCTCTCGAATCCTGGCTGAACATCAACCGCATCGATGACGTGGTGCACTACCTGCTGCACGACTTCCCGTCGCGAAATATCCTCACGGTCGCCGGCGTCAGAGGCAACTGCGCCGCCGGCGGTGTCGCCCTAGCCGCTGCATGCGACGTCGTTATTTCGGGGTCAGAGGTTGTGCTCAACCCAGCCTACCGTGCCATTGGCTTGCATGGTTCCGAATACCACTCCCTGTCCTACCCCGGACGGTGTGGTTCGGATGGCGCCACCAGGCTGCTGCGCGACATGCTACCCCTGTCACCGGCTGACGCGCGGGCCATGGGTCTCGTCGACCACACGCTGCCCGGCACAGGTGCGCTGCTCGACAGCCGCATTCGAAAGCACGTCAAATCGCTTCTGTTCGCCAGAAACCCGGCTCCGGGAGCTTGGAAGAGCAACGTCGATGTCTCTCCTGCCGGTCTCGCCTGCGCCCGCGCCCAGGAACTCGGTGAGATGTCCAAGGATTTCTGGAGTGCGAGGTCGCAAAGATACCACCTCCGCCGCAGGGACTTTGTCCGCAAGGTCAAGGTGGACAAGACACCCCTGCGTTTCGCAAACCATCGCAGAGGGTTGGGCGAGTTGGACGAGGAGGAGTCGGACGACTTTGACGACGTCGTTATCTTTGAGCGCAAGGCCAGGGCTGCTCTCTTGGCTGACAAACTCAAGGAGTACGTCGAGAGCATGACGTCGGCATCGACTCCTCGCAAAGATACAAGTCAGATGAGCGCTCCGGCCCATTCGAGGACCGCAAGCGAGAGTGTTAGCAAACGGGATTTGAGGCCTGTATTTTCATGTTATTACGATGTTACAGCATAGTGAGACGATTCTACGGTGTTTTTCTTTTCTTTTCTTTTTACTTCTCCCCCTCTCCGGTTTCTTTTTTCAGGTTTCCTTTCTATTTCCCTCGCTGCACAAGCGACATGCATAAAATAGTCGCGTCATACCCACAAAAGGAAAACAGGTTCCTTTGTAAGCTGCTCAGGTCGATCATATTTAGTTTAGGGCTTTGGTTCTTCCATACCAGATTGTCAGTATCTTTAATCATGAAAACTTTTACTCCGTACTTTTTTGTCCAATACGATATCACAATAAGTGTTCTCCAAGTGAAGTTTAAGTTTTTTTTAATTTAGTGGCTTTCATGCAGCATGTCAGGGCGGTTGAGCTGCCGTGTTTGTGGTGCCCGAGATGGTCGGCGACATGTCAAACCTTAGACGTCCAGTTGTCGTAGACTGTACCTCTTGACTGTCGCGCAAACCTTTTTGGCCCCGTCAGTTCCTAGTGGAAAAAGCCATCGCTAAAGTAGTGGCGTTCGCTTTCGTGTCCCGGAAACTAGTTGAACTCACACGTTGTGTCGACTGTCTCTCAAGGCCTAAGAAACTCTGTTTTCTGAGGCACCGTCTAGTTTTCCCCTATCGATGACTTACCTGGGATTATAGTTCCGTACTACTGGCATACGCGCCGAATTTTAGGTCGTTGTGATGACACCTCTCGCAACTCGGCCCCCAGACTCGGAGATGTGGATCACGATTCGGCGTGGTGGGGCCGGACATTGGGCACGACGACAAGGGGTGACAAAGAGGGAAGGATGAGGGAAAGGGAATATCATCGAAGGATGCCCGGGGTATGATCATCTACCGCTTTTTCTTCATCCCTGTTTCTTTTCTAATTTTGCCCAGCGAGGCATTTTGTTTGGGCGAACGAATGGTCTAAAAATAAGAGCGATGTGGTGGAAAAGCTGTAGGTACCCACGGGCAGCGTGGCCGCCACAATCCGTGAGCTTTTAGGGGCTTGCACTAATGGCCTGAGGTGAGACACCGAGCGCATTGTTCGTCTACAGACGGCTCCGGCATGATATCAGGCCATTTTATCACACTTTTAAGTCCCACGGCGACGTCACCTACGCAAGAGGGAGATCGCTCGTGGCTTTGGCTTTGAACGGACCGCGTGTTGGCTGTTTGGGGCTAGTGATACCATTCTTTCTTGCAAGGCGAACGACTTCGATCATCGGGCTTTGCGGATGTCCATCTTGCGCAATGAGACGGGCCACTGAGGTCCCAATTGTGAAAGGTATATCCAAGAGACGGCGACTCGGCCGAGCTAACGGGGTTTGTATACATAGGATGAAGCACCAACTACGGTCATAAATCCTGCTGGCGCTGGTTACTGCCTATCCGCAGATCGCATTCCTTTTTTTGCCTGTACTTCGACGATGAAATTAGAGTAAGACTGTCTGGTAGTGCTAGCTGAGCCGCTGTATCAGCGATTGATCGCCAGAAAATCTTTGCAAATATCGTTACTGTGTCTCGGGAAGCGCAGCTTGTTATTTTCTTTTCTGCTTTTCTTTTTCTTCGCCCTATTAATATTGGGTTGGAGCCTGCACAAACTCCTCTATGCTATAAACCTGTTTCTCCACTACAGTATTTACCTCCATATCTAATTGGATGTTATGGCGGGCAATGAAGAAATCAGACCATATCAAGTCAGCCAGTACCCAGCAGCGATCCTCACGTTGAGACAACATGCAGGAAGCCGACATAGCACATATATGCATGCAAGTTAGCAGGCAACCCCCGGCCCGGAGATCATTCTCGCCGTTAGAATGCATAAGGTCGGAGAAACATCAGGGCTGAAAGGCAGGAAAAGGATTCGAGGAGTTGGTAATCACACGATTTCACATGATTACTCGAAACAGCATCATTAATTCGCATTACTGCTTGATCACCTTTGGATAATTCTCCATCATCAGTTTTCTCCACTTTCAGCTGCCAGGTCCGGGAACAATAGCGAGTATACCCATACCGTAGGCTTTCTTATTGCCTCGAAAATCAAGGCCGCCAACGGCCCATTAGGCAGAGCCAATTTTTAAAATAAACTCGGCATTACTAAATGCTAAACTAGCTGTTTTCCACATATACTAGTTAATCCCCTTCATAAATGGCCATATTTAAGTATGGTATAGTTTCTTTTCAGAATATGCAACGACAGTTGGTAAGACAACCTTTTCTCTTGCTTTATCATGCAGATCATTCATCGAGAGGTTAAGTTGTAGGCTACGCCTGTCGTATTGGTCTTGGTAAGCGGCACAAGGCTGCACACCACAAGACGGTCAAATGACCCGCCATTTGAAGATTCAAGTCGGACGTCCGAGTGAACCCTGGCATGCAGGAGATCTGCAGCGCCATTGTCTCCAGCGCCTCCCACTAGCTGTTTTGTAGCGCGTAAAAAAGACGAGAAATCAAAGGACTCAGTTACTTAAAAAGCCTGCATTAATTGCTTTTCCGAGCTGATCTCACCAGAGTCATCCACAACAAGCTGGATGCCTGTAAGTTTGCCATGCCCGGAAAAATAACCATAGGTTACAAACCAGACCAAGAACGAAGCGTGACATTGTGCAGAATCACAATTTAGACGTATTGAAACCAAAGAAAACGAATACCAAGCTGTTGGAAGTGACATTAAGTTCATGTTGAAACTGACACGCCCAGGCTTATGATCTTCCCGGCAATACAAGCCAACAAATTCACGAGTCTTTTGTCACATATGCGACAGCTTTTTCGCTGGCCAATTTTTTTTTGCTTGAGAACACTATTAGCAGAATCAGGTCACACCTTGTTACGTGTTCGAAAGTGTTGCCCGTTACCCCTAACAAAGGAACAAAGGTGTTGTTTCCTGGCAAATATAGCAACCTTTGGAGCGGTGCCTACTTATAGTCAGACTTCATACTCATTCTCAACATCCTGAAAGCCCAGTAACTGTTTCAGGCACTGTCCACCTCCCAGTGCAAGTTGTGTTTGTGCCGCTTGATGTGAGAAGATTAATGTCCTTGAATGTGATGTTTCCACAGGGATGTCGTTGGCTGCAAGTAAGGCTGACCCGATTCGAAGTTCCAGATAGCGTGCCTGTAAAGTTGGCAAAGGTAACGTGTGAAACTTCCATGTTACTAGTCCCAGCAAACGAGCCATTGTTTCCGTTGTTCTGGTGAATAGACGGTGCGTTGTTGACCCTCTCGTAATGGACATTTGAAAACAGAATGTTGCGAACACGGCCCCAACCCCTGCCGCGCGGCTGTCCAGCATTTTCATAGTGGCTTTGAGGTGCAAGCTCCCCAATCCAAGTTTTGATGTAGACACCGAAGCGCATGTCGATTGATGTTCGTTTCAGCTAGGTAAGGCGTCAGCCAGATTTCCAAATAGTTGATACTCATGTTTACTCACTAGCAAATTGTTCATGACGACATCTTCCACACTCGAATCCTCGAGATATTGTCCTAAACTTCCGATGGCGATCCCATTGCCTCCATGGCAGGTGACATCCTCCAAGTGAATGTTGTAGGATCGAGGCTTGATGGCCACGCAGTCATCTCCACCCGTGTACTCGAAACCTTTGACACGGATGTTGCGCGCGTCCATGGTATCTATACTCTCTAGTATTAGATTTGCCTAAGGTGGTCGCATCAACCACTTACCAAACCCGTCTGTATTCTGCACCCAGTTGTACCTAGCCGGGGCTTTCGTCGCAGTAGCATTGCTGCTGATATTCTCAAAGTACATGTTCGTCCCGTTCATAATGTTATACGCCCAGAACTGGGGTTGTCTGATGTAAAAGTTTTTGACTGTGACATCGCTGACATTCCAGAACACGAAAGGCTGAAGAAGCTGGTCAAATCGAAAAACGGTATGGTCACATTGAGGAAATATACTTACCATTGGGCGGCCCTCAATAGTCTCTCCAGCTTCGGCCGTATACCAGGCGTCACCATTGCCATGGATACCACCTGTTCCAAAACCATCAATGTAGATACCGTCTCCACTGAGAATAAAACCAGCACGGTGGTTCTGGAACTCAATGAAATATGAGTTGGAGCGCCAGTAGGTAAGATTATCCGAGAACTGTTGGGATATAAGTAAAAAATCGACCATCTAGGCAATAGTTTGTATGCCATGCATTGGGGTGTTTTACCGTCCACTCTCCTCGCCATTGAATCCTCACATCGTTAACACGCGGATTCAACTTCTGATCAATCCAGTAATTTTGGTCTTTGGGGAAGACTATGTTTCCTGATTTGCCACACTTATCAAATGCCGCCAAAATATTCTCAACGTCGCTTTTCTTGTCTCCGTTTGCCGTAACCGTACACTGAGGTCGACCATCAACAGTCGAGACTTGTACAGAGCCAGCCAGTACGGTGATGGAAAGTCCAAGGAAAACCAAGGCAAGAGATTTCATTGCTGAGTATGCCATTTTTATGTTTCGGTACTCTGACAGATGACGGCGGCAACGTTGTGAGGAAGAGAAGAGCAACAGGGGCTTTTATCTTTTCCATCCTGTGACCGTGGTACGTTACGACCTGTGGTAATTATTCACTCCGGCAGGCAGTCAGGCCAGAGGCGACGCGATTGTTACCCAATTTGTGATGGCTCGTGAATCTCATGTTGATCGCCAATCTACCCGATCAGTCGATAGAGGTACCCCCATGACCTAGATGGTAGGAGGAGAGATTCTCCATGCGGAGTTAGTGACAGTAATTGTCGCTGTCTTTTCTCGCGAACATTGCCCGATTGGAAATCCAAGGCAACTGAATATGGTGGTCATTACCACATTGGGGCCTTGTCTGCAGATGTAAGTTCAGATACTTTATGGAGTGTGCCGTCAAGTTCGCCCTCGCGGAATGTCGTTCTTGATATGCACCAATCTCAGTGCAATCGGTTGATTATAAAACCCCAATTAGTTTGGTGTCACGTAGCCAAACTACTCCGAATGCTACCTATCTCTGGTAGAGCTGTTGTATGTCAAAGGTGAGATCCTCCACAATCCCCGCAATTACCCCGGTCGTCCTCAACTCGGTCCAAGAATATCGCCATTTCGGGACATCTCCTGGCGATAGCAATCCTAATTCAATGTTACACGATCGTTTGAGCTTCGGATCAGGTGACTGGCCTCCTATAGACGCACTGAAAAAAGGAGCGAGCATGCCAGTAGTACAAATATATGTATGTTGATTTCGTCTGTTGAATTGACTGCAATTACATCACGTTGGAAAGTTCTGTGATAATGATATTGTCTTCCCTGTTCTCCACCCTGTGCTTCGCAGCTTCCTCAGCATGTTGGCGTGATACAATCTGCAATGGCCCTCTGGACGCCGCTTCCAAGGGTGAAAGGAAAGCGAATAATTTTGCTCCTAACACCTCAATCATCAACCTGAAGTCTATCCTTACTTTGCCGGCTGGAGAGCTGGTGTCGGATTATAAGAGCGGCAGTGTTCTATAAGGCAACAACTCCGCTTTGGTGTTTGACTTTGCCGTTGAAGTTGGTGGAATAGTCAGTGTAAATCACACAGTGATTGAGTCATCCGCGACTTTGGGCCTTGCTTTCACAAAGAGCAAGCTATGGATAGGTCAAAACTGTGACAACTCTAATGGAGGGAGTATTGCAGATGGCAACTTTCTCCATACGATTACAACTTCCGGCGCGGGCAGGTACATCATGCCCAATGACAAGGATCGTGGAGGATTCCGCTACCTCACCCTGTTCCAAACCGAAAACTCAGTATTGAACATCACAGATGTGACCTTGGAGATTGGATTTCAGCCCACTTGCGAGAACCTGAGAGCTTACAAGGGATACTTTCATTCAAATGATCAGGACCTCAACGAGATCTGGTATTCCGGTGCAAACACTCTGCAAACGAACTGTATCGCCAGGGATACCGGCCGCCGCCTAGTATGCAGTGTTGCAGGCTGGGGTAGTAGCGTTGTTCTAGGAACCGGTGATACATTTCTTGTTGACAGAGCAAAGCGAGATCGCTGGTTCTGGCCTGTTGACATGGGCGTTGCTGTCCCTGCCGCCTTTGTGAGTACAGGTGAAATGGAGAGCACTAGAAACTCTCTCCAATCCATGTTCGATGCCCAGGTATGGATATGTCTAGTGCGCGACTCTTTCCAAATTTGGATAGCTGACTATCAATTTCAAGTCTGACAATGGAGAGCTTCCCTATTCTGGACAGCCTAGAAATAGCAAAGGCAGCGATAGTACGTTCTTCAGGAGCCGCAACTATATAATATCTTAGCTAACGCACCATAGTGTACCACATGTGGTCCTTAGTTGGAACTTATAACTACGTCTGGTATACGGGTGACATTAACTGGCTCAAGAGCATCTGGCCCATGTATCAGAAGGCATTGGACTTTACTTACAACAAAGTAACGGGATCAGGCCTTCTCCACGTTGACCGCGACGATGACTGGGGCCGCTATGTCAATCAAATAAATGGCAGTGCGCCAAACATGCTGTAAGACAAGCGAAAGCACTTTATGAAACCTTTGCTAACCAGTGAAATCCAAGTCTGTACCGGACCTTGATAAGTGGAGCTCGATTGGCCAACTATCTTGGCAGTGACCTGGGATCTACGGATTCAGCGCAGGCCAAGACTTTATCGCAAAATAACCTTACTCATTTCTGGGACGAAACTAAAGGCGCTTTCACTGACACACCCGGAAAAACTGGACTTTGGCCCCAAGATTCAAACAGCATGGCTGTTGTTTTCGGTGTTGTGGAAGCTGGAAGCAGCTATGCTCAGGCCGTAGCAACATATCTGACACGGAACTGGACGCCCATTGGGTCCAAGTCGCCTGGGCTTCCCAGAAACATATTTCCATTTACCTCTAGCATCGAGATAGAAGCACACTTCAAAGCCGGCCGAGGAGATAGGGCGGATGAACTCATTAGGTCTTGCTGTGGTTGGTACCTAAACAACCCCAACGGTACTCAGTCCACTGTTATTGAAGGGTATCTTCAGGATGGATCGTTCGGGTACCGTGACACACGCGGATACCGTAATGACAAGTCCTATATCTCTCATTCACACGGCTGGAGCGCTGGACCTACGAGTGCTCTGGCAGAATACCTGGTGGGACTGCAAGTTGAGGTTCCTGCTGGGTTGGAATGGCGCTTGAAGCCTGTCTTTGCAGGAGTCACCGAAGCACAAGCTGGGTTCACGACATTGAGGGGCAAGTTCCAAGCAAAATGGTCAATTAAAGATGGCCAGGCTACTGTCGCATGGGACTTTCCCCTCAGCACGAAAGGCTGGATTGGAATCCCTGGCATTGAACCTTTTAGAACCAAGGGTAAGGAATATCGGAAGGTCAATTTATAAGGAGGAGCCAGCTAAAACTGTTGGATTTAATTCATTAAATCATTCCGACATACCAACGTTGTAAAGCTGGGCCGTTGTGAACCAATTCATCTGCGACTCTCTAGTAGTAAAGCGTGAACGTCCATTGCTTTCGAGGTCGACATCACGTGTCGACCATAGCAAAACCGTTCGACCGGGACTCCCGGACATCACGAGTCGCATTATCTCATACGTCTTGGTGGCCCGTCCACATTTCAGCTCAATCTGTCTGCTACGCGGGGTCGCAGCGCTGACGCAGCAGGAAGTAGGTGTAATTACACACTCGTTGCACACAGAGCGCCGAGAGGACCCGGGCCAAGAGCTTTAAAATTTTCCTAAAGATGGTGTACAGCAACCCGAGAGCTCTCTCTCTCCTGTGACGTCTCATCCCTCACCTCAATCACTGACATTTCTCGCTCGAATATGACCACCAAGCACGAAATTGATGTCGAGGGCGACCTCATACTCACTCTAAGCCGTATAAGCTTTGACGAGGCCGAAGACGGTGATGAGACGCTGCAAAATGACGAATTAAAAGTATCGTCAAAAGTTCTGCAACTGAACTCGCCCGTTTTTAAAGCCATGCTAGGCGGGAAATTTAAAGAAGGCACCGAACTCGCTGAGAAATCGGCCAGTTCAGCACCTTACGAGTTGGAGCTGCCAGATGACGACGTTGACGCTATGTCAATCCTCTGCCAAATCCTGCATAACGTCTACGTCCCCGAAAGTCCGAGGCCTTTATCGTTAGAGAAGCTTGCGTACATATGCGACAAGTACGAGTGCATAAACGCCCTGAAATACTGCGGCATCGTGTGGATCAGAGACTGGCTTTCGCAGTTCGACGACGAGGTGCCGCACATGAGCGACTTTTGCCATCTGTTGATTTTTGCCTATGTGATCGACCTTCCGGTAGAGTTCTCAGAAATCTCGTGGCGCATATTTCTATATCACGAGGGACCTTTTTCAACGGCATCAGACCAAGTCAAGATGCTGGTGGACCATCCTCTTTTGAGACACGACATTATCAGTAGGTTTAGATCCTTGGAGAATGAAGTCGACGATACTTACTTGTCATCTTCAGGTTGCCTTGAAACTAAAAGACATGAAGCCTGCAACTCGTTCTATAAGGGGGTCATGAACCCCATGATGTGGGATTGGGACACATCGGACAACGTGTGCTCGAGAGCATCAAAGGCTCTCGGATATTACGTTGAAACGCTGCACAAGTCTGACATTCTACCGAGGGATATTGACTTTTCAAAGCACAAATTTTGCAACCTCTTAGATACGGCCGTTAGCCTCCCCAAAATCACGATGAAGGACTTTCCTTGTATGAGGGAAGTTGGTGTTTGCCAATGCCGGTCGAATCGATATTTTAGCCGTAATCTGGGTGGCGAAATTGAGAAGGAAGCGAGGAAGATCATTCAGCAGAGGCGGGTATTTAATTGTCTGGATTGTTTAAAGTCACAAGGCGTCTCAGGAAAGGAGGAGTCGTGTAGAGTGCCTCATTTCTAGACGGCTTTGCACATGTCCTTAATGAAGAAAACCATTGTTGAGATAGCGGACACATATGCTAGCGAAGAAAATATCATATCTTCAGCGGTCACACCCTCCACCAGTAAAACTGCTCTATCGATGTGTCAATTGATGTGTTGCGAAAAGCATAATAGGTTAAAAGGAGTAGACGTGACCAACATCGAGCTAGTTTATGGAAAACAAATTCATCGCTTTTGATTTATACTATCTATAACCTGCGCTGTCGTGCAAACTCATTATAAACATGCGGCAAAAATCGTGAGGCAAATAGTCGTGCGAGAAATGAATATTGCATGAGCGCCTCTCGCTCCCATACAGGAAACCAAACGCCTTCTCTATGCATCAACTCCCATATGTTGTGTAAAAAGGATTTATCCCTTGCTCTTACATTCAAGGGTTCGTAGCATCGTGAACACTGTGCTCGTACTCGGTCAATTTTAACGCCTCCTGCACATCCGTCACGAAATGAGATTCGCCGCCGACCAGATCGATAATGCCGGACTGGCGCATGAGTCTCCAAATATGATGTCGCGGGTTGGAAGGGCCGCGGCTGAAAAACACTCTAACGCCGCGCTCTCTATAACTGCGAACAATCTCTTCCAAAACTTGCGTACCAGAACCGTCTAGTGAAGTGACTCCATGAATGTCGAAGATAACGTTCTTGTTATGATGTTCTCCTCGCAGCCTTGGAAGTGCGGGATGAGCCATGCTTGTACCGTACAGCTCCAGGCGCCGAAGACGTGCCTTTAGCTCGCCTGTGTTGGCAAATGTCAGGGGCTCGGGGATCTTGACAATGAGGCAGCCCTCAACGAATTCCAAGCGATCAGGGTTCAACTCTGCGTTCTCAAAACGGTGAGTGCCGGGAATGCGACCGAGAATTTGGATGCGCGGGCGAGTCGAGTGTTTGATAACTTGAAGCAAAGAAAGGCCAACACCGATAGCCATGCCCAAGGTGAGCGAGTAGAAAATGGTAGAAACAAAGATGATGATCATCAAGCCCAGTTCAGTCCAGCCGCGAATACGCAGGAAAAACGCAATGTCGTGTGGCGCCTCTTCGAGCAAGGACCAAGCGACAACGGTGATCATGGAAGACAAAACGGGTTTCTGGTAAGATCAGTATGTATTGCTAGCTTCCAGGGACGGGAAACTCACGGGAAGATAGTAGAAGTAGGGCAGCAAAAACAGAACAGCAAGCAGACTAATGAGACTGAGAAAGATGGAGCTCATAGGTGTCTTTCCGCCAGTCTGCTTGTTCAACTTGCTTCTTCCGTAACCACCAAAAGCAGGCAGACTCATAAAGCATGCACCCACAATGTTGGCAGCTCCCAAAGCAACGAGTTCTCGGTTGGGGCTTAGCTGAATGCCATGCAAGCTATCTGAGCTGCTGAGACTCTTTGCGGCAACTGACGACTCGAAGAAGCCAAGCAGGGCGATCAAGAATGAAGTTCCCATGGCCTCGCGGATGTGTTGCATGTGCGATGTTTGAAATGGCCACCGGAAAGTGAAGACATGGCCGGAGGCAGCCTTGACCGGTCCGAGGATTTCGACGCCCTTACTTGACCAATCGAAGTGCCAGGAGAGTACGGCAGCAATGACAACGACAAAGAATCGGTCAGGGATGTACGCAACTCCGGGATACTTTGGCTGCATGTGTTTCTTCAACTCGCGCATGACCATCATGATTGTAAAGCTGACTCCAGCGACAATAAAAGTGAGCTTGTGAACATGGTCGAAAGAGCTAAAGATGAAATGCAACTTGTCCATGCTGCTACCATGACCTACGCCAGTTTCCGCTGCGTACTTGGCAAGGCCAAGCTCGGGAATGGCCTGGTCAACTGCAATAACAAAGCCAATGGCGGATATGAAACCTCGCAGGAATGGGCGGCTGAGCACGCTGTCGAGGAAACCCAAACGAGCCAGACCAGCGAGGAAAACTGTGGCTCCTGCCATGCCCGCAACAACACCGCAAATCTTGGCTTGCAGTTCGGCATTGTATTCTTCGCCCTTGTCTTGGTCGATGCTGCCTCTGACCACGGAACCGACCAGCAGAGACCCAGCAGCCTCGGGCCCAACCACCATCTGCGGCGCGCTACCGAAGATGGCGTACACGAAAGGATTGAAGACGAAGGCGTACAAACCGTTGATGGGAGGCACGTGGGCAAGATTATCGGCGAGCGAAAGAGCCATGGGAAGATACAGAGACGCAAGTGTTAACGCCGCGACAAGGTCGCCCTTCAGGTATGACCATTTGTATTGGGGCAACCAGGTAAGCAGTGGGATGTAATAGGAAAGATACCTGCAATCATTTTATCGTCAGTCAAGTCCAGTTGACGTTGGGTATTAGTATCAAAGGATAGCTTACATCCAAAGGGTGTCCTGGAAACCAGCCTGTTCTGCTAGGGTCCTTGACGTAGTCATCTTCTTGCTCTTGATGCTCCTGATGAAGCGCTTTCTCCAATGGTCATCGCCCGTAATAGTGGTGAGCATGGAATCAAGGATGGGAATCGAGGACGCCGAAGACGAAGGCCTGTCGAAGTCGGCGCTCCTGGCGCTGGCGGTAGGGCTCGCAGGTCGCGGGGAGAAGGTACCATTAGCATAGCTTCCCGGATTGTCAATGAGGACATTCTGCAAGAGACTCGTCGACTCGGTCGGGGGGAACGTATGCGGTCGGGGGAGGCTAGACCCGGCGCGAGGGGCCTCTCGGCCCTCGGTCTCGTTGGGGAGGGGCGTGGCCAGTGGTGTCACATCCTCGCGAGTGGTCAGGTATTCAGACTCGCCGCCAGCGGAGCCAGCGACAGAGCCAGGAGATTGAACAGGCGGCGAACCCATGGTATAGCTTTGGCGTAGCCCACTGGGGGTCGCCGGGATGTGCTGTTGCGAAGAAGGACTGCGATTTGGCTGAGGACGGCCTCCCGACATTGTCATAGCCTGGACGACAGCAACAAAAGGAACACGTCGTTATGGGAAAGCTGTGGAAGACATGCGGGTGACGACGGTCGGATTGGCGGGGTGACGAGGCTGGGCAACACAATTCCACTCGGCTCGTTCGAAGAGGTTTCTCTCGAGATGACGAAAAAGACCAAGTAGCGATTTCCGGGAGGTTGATGCAAACGTATAAAGGGCCAGCGTCGAACTGAAAAGATGACGAAGCACGGAAGAGCGGGCGGTGATGTATGTCAAGACTAAACACACGGGAGGCGGCGAACAAGACGGAAGAGACGGTGATACAGTTGACGAATGGCTTGTATCAGTTCAGTGGTGGGATGTCAGGCAGGACCATGGTAAGCGAATTTGTCACGGACTTTGCTGACTCGTCATCCCAGGGCAGGCGATGGCGACAGAAATTCAAACCCTTAATGGCATGGGTGTTGGACAAGTTGGATCTGATCGAACCGACAAGGCCAGCGACTACGGTAGCGACTGGGAGCCGGGCTGGGCCCAGGCGGTCGGCGAATGTTTTTTCTGCAAGGATAATCATTCCGCTCTCGCTCAGGGATCGGAGTGACATCAATGCGTTAGGCCTAAATTATGTGTCAGCGGAACTCGATTCGACGATATGGCGTGGGACGAGCGACGGGGATGGCTGGCTGCTGTTACGTACTGATTGCCTGTCCCTTCCGGGTTAGGATTATGACGGGGTTGTCGGCAAAACCCTTCTGCACCGAACACGAGCGCTAATCTGGATAGGGCACACCGCCTTCGCAAAGGATTAGATAATGCACTCGAGCCACTGTACCCCGCTCCCCGGCCCCTCTCCGACCACGTCTGCCACTCCACCATTGTCGGTGCACCGCGGTTGCCCACGGGAAACTGCATTTCCCCAAAGCACCTTCCCATTCCAGCCATCGACTAGTGATCTAAACGATAAGTCGACTCACGTGACCTATCCCGTGAGTCCGTGTTCAGCTCGTGCCATGTCCCCAGCATTCTCCCAGGGTAATCTTACATAGCAGGACACAGCTGTGCCCCATTCTAGATGACTGGCAGTCGACTGCAGGGTATAAAATCATCTCAGGTGGGATGACTCACCCTATCAAAGCTCATATAATTCATCGCATGATGGACGCCACGGTCACATTAGTTCCAGCAATGTCAGACGCGGGTTGATCAGTCGGCTTCTTGTTTCTTATATCACAAGGACATCTTCACCCTTCGTGGGCCTACCTAGCTCAACGTGGGTTTCAAATATCTCATATATCTCACCCATCGCTAGTTGAATATACTCGGCATCAGCCACTGCATTCTAAACATGTCGTCATCGGTGCTGCGTGGCGCCTCTCGTCTGACAAAGACAACGCATGTTTTTGCCGTGCACACAATTCCGCTCAAGTGCGACGTCTACGCCGCCGAAGACTACCCAGCCACCTCCCCGATTTTTCTATACTTTCATCCCGGTGGGCTGGTTTGCGGCTCCAGGTCATGCGTGCCACCCTGGCTAGTACAGGTGAATACTCTGTGTGGCATTTCCTAATTCATTCTGATTATATGTCAGGTCTGCTACAAAAATAAATGGCCACTCGTCAGCGCAAGCTACCGTATGCTTCCGCAGGCGAAGGCGTCCGGCTTGCTTGATGATGCCCGGGCAGCTTATAAGTTCGCGACGCAATGGGGGGTCAAATCCAACGGCCCCTCTACCGAACGTAAAGCTATTGTTGGCGGTGGAAGTGCTGGTTCGTTACCTTACTAAACTTGGCAGCAATTTCTTGGTAGATGATCTGGATGCTGACTGACCGAGACAGGTTTCTTCATGGCCTCCCTGACCGCTCACCATCTTACCCCGCCCCCCATTGCGTTGATGTCAATCACGGGCATCACCACCTTCCGCCATCACTTTTTCAACTCCTCTGTATTGCTGACACCGGAGCCTATTGTCGAAGCACAAATGGCACACCACTTATCGGCACCAGAGTCTGTAGGAACCACCTCGGCCAATGATCCGCGCGTCTTTGACCTCGACAAGCTACTGCCCGATGGTGCCAAAAACACCAAATTCAACCCCCCCATTGTCCCCATTTCCGAGGATGGAAATGCCGACGAGTTTCCCCGAGGCTGTTTATACGACTACTACTTGTACAGGAACGAATTTGTTGACCTTGTTGGAGACATTGATCCTGGTTACGAGTGGGCCAAATCCGGTGACTCAAAAGACCGGATTGGAGCATGGCCGCCCACGACCATCATTCAAGGCGATGCAGACCCTGATGTTGATCTGGCTGTCAGTACCCACATGGTTGACTGCTTAGGGGAAGACAAAGTCAAGCTTTTCCTCGCCAAAGGTCAAGACCATCTCTTTGAAGCAACGAGATTCCTCGAGGACAATGTCGACGGAATGGATGCAGTCAGGCAGGCCGTCGCCAACCTGGAGTCTGATGTCGTCCGGGCCCTATAGTATCCTAAAGCCATGATTCGATCCGGGTGAAGCCGAACCAAATGAACCAACTGCATACTCGAGGCGCAGTTGAACCAACCGAGGGGCCAGCCAGGCACGAAATCCCTTTGAGGAAGTTGGATAATAACCCCTCTATGCGGTCGCTTGTTGGACCCCAACATGGGGGTCAAAATTGCAATTGAGATGCTTCATCTGGCGGACTTTGCATTGCGTCTAACTCATTATCCACGGCCGGCATGAGGGCATGACGCGGCAGGTTCTTCTACAGGAAGGTCTTGAAATGGACCCCATAAAATGCGCGATGCTGGGGGATGAAGCCAATTCAAGTGCAAAAGGAGCTAAATCTCGACCTCGTTGTATGCCTCCCCCATAGAGGAAGCATTATAAGATAATCACAAAAGTCGTATCATAAAAAGCCTTATAACATTCAAATGAGCCCTCAATGGACCATGAAATCATATAACTGACAAGGTTTCCTGGCATCCACAACCCAAGCATCATTAAAAACCTCCAAATCACAAACGAGAACACCCGGTCCACAGATCCAACGTGATCATGCACAACAGTCCCATTCGTCACTGGGTGAAGATATAGGAGCAGCCCGCAGATCGTAACCCCCAAAACCGAACCAACATAACCCCTCAACCCGCCGTGATTGGTCCCCCCTCCCCTCGCGGCGCACCAACAAGTCACCCCCAAGCTGGGCGCTTCCGGTGCCAATCCCCGCTCCTTTCGGGGGCTGTTTCTCGTCACATCACATTCCGGACCATCACTCCCAAACTTTGGCCCCAGGGGGGAGGGAGGGGGGAGCCAACAAACATCGCGACGAGCTCATTCACCGAACCATCACAAAATTCTCATTAACATCTGGGGGCCGTAAAATTTTCCCCAGCGAATCACCTATCCTGCCTCAACTCACATAGTCCTGCATGAGCCCGCACAATCTCCGTCAGCCCCTGGAGGTGGAGCGAGGGAGAATCGTAGACGTTGCGGCCATTGGCGAAGTGCTACATTGCCTGGATGACATGACATGCACAGTGATTCACACAGCAATATCAGTCTTCTTATGCTCACAGTGTGATTGATAGTCCTCCCTCATTCATCGTCACAAAAAGGCCCTCAAGCACATAAATACAAGGCCGACACGCCCTTCCAAAGATGTCTCTTCTTCGCAAGCTACTCACCATCAGATCCTGGCAATCTGGGAATACCAAAGCTCAGGGGGCAAGCAGTCTTCACAACAGCTTATGCCTCGTGGAAACCCTCTACTCGTTACAATATAAATCACAAAATGTCCGCACTCAGTAAACTCCTCACGTGGGTCGTCGCCCTGGCCGTCGTCTCCGTCGTCACCGCATCTGGGAACAATATCCCGGAAATGGTCCCCCGAACTTTGACCAGTGCAGACGGAACCATCTCGACGATCCTCGTCAACCGCAAGCTCCAGTACACACGGGGCTCGGAGGGAACGCGGCCAGTCCGCCTGACGAAGCGCTTCCCGTTCTCCGCCGGCAGGGACGAGTGGTGCGGCGAGGTAGCCCAGGACCCCGCCACGAACTACTCGCCGTCGGCGCCTTCGGCCGCGGACTGCAAGGCCATCGTCAGATCCCTGGACAACGAGAACGGCTTCTGGACGCTGCAGCCCGGCGACTTTGGTAGCGACGGCTGGGCTCACATTGTGAGCTCGGGCACGTGCAGCTTCGCGGTGAGGCATACCGACCCCGGCAGCGCGGGGAACCAGGTGATAATCGGCACGAACGACGTTCGATTCTACACGAACAGGTACGCGGTGCTGGAGAAGGACGGGAAGCTGGGGTTGCAAGCGATGGTTCAGTGCTACAACGATCAGAGGATGCTGAGCATAATTTGGGGATTAGTTCACAGCTGAAGGGGGCTGTTTCTCAATAAGACCAAGACGCTGTGCTGGAGTGACGGACCTGGAAAGCCATCACTCACTGGCACGGTAGCTACATCGAGACACTAAACCAGATGGCCAAAAATAAATAAAATAAAAATCATACGCTCATTTTCATTCTCTTAATTTCTCATACAATGGCCCAACAGAGACATTACACCACCTCGTTGACGAAAAGTCCTGCCATTCCCTGGCCTGTACCAATGCACATGCTAGTCAAAAGAATCTTCTTCTTCGTTCTGCGGAGCTCACTCAAACCGGTAACGATCTGTCTTGCGCCCGTGGCGCCGAGAGGGTGACCCAGAGCGACGGCACCGCCGCGGGGGTTCATCTTGGCCCAGTCAACGCCGAGCTTGTCACGGCAGTAGACGGCCATGCTGGAGAAAGCCTCGTTGATCTCGACAACGTCAATGTCGGCCAGGGACAGGTTGTACTGCGCCAAGAGCTTGGGAATGGCGACAGACGGGCCGATACCCATGATGCGGGGTGCCAGGCCGGCGACGGTGGAGCCAACGTACTTGGCCAGGATGGGCTGGCCGAGCTTGACGGCGGTAGAACGCTTCATGAGCAGAACAGCGGCGGCTGAAAATATATCAGTATGGAAATCCCAGCGGCTAAAAGTTGACATGACGGCAGAACTCACCTCCATCGGTAACCTGGCTGGAGTTGCCTCCCGTGCTGGTAGGACCCCATTGAGGGAACGCAGCGCGAATCTTGCCCAGGCTCTCGGCAGTGGTACCAGGTCGGATACCCTCGTCCTTGGTAAGTGTGACCTCCTTCTTCTCTCCGTCCGGTCCAACAATCTTGGTCTTGATGGGCACAATCTCGTCGTCAAACAGACCAGCATTCTGTGCCCTCTCGGCCCTCTGGAAACTTTCAGCTGCATACTTGTCCATCTCGTCACGGCTAATGTTGAAGTCGCGCGACACGTTCTCCGAGGTCCAACCCATGGGCTGCATGCAGTCGGCAGACTCCTGCGATTGGCTAACGACGTCCTCGTCGAAGGGCTTGTCAAGGGCATCGCCGCCGACGCTCATGCTCTCGGCGCCGAGGGCGATACCGACCTCGATCGAGCCGCTGGCAATAGAATTGGCGATATCGGCGGTGGCCAGAAGGCCAGAGGAGCAAAATCGGTTCACGGCAGAGGCGCCGGCGGTGTTGGGGAAGCCTGCAGCGAGGGCGGCGGCGCGAAGCTTGTATGCGGCCTTGCCATCGGAGACCTGGGAGCAAGACAGTCAGCGGGAATTGCAACAGACAGTGGGTTTCAAGGACGGGTTGTTACGCACATTTCCCATGCACACATCCTCTACCAAGGCAGGGTCAATCTTGGATCGCTCGCGAACCTCCTTGAGTAAGGCATAGACCATGTACTCAAGGCTGGTATCCTTGAAACCACCCTTCTTGGCCTTGGTCAAAGGAGTTCGAATGGCTAATGTGATGACGATGTCGTCGGGGTTCTTGGATTGACTGTGCAGAACGTATTGTCAGTTTCGTTTCTGGTGGTCAGGGACAGCTGTGTTGAAACGCCGAAAGATATCCGGTACTTGTCAGTGGCAAATCACATGGCAGTACCAACGTACATTTGGTTGATGGCGCTACCTGGGGCCAGGTGCTTCACAATGGAACCAATTCGCTCGAGGGCCATGATTGCTGATGATGGGAAAGATGATACGGTTCAAGGACGAAGGGATGCGACAAATGGTAGAGGAAATGGAGAAGAAAGGAGAGTGAACAACTAAGAAATAAGCTCGAGAGTTTCGTTGTCGGTCATGAGAGGAGGGGGGGAGACCGGTAAAGTAGACAATGGCTTGCGTCGGGGTTGCCTTGGCTGCCGGCAATGGTGTCGGGTTCGGGCCTCCAGGTCTGCCCCAGCCCCTAACGTAGAGTTCCATGGCCCATCCAGTGGTTGTGGGGGAGGCAACTGGACCGAGGCATCTCGGCCAACAAATCGGCCCAGTAACAATGCAGTGCACTGAGTAATGGGGGGGTTCCGTGGAGTCTGGGGTACAGTAGCGCCGTCGGCGATGAATGTTAGTGCAGACCACAGAAGGACACCTATTTTCTTAACAACAATCATTCGTGGTACCCGAACCCCATCTTCTCCCAAGGTTCTTGTCCATCGGTTCATCTGCCTCGTCGGTTCCCGGTCATGCCGACCTGACAGCCCTGTCATTTTGCGCTACCTAGATGATTTGCTGTTGGCCCATCAGATGACATCTTGGGTCAGATCTGAGTTCACGACCACGTTGGCTCCCAAAGCCAAAAGATGGAAAATACAGAGCAAATATCAGAATGAAATAAAAATAAAGTGGCCCAGCCCAAGTGATTACAATTGTCTCAAGTCTCGATACAGAAGGCCGCAGTGATGATTGGGGAAAAGCTTGGACATGGAACAACTATTTGAGGGTAATCCGTTACTTTTGTTCATTCATTCTCATCTTCTAACAAGATTCGTGACATCTATCCAATCCCTTTGGGACCAGTGCTTGATACTCTGTCAAGCTATATCGTGTGCTCGATTCATTCGTCTATGACCCAATCCAAACAGAAAAAACATTAGAAATATGTAAATGCTTTTGGGGATCATTCTTCCCCTATATCCGTCTATATGGTAGGTGTTTATGTCCTCAAGAATGGGGCTGGTTCCCATATCAGCTTCCAACTTGGCATCGCGATCAAGCTGACACCACATGAGGTGCCGCCAAGCTCACAACGCTTCATTACTTTAAAAGCCAAGAGCAATAGCTGCAGAAACGACAGTTGCTGTCATTGCAACAAGAAGTGGCGCTTTCTCCCGCACACCAGCGCTCATATTACCGGACTGGGGTTTCACTCCGGTGCTGCTGAAACCCAGGTACCAGGAACCAATGTCTGTCAGCTTGCCGTCATTGTTGAGGAATGATGCGTTGGGACCGACGTTGCTCGTCTTGGAGCGGAAAGCACCAAAGTAAGTGTAGCGTTCAATGTAATCGATACGGTCAAAGTACTCGGCGCTCATCGTGTAGTACTCCTGGGTGGCTGCGAGTTCCTGGTGGGCATAGGCGTATTCAGTAACCCAAATCTTGGCGTCCGGAAAGCTGTAATATCTGTCAGCAAAACTTGTCCATGGCGTAGGCACATCACACAGGACAGGAAACGTACTTGGCTCTACGTTCGCCAATATGGCTGGCCAGACCGCCAAAGTTGTCGTACCAATGCACGGGAAGGAAGTCATAAGTGCAGTTCTTCTTCTCTCCATCCTTACTAATCAGCTGGGAACAGTTGCCCAAGAACTGGTGCAACCACGGCAGACCACCAGGAGCACCAGTGCAAGCGGGCAGACCGAGCTTGATACCCATCTCTCCTAAAGGAATGAAGTTGGCAACCCAGGCCTTGGCGGCAATGGCAGGTGCAATATCGCTACCGCCGTACTGTGTCGGACCATCGGGCTCGTTGAAGCCTAGAACATGGGTAATGTTGATTTTCTTGTCCTGAATCAGACCCTTTACGGCTTTCAAAAAGGTAGTGTCTTCTGGGTTGGACGAGACACCCCACATCATGGGCACGAACTCGAACTCGGACTGTGGCTTGGAAGAGTAGGCCGGGCTGGGAATCTCCTGGTAGTTGTAGTACCAGGTTAGGTCAGAACCGGTCTGAACCCAGATTTTGTTGTCCTCGGGCCAGTTGGCATTGGGAGTGAAGACAAGGCCGCGTTTTGAAGACCTTGTCTGGGCGGCCACGAGGGGCAAGAGGGCCAGGAAGAATGTGGAGAGCATCATGGGCGGTTGCTGTGGGCGGATGAGACGGGGTACCGGCAACTGGGGGCGGATCGGGTCGGATCGAATTCGAGGGTCCTCCTGGTCAAATCCGGAGACGTCGATCACGGCGACGGGGTTCCGGTTCTCGCAGGATGCTGCGACGAAGGTGCTGTGAAATGTCTCTGTGCGATACTACACGGCTGATAAGATGAAGGCAGGATCCCAGATTTGGTATTCGGCGATTCGGCGACAGGTATTCGGCGATTCGGCGACAGGTATTCAAACTGGCGACAATGGAACGACTGTGGACCGTGGGCGACAAACTTGGTCGAGGCACAAAAGCAATAAGAAAAACGAGCGACTAGGATAGAGATGAATGCTTAAAGAAGCATGCCCTCACGTCCAAAGCGAATGAATTGGCAAGATGGAAACGGACCAAAATGGGAGGCAAAGGAGCACGTAAGAGGGGGGAAGCAGAAGGAGGAAACAAAAGAATAATGTTTGTTTAATGTCTCAGGCAAGGGACAGGACAGGACGGGATAATCTTAGCTTGGCTGTTCCTCATCGCGCCAGGAGGAGGCAAAGGGGAGCGAAGGGGACCCATCCAGTTGGTTATGACTGGCGTTGGCGCTGGCGCTGGCGTTGGTGCTGGTGCTGGTGCTATCGCTGATGCCGCTGGTGTAGGCTGTGCTGCAAATTGGTAGCGAGGTGGCTCTCAACTAGGGAGGTGCGGCAGCCATCCTTCCCGGTTTGGGTAGCAGCAGCTCAGCCCGGCAGCATTCAAAATTGCTGAAAATTCGCTTGCTTTCCAGCCAATGGGTAATCAGTAGTGCCAATAAACACCCAGTTTTTGCCAAGATGGCTGGGCGTTCGCTGTGGCCGGACTTGCAGATACCTGCCTTGGGTACTCCGTGCCTGGCTCACCACTCACCTACACATGTGGCAGTACTTTGTTCCAAGAAACGGTACCTCGATTAGACGGCCGCCTTTGTTCACCGGTCTTGGCACTGCCACCTGAACTGATTGCATCGTGGGATGGTGTTCTTCCAAGGCTTGGACAGACATACTTGGCAATCTCAGCATGTCTGATCAACGAGGTAAGGGATGGCACAATGCCAAGCCAACCATCCCTCTGATGACTTTGTTTATGGTATATGCTTCTAAAAATCTAATATGAAATTGCATGTGGTTATTCACTGCCTGTAAAAGTTGATCAGCGAACATGTTGTTTGATGGACATGAGGAAGAAAACCCATCGAGTATTGAAAAAAAAGAAAAAAAGGCAACCTAATGAAAGACGCGATGTTCTTGCCTCGTGGAATACGACGTGGGACGTGGGATGGGGCGGTGGCCCCTGCGTCGCTCGCCGAGCGCCACTCAATCAAAACCTCTTGTGGGTCTGGTGGATCTGGACCCGCAGGTTAAACTTAATCAAGCGTGGTCTTCCCTTGCCCTCCCGGATCCGGCTCCGTCGGCTGCAAAGCTCCTTCTCTGGTCTCCAGCCTTCCTGCTATGTCTCCTTGATTGAGCACCAAATATGGAGTACCTGCACTATTGAATGCGCCAGGAACACCAGGATGGTACGTACTATTGCCGTCTTTCCTTCTTTCCCATCAATTTGCAACATAAGAAATGGAAAAGTGAAGGAGAGGGTAAAGGAAACAATGTGGACAGCCCCGGACCGTCATTCTTGCCTGTCGTCTCACTCTCCCTTTTGGCCCCCCCTGAGAGCCGCATACACCTCATCCGAACACGATGTGCAGCTTCACACCTTTTACTCCCTAGAATCGTCCCTACCGTTGCAACGGCTTTTTCTTCAGCGCAAAATCTAGAGCAAGGGATGAGTCGTTTCGAGACTCTGTTGGCATTTACTTGCTGTTGGTCGTCTATTCCCTTACCACCTACAAGCCCACGTACCTCTTACAGAACCACATCTCATACATTGACTGCTGCATGCATACGAAGTATCAGCTTCCGATAAGGACTAGTTGACGAACAACTAATCAAGACAGCTGTCACAACAACCATGCTACTGGCACTCTTATCGACCGTTCTTACTCACCTTGTCCCCAAAACCCCATCTAACATACCACCACTATGGCTGATTCTGGCAACACATGTCGCTGATAGCGATGATAAACTTGGCAAAAGTTACTCGTTCATGCTCTTTCTCGGAGATGTCACGCCCTGGCGAATCGCCTTGTTCCCAATCGCAGGCCTCCTTCCATCGTTTGTTCTCAGTGCCCTCCCCATTATCAAGGGATCCCCCTGGCTCTTTCTAGTGCTAACAACCAAGGATGCTTCAAACAAGAGGTCCTGGGTATCCAATTCTTTCCTTTATATTGCAGCTCTGCTTCTTTTTCTTCCATACAGCTTAAAGTCCTTGTCCGGCTCTCAGAAATGATGTCTTATATTTGACACCTATCTTTGATCCCACCCTTACTTGTTCCTTTCCCCTACACTATCGCCCAGCATTTTTCAGCATCTCGCGCCAGAACAAGTGAAGAATATCTTCAGTGCCTCGTAGTGGAAGTCTTTGCAGTTCTTGACGTCTTCAAACGCCCTACACCTGTCTGGGTTTTAGGCAGTTACGAATCCACACTATGATTTCTGGTATAGGGGAGTAAAGTCGTACCAGCAAACCCGGAAATTCTATTCAAAATCTCAGATCTAGATCCTTGAGTTTACTTGTGTTACCAGATCCATGCCTGGAACATCGAATTCAACCTTGACAAAGCGGAGAGCCGTGACTTGGACCATCCAGGCCAATAAGCCTTCTACCCAACAGAAAAAGAGGCCAGTGTGTTGCAGGCGTTTAAACAGAATAGACTGCGTGTTAAGACGGTTAGGGCGCCTGAGGACGACGGGGTATCCGCTGTACATCTCGCATGATCCAGCGGAAGCTTTTAGTCCTAGGTGTTTCGCGTTCTCAGTTAGGAATCCCATGAACCAGATGTCGCAATATGCTAGCAGGCAAAGCTTGCTAGCGAAACCCAGATAACAACCCTCCCAATCATGGGTGATTCGTCATACAATTGTGGATGAGGCAGCGCAAGATGTTTGGATTTTTCTGATCCTTGTGATTGAGGAAAGGGAACATGAACGATAAAAAAGCCCGCCTTTTTGGGTGTATTAAGTGACCTTGTCGCCGAGGAGACAAGGTATTGGGGTACATAGAACGTCTGCGACAAGATGGCCTTGGCCTTAACGGACAACTCAATTCCATTCGTCTTCCCATTGCTAATGCCTTTACTTGGGAAACAATCCCTCGGCAGCACCTGTCACTCGTTTTCTGATGACAGGTTTGGTTGCGTATCGACAGTTCTTTCCCCCTCCGCTGTCGCGTTAACCTGGGACGCCGAATTCACAAAGGCTTTTGCTGAGCGGCTGGATATCGCGAAGAGACATTAGAAACAGTTATGACAGGATCCCTTCTTCTGTCGAGAATGCATGCGAAGTCACTTCCTTCAGCAGTATGGCCATGTTACGGAATGTATCGCCCCTATCGGTTATTAGCGTTTACCACATCAAAAACACTGACATCGACGACAAAAAGGCCTTGGTCAATGATCTTGTCAGACGAGTTGTCCAAAAGGCAATATCTCAAATAAAAACAAGGCAATGTCTTGTCGACGAGTTCGCGACATTGCGCAACGTGGCTGAAAGTCAAGGGGTTCTCCTCGATGAGCAAGATGAGATACCCAACCTGCAAGGGGCAGTGAGAAGCGCCTCGGTTGATCTGAGATTTGACGCCCGCTGGATCGCCGAGCGCCATGTCAGACACCTTATCCACCACGGTGGTCTCGCCGCAAACAAGTCTGTCAGGTACCACTTCCTCCCTAAAACTCGGTGGATAAATATGATTTCCCAGACACTTGCGGATGGATGGTTCTTGCCGGAAACAACCGTACTACAACCCGATTTCATGAAATTACCCTAAGCATCGAGCTTGATCATACCCAAGGCAATGAAGATGAAGACAACTTCCCGTCATCACTCCAAACCGTAAAAGTCGGCCTGAAAAACGCGTACACAACGGGATGCATTGGCATGCCCATGTCGGTGCAGACAGTTCGCCGACCGAAAAACGCGCTTCACATATTGCTCTTACCATGTGCGTAGTTAAGTCAAGATCTTTTAACATAACACTAATTTTAACCGCCTCATTCTAACTTACAGTATAGTCTTCCGGATCGGGCTGTCTAACTAGAAGCCTTACACGAGGATATGAAACTAAGGTTTAAGAGCTAAGCACATTGCTGTCCTGGCATACCTTAGCATAGCTTTTGCCGAGCTGTTAGCATCGAGGACTCTAAAAGAAGGGTAATAGAAACAATAGCAAAGAAAGAAGCATCCCTCTTCGTCAGGAACAGATGAATTTAACATGTTCCTCTTCTCATTCTTATATTCCATTTCCCCACGAGATGCGTTTTCGCTATACGCAGGTTCAAGGGACTGTAGGGCCTTGTGCCACAATAATTTCCTTGGTTGGGCTCTGGGTTGGGTAATATCGGGAGACCCCAACCACCGGAATTACAGGCGGGCTGCTTTCAAGCAAAAAAAATGACCCGCGCATCAGCTTTAACACCTCATAGCCCTGTCCCAGTAATTATCGTATGTATCAACGCCTGTTTGCGCCTTGCATACGCACTTCCTTCTGTGCTTTCTTTGTAAATCACATATCTATCTCCTAAGATCAATCTTTCGTATTCCACAAAACGGCCCTTTCTCTACGATAACTTCTTAACCCAGGCAAACATCTACAACTACCTTCCTACAAACATGGAGCGCGACACCTACAGTGCCCGCACGCTCGAATAGCTCCCTACCCATCCCAGCCAATACGGTATGCAGGCCTTCCGACATACCTGCCTTAATATGATCAGCACTGGCATTCACAAATGGGGTTTCGTTATTTACCGCTGCACATACGAAGACGATGAACTCTGGAACCGCTACCTGGCGCAGCTCAAGAGCTTTTATCACGCCGACCTACTTGAAAAGCGACGCGCCGAGCTGCTGGAGCAGTATCTAAGCTGGGATATTATCGAGGACCGTGCTACTCTCGAAAATGCCTCAAGGCTTGAAGTTAGGAAACACTTTAATCGATGGGTTACGGAGCAGAATGTCCCTACGCTCCCAGCCAAGGCCTTACAAACATGCTCCCCATCCAGCTACCCCGCTTCAAATACTGTGTATACGTCGACAAGGATTGCCTTAATACCCTCCTTCAGTTCCAGGAGGCAAACGACGGTACAGCATTATTTGCAGAGCTCCTACCGCCGATGGTTTTCGCTCTCATTGATCGAACCTGGACACTGGATGGCACTAATGATAGTGATATTCGCGATGACGAGACTGAGCACGAAGAGGATGAAAGCGAAGAGAATGAAAGCGAAGAGGACGAGGAAGAAGAAGATGAAGATAAAGGTGGCTATCCCTTATTGACGATAGCGATCACAAGTATGTTGGGTGGATGTACTGCAATGCTATTTATGTGGGGACTCTATATGATTCCCTTCAACAAGGGGTTTTAGGCGGCCACGTATCCTACCACCGCCCACCGTCCATCTACCCTGAGGACTCAAGATCAATGCCTACTTCTCAGTGAGCAGGCACCACCTCAGTCAAAATTGTAGTATGGGGATTGAATGGTTGTTAAGTAGCAAGATGGACACCCGACTAAGCTCCGATACTGCCAGATCTACGGCTTCTTCTTGTGTGGCGGCACCTTTGTGTCTCCTCTTTAATTTCTTAGCATTGCTATCATGGCGGTAATGGCAGATGTGTTTGGTGGTGCCTGGCGGGAGAAGGGAAGCAAATCGGCGTTCCATCTCGTCTATCATGAAGCCCACCCAATTGCGGTTCTCTCAGCTGCGTGCTCATACCAAGCCTCACTAACCTCCATGATAAGTACTTCGAGGGTCGCAAACTCTGTGACCAACGACGCAAGAGTTCGACTTGCGTCAAACAGATTCTTTCGGTTGTCCTGGACTATGGGTAACATGTCAGGATGATTTAGATAGTTCCATACCGCGATTAGTTATAAAAGACATGCTAACATCAAACTTGCGCTGATATCTCTGGCCTTGATGTTGGCAAGAACATTCTCAAGTGATCCTCTGGAAATATCCGTTCTACGCAGTCATATTACCTGCCAACGTCCCCACTCGCCAGCGTTCCGCTTTCACTTATCGAAAATGTCGTTTATTTCGAAGATATTTCCCTTCATACAATTCAGTTTCCTGCCGCAGAGAAGAATAGGCTTTGATTTTCAGAAGAAATAACCTGTTCAAATAATCAGCCTTGTGTTTTAAAGACGTTTTTACTGTTGCCTAACTTCAGGAGGGGTCAGGGTAGTTGACATGCTCACATCTGCGTTGTGCTCCGCGCCGAGCCATTCTCCTATCTGTGCGTTCGACGCACTGGATTGCGTTCAGTCACAAGACTGTCAGGATTGTTGCAGCCAACGGCTTGCCTGTACAGCATCACATGGAGAAGGTGGCGCGGTGAAGAACATCGAAGTCGTTGAGACTAATACCTCTGACGCAAACCTCGTCCTCAAGGTAAGGGTTGCTTATCGGTCTTGAAGCTTTGGTGGTTAAACGACCCCCTACCCATGCGTCGAACCCTTTTTATCTCGTTGTGATAGCTTTTTTATGGCAGGGCCGGATTCGCTGACAATGAGAACATTCTTGCACCCTACCTTGATCCTGATATTCCCATCCCGGGTCTGTAGGATCTATAGTCCAAGTGTTTTTGTATTTATTCTATAGATCTTGTCAGTAAACTTTACTGCGTTGATCAAAAAAGGTGTTATTGGTTTCCACGTGAAGCTCCAAAGCCACCTGCTATTACTATGTACACTTGATAACTCATGTGTTCAAGGACTAATATCCCAGCGTTATGCATTGCACCTTCCTCTCTTGCACTACCACGGCAAAAAAATGCGCGACAGTGGCGACAGTGGCGACATGGGAAGCCTTGCTAGAGTAAGAATTACAGGAGTGTTGATCTCTAGTTGTAAAGATGGTCATAACCAACCTAAGTAACCTTGCCGTTTAATGCAATCTGGGCTAGGAATTAATGTTAGTCACGCCATATCGCTGCAGATACATCGCGTCCTTGAGGCCACTCCCTTTTTGACTCAAACGCCCACGAAAATGGTTGTATCACTTTGACACAAGCCAATTCAACCTCAATGACTTATGTTCCTTGAATGATCTCATATTTAGTTTGCTTTTCGAGCATCTTCAGAAGTAGGATTGACAGGACTCTCATGGTTGATGCTCCTAAGCTTCAGACCCAGACCATCGTTGTCATCCCGTAAAGCCACCTGCTGCTGTTTGCTCGCCACGTCCATCCAAGCCAAGTGGGTGGAATCGCCTCCCTGCTCCCGCATTGGCTGATCGAACCCGTGATAAAGAAACGGCAACAGAGACGTCTTCCATGTAGGCAAATTCCGCGTTCGCCAAATGGCGAACAAGAGAAGATAGATACTCATGGCAAGCATACCGCCAAGATACAAGACAAACACCCATTTAACAACGTAGTACTGGTCGGTGCCCACTTCTCCTGATGCACGGTTTGGGGAAGCAATCCGAATTTTGTCTCCCATGTATATTGATACGTTAGACAGTAGGTCCTTCAATGTCTTATGTAAAGGAGTCTCTGCCGAGCTTTCAACGTTTCTTCTCCATGCCCATAGGAACATGTCCAAAGCTAAGTTGGTTGAATAATGGCTCTTGGTACCGTTTGGCAGTCCTTCTTCATAGACATAACCTCCAAGAAACCGTTTCATAAACTGACGAAGTCCCTCGTGAGCGACAGAAGACGCCTTATATCGACAACTATTGCTGGAATTCCTCGTATCGCCATTGTTCTCGTTTTTATTATCGTTGTCGTTGTTATTGTTATGGTTGTTGCATGGTCCTTCCAAGACGATATCTTCGCCGCCGATATCTGATGGTTCCACCGCTGCTGTATGGTTTTTAAAGCGCTGCACTGCTGTAATGTTGGCAGACCCAGAGACATTGAGGGCGTTGTAGATGATTTCGGCACTCGATCGCACTTGCCAAAATATAATGCATTCTACGGCTTCTATTTGTCGCTCTAGGTTGTATTGAACGATAGCTGCCAAGTGAACGATTAACCCCGGGTTGTTAGCGAAGGACGTGCTGAATGTGCTATTTTCTGGTAACTTGTGGCTTGGCTTCATATGAACTGAAGCGGGAACAAAGGAAGCTGAGCCGTTCGAATGATTTGCAAGAACACGATTGCTGATGTTGGCTTGGTTGGAATAGACAAAGCCTTCAGAATCGATAGCGGGATGTACACCTTGGCATTCATATCCAATATTCAGCGAAGTGACATTGTGCCATCGGCAAATACCCGTGGAACAGGTGATTGGCATGGTGAGAGATTTTTCGGTTTGGCCCGGTGCAAAATTGGAAGACCATGCAGCGATAATAGCCGCCTGCATTCCAGGTTCCGCTGTCGGAAGGTTAGAGTCAGTTCCATTATAAAAGTCACTGTATGGAAAGATTGAATTCGGGAAACGACGACTTTTAGTATGCCAAGAGATGTCTTGACCTTGAGTGATTGTGTTCTGGGTCGACGAAGACAAATACAAGGAAGCAAGAAAGAAGACGCAACCCAGTGACATGTTTAGTGAATGACTGAGCATCTTCGAATTAGTGATGACGTCTTGCGACTGCCGGCCGAAAGCAACTTATTCAACTCACAATCTGTAATTTGAAAAAAGAAGTCTAACAGATCCAGCTATTCCGCGAGATGCAGCATCAAATGCTTGTAAGTTGGCCACCGGTTTGGGCGAGTGCTGCAGGAAGTGGTGCCATTTGAGCTGACCCATTGCCGCAGCGACAAGGTATGTCATGCATAGCTTCATGGCCGTGTTTAACTGCGCAACTACAGATTGTAGTGTCTTGAACGGCGAGTGGGCGGATTCGAACCAGTAATGATCGTCCATAATCATGTGATCGTAATGTTTCAAAAGCCACAAGTAGATGCTGAAAAGGATAAGACTGATAGCCATAGTGACCAACTCTAAAGTCCACCATCCGTTGGCAAACCTGGTAACTGTTGAAATCCTCCTATCTACCTGCTGATAGGAGGTGCCTGAAGGAGATGATGAGCGAGCTTTGGGTGACATGGCTGGCTTGTTGACACCAGGCTCTAATTTCTTGACAGCCTCTGGAAAAGGCGTTGGCTTTTCGCCTACCCCGGAACTCATATCGCCGTCTTTAATCTATGTCATCCAAATTGATGTCTATGTGTAGAACGGGAAATGGAGGACATAACAAGATATGATTCCCTGAAGCTTCATCCAAGTTTGAAATGATATCAATGCAAAACAGCTGACTTGGCCGTGTCTGCTAGATTGCTCTGAAACTCGCGGTCAAAGGTATGCATGGAAGCAAAGATCCTGATCTGTCCGTAGTTAGTTATAGATAATTAATATCAGAAGACTTCAGCCACTGACTCAGATAATCATTAAGCAAGATGTGTACAACTACTTTAAGAATAGAGGCTTACCCTTACTCTAACTTAGTTATTTGAACAGTATAACGATTTGCAGTTCAAAGGCTTCTATCCTGATTCTTAGTATTTGACTACCAGCATGCCTCGTCGGAGATGCCAGGATTTATAGTGAAAAACTAATAACAGCTTCGAATTAATCCTTTTGCGGCGTGTCTCAGCCCATGTCTTAGAAACTAACATTACATAAGACCAGCTTACATAGCACTCTAAAGATTGGGGTTAGAAACTTACCCAAAATCAGCTATTTTTTGAATGTATGTGAGCAGTAAATGCTAATTACTGACAACTAATCTGGAGAAGATCAGGACCAAAGAGGCGATGATCATAATGCGCTATCAGGTGAAAGGACTCAAGAAAGGCCTTGTACTTAACCGCACAAGAATAGAGGCTACACCAATCGCACATTCTATGACCTAAATGCTCTGCAACCCTCATCACAGTGCTGCTTGCGGTAATGGTGGCTACCACTGAATCAAATTTAAAGATCTATGTTCTGGGAAAGGCACAAACAGGGTGCATTAACAGAAGCCTGGGAAAGGAACACAACTATTAGCTAGATACGAAGCTTGGCTCCGCTGAGGCGCTCCCTAATCTAGTTGGTAACTTGGGAACAGCGGCGGACCAATGCCTTGGTTCAACGCTAGCAAGATTGAGCTTAGACTGACGTGTTCAGCCAGGATGGGAATAACGCGACCGCCTATAAGTTGGAGTAGTTGATCTGAAAAAGAAAAAAAAGAAAAAAAGCGACCCGCAATGTGTTCACCGAGAACGGTTTTGACAGTCATATGTATTAGCAATGTAGACTGCAAGGAGAGCGGTTACAAACTAGTTGCCTTCCTATACTATGGCATCTTAATCAAAATATTACCAGTTGCCATTTCAAAGTTAAGTATGCATACCATTGTAAAGATGAGTTTGTCAATCATAACTAATTATGCCGAGAATATGAGGATTTTGGGGCATATAATGCCGACAAAACCCGTTTCCTAATTGTCACTACATATCGGTTTAATCTGAAAGTATAATAGTCCCTGAGCTAAATTATTACTAGTCTGATGTTGAGTCTTCCACCCTCCACGTTTGCTCTACTGCGATAGATATGTGTAACTGCTGTGACTTGGAGAGTACTGTTTGGATGAATGTTGTGAAAAGTTGTCTAGCAGCTGGCCTTTCCAACTATGACATTGAAGTTCTCAGTATCAAACTGCTGGCCTCTGAAGTACCACCAACCCGGTTCGGGGTAGGAGCATCCACGAATGGGGCACTGGCCGGCCCAGACATATTCCTTGCATTGGGAAAAGATGCTGTAGACATAGTCGGGGATGTTGCCGCACCGACGGTTGACTTGCACTGTCTTGTCGTTGCAAAGCCAGATACCGGCACCGTTGGAGCAGGACACACGAGCGCACACGCGGGGGCCAGGGGGAACGGCACAGTTGGCGTTGGCGATACTGTAGAGGTAGTTAATCTCCCCTTTCCATTTCTGCCCAGGAGGAGCAGTCAAATACTCCATGAACAGGGCCCGCCGAATTGATTCTGAAGCATATTGGAAGGAAGAAAAGCTGTCCTCAGTTTCAACTCCGACACAAATCTACGTGTGCCTGTAGATATTTCTTACATGCTACATCCCCTCTGTCATTGGGATAATTGTCAGAGAACCTGGGGTATGTTCTCGAGTGCTTTAAAAGTGAGTTCTTTGGCATTTGACAGATATCCTTGGTGGGCGTCATGTTACTACAGCTGATTGATATCTAATGTCACAAATATGGCCGACCGATATGGCTGCGTCTGATGTCAACCTCAGGTCAAGTGGAGCTCTGGCTGGGCTGTCCTGTCAGTCGTCAACTAGAGCTATAAATAACTGTAGTGTCATAGTTAACATTTTAACTGTGAGCCAGGGCTTTCGTGACTTTCATTGGGAGAGAATTCTAAACAATGAATCATGTTGTTGAAAAATGGCGTCTTAGGTTAACACTTAAAGGGCTGACCCCTGAGAAGGTATATGATTCCTATGGTGTGATTGATAGGAGATAGTGATATAACAAATGATATATCGTAACCGTATTATAACAACTAGTAACAGAAAAGGGCTGCATCAAGTTGTGATCGACAGCATTTGTAGTTTCTACCCGGACATTTCTCTTTTCCATCATCGTAGTTACAATATCCGTGGTCTCCTGGCAGATAGTATTTGCCACACTGTTCTAGTCAGACATCTACTGAGAGTGAAAATTTGTTTTTATTTTACTTACATCGACATCCACGCAATTATCTGGAGGGGCCTTGCAGTACTGTGCTAAAGCTGTAGTAGCGAAAATGAAAGTTAAGAACCTCATTGTGGTACGTCTAGATGCTTGTTACGCGATGGGCAGGATTGAATGATTAGAAATGAATAGAGAGAAAACTGGCTTAGGACAGACTATTGAAAAGGGCTCTCAAAGGTGGTATTTATGTCCAGTTCTTGCTCAAACTAAGTACTATCTGCTCTGACTTATATACTAGTATTGCAACAGAAATGCAAATAAAGTGTCCGTGAAGTATTATATTAAGTCTTTAATTTATTAAAGTTTGGTCTAATGTAAGGAAACGCCAAAGGACATGACTCGCATCAGAGTGAACATCGTGATGAAGGCACAGTCGGTGCGAGCCGCAATATTGCCTTATTGGCAATTGCGGGCAACCTGCTTGTTACGTCAGAGTTCCCTAAGGAATACTTCGTAGATACTAGGCAGTCAATGTTCAGGCGGCCGGGCGCTAAGCAAATATGACGATGGGACCGTTGGAAGAAACGGCGCAGGAACCGAAATGGACCTGAATCAAGATATGAACGACATTGACTGTAGCAGGAACGGACACAGCGGGCGACACGAAGCGAAAGTATATTGAGAGTGGTGGAAGTCAAGATAGCAGAGCGATACTCTGAAAGCCTTTATAGTTGCTCTGCGACACCCACAAAGAATTCCAATGATTGAGAGAGCGCTCGAGCAGCAGATGGAGGTATTAAAGAGACAGGAAGAGATAACACGCGAATTCAGTGTCAAGATAGAAGAAAATGCGTAGGAGAGGAACGAACACCCTGAAAATTCCCTTCAAGATCAAGCTGGCACGCAAACATATTGAGACTTGCAACAAACGCAATATGCTGCCTGTCTCTGTCCTACGCCGACGTCGCGATCAGCCACTCTTCTCAACCAACACATTTGGCAACTTTCATCGTTCAAAACGACGCTTTCTAGTTTCTCTAGCACGAAAAACATGTCTCATACCGAAGGCGAAGTAATTGATCACGCAGTACCCCAACCCGAATGACATCTGTGGATCAGATACTGCCGAGAGAAGAGATGCGAAATAGGCATTTTAAGGTGGGAACCAAGCATCTCAGGAACTTAGTCTCCGTCAGCATTGCCGCAGAAACGAATAAGGGGTATACGATGGAGAAGCAAGTGGCTAAGACAAACCTGGGACGAGGTGTCCAGGTCCTAGGCAGCGACATTTACCTTCATCAAGAATACCGACGAAAGTGACCAGACAATAGTAGCGTACACCTGTGTGCGGAAAAACGACGCCCACATTGCAAAGATAGCACGGCTCACCGTTGTCTTCGGATGGAACAAGCTAGAAAGAAGCCAGGCAGGGGTGCAGTGGCTGCCAAGTTGCCCGCTGACCAAGCGTGTCGCAAAGATTCCCTGCCACGGCCTAGGGAACTCAGCTACAAGTATAGTAGTGACGTTCCCTTTTACAACAAGCATAAACTACCATGTAGTTCACACAAGGGTTGTTGCATGGCTGTAACTGGAATGTATACGCGGCCTTGGGTATGGAAGTAATGCAAAGAGGAGGGACCTATTGCGACAGAGTTTGTAGAGTTGTGAAAAGTTTGAGTTGAAAAAGGAAAAAGGTTAAAATTAGTAGTTTGCATGAAATAGTAAAAGTCAGCCGATTCGGCAAATTGGAAACTCTATTCTTAGCACGTTTTCCACTCTTGGGCAGTGCGCGTGGATGAGTGTTCCCGATTAGATGCCTCGCTTGCCTAATTTTGAGACGGCATGCCCAAGTACAATGTGCCTGATTGAGGGCCGGTCCGTCTTTAAACCTTCCGATATCAGATAAAAGATCATACAAAAAGAATCTGCCTGGCATATCAGTAACCCAAGGTACCCTTGCGTGCTGATATGTGGCCAACGCCTCTATCGTGAGCACTCTTGATCGGAATGCCAACAATGACCATTCCTGGCTTTATTCTCTTACATCGATTGTGGAACCAAGTTCTGTCTACTTGATTCGTATATAAGTACTACGCCGAGCAGTTGCAAGTTACGCCTTCAGCGAAAGCTCAGTCCCGCAAACAGCATTAATCACTACGACTATATCAAGTCTTCGTAAGGAAATGATAAAATTGGTATTTCGCTGGAACGTTTTTGTTATTGCTAGACCACTCGTTTCTCTCTTATGTCTTTGATTTAAAATGGAGCGACTATAGTAGGCCCTAGACCTAATGTTTCTCTGCCGAGCTGCTCGGGAATTTTCAGGGATTATACCCAGTGCACTGGAGGTTTTCATGTACTTCGTAGCAAGAATCATGAATAAGAGCATCACCCCTCATACACACTTTTTTTGAGATCGTTAACTGAGTAGCGAACAGCTTTTATTGTTTCTTTCGCATATGTCTTACGATGCAACTAGTTAATTAGAGACATCATTTTTCTTGGTTTTCCGGTCCATGGTTGCGAAGTGGCACTCTGTCTCCTAGGTGCGCTACCTACCTATAATTTGGGTGGTTTGTGCGAGTAGGGTGTGTTGTTGTTTTTTATTTATTGGCAGCCGCGGCCTTAGCACCTGTTTGAATAGGAAAGACAGTTTATCTTAATTATAATTATTTATGTCTGGAAATGAACTTGCCCTAAACCCTAGAAAACGAAAAGGGGGAGTGTTTGATTATATAGATGCCGAATACTGGTGCATCTAACTACATACCTAAACAGGTGATGTCAAGCAAGAAACTACTATATACATAGGCGGGTAAGAATGATCTCATCTGGTAGTTTTGTTTTTTCTCGTCGACTTACAACCTGCGAGGATCTATCGCGGGAAGGAAAGCCGAATGTTCTAGGGCAATTTTCGACACTTGATAGAAGCCTCTACATAGCCATGTTATCCGCCCTGCTGCTTCCCAGAATATCTATATGTCTCCATGGGTTCTATAGAAAGATCTTGGCCAGTCATGGAGACTGTAACGCCTGGTAGTCCTCCGTGTTTCAAAGTGTTCGCTTCTTGTCTCATTGCTTCTGATCCGTGATCATTTAAGCTGTTGACTCTTTCCCCCTCTACAGGTTCACTCACCGACGATAGAGCTGTGCGACCCACGCGGGAGAACAGGGACCGCATCGCACGTGTTTTGGCATGGGCTGGGGAACTGATCCATACTTCTTCTCCCTTGACCTCGTCCCCACAAGGGACATGGCCATCTCCCAGCAGCGTGGGCTGCATGTTTAAGTAAATCGTTCCCAGCTTTTGGCTGGGATTTCGAAGACTTGGTGAAAGAATCCTATGTATTTCGGGCTTTCTTGTTATACCACTCCCAGCCTTTGCGATGGATATTGTCTTGCGCGGAACGGTTAAGGCCGTTCATATCGCGGAAATAGTAAATATTAAGATAGACGTTGTTCGTTGCGGTCTTATTACCCAACCAACTGCTTATCGATTATAAGCCGAACTCCGTGGCGCGGGCTTTGAGCTTTTCGTGCATGGCTCTAAAGTAATTGCTGAGTTTCATGAGAAGCCGGTCCAGCTAGTCAGAATTGAAACCCAAAAGTGGTTCGATTTCGGTGGAGAGTTAACCTTACATTTGAACTACTGACATACTGATGACGGTGAGTGCGCTCGTTTGATGGGGCAAAAACAGAAGTAAGGGACATCCTACAACAATGAGATTGAAGTCTGGGATAGAGTAAATGGTGTAAACGGTCAACTAATAACTCATACTGTTTTAACAAGACTCGGTAGCCGTAATACAAGGACATTAGCTCATTTTTGAGGAATCTTCGCAAACAATAAAAGCCCGGAATCCTCTTCATCACAGAAAGAGAGGTCAAACCCCTCCATTTCCGACGAAAAGGTAAGCTCATCGTGCAGGAGCACTGCCACTCAAGCATACCACTTTCTGCCTGTCTTCTCTCCCTCGGTCTCAGGATGCATTGAAACATCCAAGAGATTGTGAGCGTGGGTCGAAGGTCGACTTGTCACTCTGTAGTCTTTAGCTTCCGACTCTGAAGCGATTGGCCTAAGATGAACAAGATTTATGACATTTAGCGTTTTACATCACGGAGGCTTTGCAACTCCGACTAGCTTAGAATGCTAAATTGATTAGTTGCGACATATTGGTTTCCAAACTAGATGATTACTATCCCAGAGTTTACCTTCTCCATGACGTTTGCGACAGTTCGACAGGCCGATAGTCAATTGCTTATCCTCGGCTGAGATATGTTCACTAATCCTACAAAACTTAATATATGCACGCCGACTACCTCCAAAAATATCTTTTACAAAGTAGATGAATCCATCGAAACGCTCATTCAAGCCTCAAGCGATGTGGTGTCTTCCATTGTTGTTGTTCAGCCGCAAACGAAACGCCGGCCTAGTTCTTTAGTCGAATCCGCCATGTCATCGCTCTACTCAAATATCGTAGAATGCCAGAGCATGCGCACATAAATCCAGTTCGAAGAAAGAATGTCATTTTCTCGAAAAAGAAAAGAAAAAAGTTACTTTAAGCAACGAGAACAACCTAAAGGCATAAGAGACAAACCTATGCATTTGCATCTGTCTCATCGCAGTTACCGCTAGTTTCCGCTAGAGAATCAGCCATAACGTGGACAGCGAGCTGAAATGCTGTTGAAACCACGCCATAAGCACCCCCGCTAAGCCAATTTCAGCTGGGAATATGCACACAGTCGCCATAATATGGTCGCAAAGGACCATGTCATACGTCGTACGACAAATCGTTTCCAATCGCCTCTGTTAAGCCAATTGCTGTGTTTCCAAGGGTTAATATACATCTGTGGCTTCGTCGCTAAAGACTAAAACACACATTTTATAAGGACATAACGTCTACGTCCTAAGGTGTTTAGTAGGAGTGCATAGGTTGGAGCAAAGTTTAACGGATCGTCGTATTGAAAACATTTGTAACGCATCATTTTCAGACTGTTGACTTTGGTCACACAGTGTTTCTCCTGGTCGTGGAGCCGCCCTATCAATGCTTGTTTGGCTGCCAAAGAAGGCATATGCTGTGATTCCAACCTAAATTGAGAGATATCCAAGGGCCAGATTAGTAGTTGTGTGATGTTCTAGTGAATTTAGCAGTAGCATTGAGAAATTAGAGCCACTGCAGTGCCGGGTCTGAGGCTGTTTCCGCTCGTGTCGAACATTACGAAACCTTTAGAGGAAACCAGCCCAATCAAGGGAAAATGAGCGTTTTTTTTTCTAGGCGTTCTATTTCAACTTTGACTACTTAAAGCGCTTTGCACGACATTTGAAGGCTTATGATTACTTGATTGCCCTAAGGTCAAATTGCGTCCTGAAAAAGACCCTGTAGAATTGAACAGCGAGGTAGAATAACCGGAATTTCGGTTCCTAATCCCTACTTAAGTTCTTGTTCAGAGCAGCGGATGCTCCAAAACGAGCTTGCCAAACCGTCCCAAAACAGCAATCTTATGAATCTGTTCCAAAGCGTCTTCAGCACGGCCTTTGAATACCTCCACAGAAGGCATGACGAATCCGTTACCGTAATTCTCAACACTCCATAGCAACGCCGCCCTCATCCTCTTAAAATCCTCTGGCCGGGCTGGCACCGTCACGGTAGGCTTTCCAGGGAAATTCATCTTGGACTCTCTGTCGGCACACGCGAAAATGAACTTGAAACGTTTGTCGGGCTGCGGAATAACGGATATGAAGGTCGCCTTGTCCGATTCCTCAACACATGCTGCCATCTGCGCTGCCGAGCTTGGCTCCTGCTCCGTGCCGGGATAGCCGGCGCAATCGGCCGCATAAGCGATTGGGCCTGCTTTTAGCTCTCCCACTACAGCCTTTATTTGTCCAGCAACATCGGAGCTGTTGTAGTCAAAGCAGTAGGTCGCGCCCAGCTTCTTGAGAAGTTCATGTCGTTTGGGGGACGCAGTGACGAGGATGGGATGTGCGCCACTTGCACGTGCAAGTTGAATCATGGCGATGCCGACACTAGTCGCCCCGCCCCAAACGAGGAGCGGACCAGACCTGAATCCTTCGATGTGTTTTCCGCTGGGGAGGGAGTAACCGGTTTTGCTGTAAATTCCATCGGCAGCGGTCATCAAGATGGTTGTCAGAGAAGCGGCCTCGACCGAGGTCATATTCTTGGGTACTTTGAAAGTGAGTTCTTCGGGATTAGACAGATACTCTTGGTGGGCGCCATGTTTCCATAGCTGTCCCACACCGAAAGGCGTAAAGCCGGCAACGAGATCGCCGATTTTGTACTCCGAATTTTCGTTGGCCTTGACCACATGACCGCAAAAATCATATCCAAGGATAGTAGAGTTGATCCCTAGGAGAGGGGCGTGTTTAACGTCGGCTGGGTTGACGCCTGAGTACAGCACCTTGACGATCAATTCGCCTTCTACCAGCTCTGGAACTGGGACGAAACGAAGAACTTTGAATTCGTTGTTTTGGTCCACAAAGAGAGCCGGTGCAGTGGAAGTGGTTGGCAAACTCATTGTTAATTCGTTAATGAAGACGGGGCTGGAGAGTAAGGATAAATAATGGAAGATCAAGATAATGTCTAATGAAGTCTATAGTCTCTTAGAAGCAATCTACAAAACACAGCTTAGGCATTCCTTAAATATGTTTTGTAGACCTTCTAAGACTGTAACGACTTCTATAACTTCTCCGCCGCTTCGGCGTCCGATAGCCCCATATACGCAGGGATTCGGACATCTCTGAGTCCGCCTTTCACTCAAGACAATCCGCTTTAGGGGAATCCCTGAGTAGGTGCAATCGCTGTTTCCCAGTGCTTATTGAAAATCTAGTAAAAAAAAAAAAAAAGAGAAAAAAAGCCACATTTGATTATGGCTGTTAAGGTGGCAGCTCTGATGATGAGTAGTAATGAAGAAGTGGCGCACGATAGCTTGGTGCATTGCTAGGTATGTAATGGGCTCCGGGCCGGAAGCAAATAGATACCAAACATTTGTTGGCTTTGGTAATAAATATCATGCTAACAACCGAATCCCATTTTAAACTTTCTAATGCGCACTATTGCTGTAGTTGGAATTCCGGGTTGAAGTGGCTCTATGACCGCCCAGTTGCCGGTTTGCCGGCGACCCAGGCCTCAGTAAAGTGAATGACCACCCCGCAACCGATAACTGAAAATATTATATCTCTCCCATTCACTTCAATACACTCTTCTACAGATTGTTCTTCAACGGCCAATGTGTTGATTTACTGTACTGAATCGCTCTACTTACGCCCCTTTGAGTATCTTACGAAAGTAACATGCCCTCTAGTCAAGCAAGTTCTCAAAGCGCTCAAGGTTTCACCGCCAATTTCGGACGGCATATTACTGGCTCCAACAGTGGGTGCCTGCATGTCCCTTAGTATGGAATAGACCGTCACAAAATTTTTGCGTCTATCACCAGCACTAGATCAACTTGAGAAGTGGCTTGACTCTGATTGGGATATTCCATCAGTTGCCAACCTACGTGATTTTGGATTATACTCAGTCTAACTCAGAACATGTGCTTTCCTGATACTCTATGCGAAGAACTTGCAGACAATGAATCATATTGGCCTATTCCTCCCTTGGCGAAAAATAGCGTCTTAGTCGGCACTCGGGTGGTTAACCGTTGCAGGTTTATAATGTTTTTATATGGCGCACTTGATAGGAGCTAATGATAGAACAGATAATGCGTTGTAGATCTTATTATAATGTCTAGTAGCAATAAGGGGCTGCATCAAGCTGTGATCGGCAGCATGTCAGGCGAGTACCGGGGCATTTAGGTTTTCCGTCGTCGCGGAAACAAAGCCCGTGAGGTCCTGGGGGATACCAATCGTTGCACTATTCTCGTTAGGCGTCTGCTGGGAATGAACATTTTATTTTACTCACGTTAAGCACCTGGCAGCCTGACGGAGGGGGCTTACAGTACTGCGCCAAGGTTGTGGTAGCGAATATGATAGTGATAAGCCTCATTGTAGTACGTCTCGAAGTTTGTTATTGGCGGGCAGGATTTGTAGGTATACGATGGGTGAAATAGGGGAATTTGTGATGCGTTACTCAAAAGGGTTCGATAATGATGGGTTTTTATGGTCTTGTCCAGTTCAACTTATAGACTAAGTATTAGTTGCTTTAAGTTACCGACTGAAATTAAAACATAAACTCAAATAGATTGTCTGAGGAGTATTAAATGAAGTGTTCAATGTACATCGGTTTCGCATCTTGTAAAAAACTTGTGAAGGGCATGACTCGTTGATATTACGTTGAACACCGTTATGCCAGTACAGCCGGTACAAGTCGCATTGTTACTGGGTAACGGCAGGCAAGCCTATTGAGCAAGGCTTCCCTTAAGAAAGCTTCGTAAACGTCTAGACAGACAATGTTCATCCGGCCGTTCGCAAAGCAAACTAACATGGAGTCTGATCTGCAATGTGCTACCTTATCTCTTCTCGGCGCTGACATTGCGTGATCAGCTTGCCGACTCAACTACGCATCATCTAAATGCTATCATCGTTTAAGACGACACTGTCTAGCTTTTCTGACAACTGATACAGCACGGGTAATGCGCCTCACGCCGATGCGCATCGGCGTCGCCTGCAAGATTGAGGAGGGGAATACGATAGTGAAGCAAGTGGCTGAAACAAACTTGGCATGGGGTGCTGGGTCATCTACGATGGCATCTTCCTATTAGAGCGGTTAACATCTATCGATTAGAATGCTTGATGATAGCGGAAATATCCAGATTAGTAGTGGAAACCTTTGCGCGGGAGAACGACGCCCAAATTGCGAAGATCGGATGGCTCCGTTGTGAAAGTTAAAATGTAATATATTAGCACAAGCTAGAAACTTGGCTAGGAGGCACAGGCTACTGTATTGCTGGCTGACCATGCCGTCGCAAACCTTCACTGTTGCAGCCTCCTTCCATAGAAACGGCGTCCCCCTCTACAGCCAGCATAAGTTTGGACTTAATTCACACCTAGGTTGTATGACTTGAAGTGAAATGAATCTTCGGACCTGCATGTGAATGGAATGCATAAGGGGAAGCATCAGGGCCAAAAAATAGAAGAATATAAAAGTATGACTAGTTTTTGTTAAATTCTGACTCAAACAGAGTTTTCTCCTTTAAACTAACATGGACTATCATGAACCGCCGGTCAGGCGGTGCACCTATATTGTGAAACTCTATTGCAAATTTTCAGGTTTAGGATAGTGCGCATGATCAAGCGTTCTTGAATGTTCGCTCGCCCTTCTTGACGTTACACACTTAGGTCTTTATGCTGGACTAAGTTTCGACGCTGCTTTGAATTAGTGAAGGAAGGTTCTGGTTTGGTATCTAATGACGTTAGACACTCTTGCTTTTGCTAATATGTACCCAGTGCCTACTGCCTGAGCACTCCCTCACGGCAATGTCAACACTAATGGATCCGAGCTAATCTTTCAAGTGCGAGTGTCAAAAGTAGCTCCACCTTCTTGATTCGTACATAGCTAGATGCAAATCAAGTATTTGGCGAAGGCTAATAACCTATGAAGAGAATTGGCTACCAGGCCTTAACACCAAACCTTAAGAATGTAGTAAGCGGGGGTAAATAGAATGATACACATTCAGTTGGTACTTGATTGCGCAAGTGTGCGGTGGACAAAGGTGGGAAGCAAATGCTTAAAAAGAAGATTAGGCTCAGGGCAGGGGTCCACTCGACCACGTGTGAGCACGGCTTGTGGGGCGAAGACATGAAGCCATCACGACCTCTATATAAATATTTCAAAAAGTTTGAAGTTAAAGCTACACCATCGCGACCTAATTGGAAGGCAAGCAAGTGTTATAGACCTGGCCTTAGTACACAAGATTATGACGTGATTAAAGATTGTATAAACCAGAGAACGGACTCGCCGATACCAATACATGCTGTACCATTGCTTGATTGGTTGGGAGACCGTGTGAGCTACAACCAGCCGGGAGGGCAGTGAAATTCGTGATGCTGCCGACAGTAGCAGTAGCTAATGCTAGCCAGAAGATCGCCTTGGACGCCATGGCAAACGCCTGCAAAGCCTATGGAATGAGGTGCAAGAGCCCAAAGTATCCAGCAAACTTCGAACGACCTCTTTCTTCTTAACGCCTAAGGCTGTCTTGGCAAGCACCAGAACATTTCGAGACCCCCAGTATATGACTGAGAATCTGTCGAACGGAGCAAATATTGTGATAGTCGAAATTACGAGTTGAAGTGGCTCCTAAGTGGCCATCCAAGTGACGAGTAGACCGGAAGGGATATATCTTCCCAACCACTTCAACCCGTACCCTACGAGAAATTCTAACACATACACAAGAATAGGAGACAACTTTACCCCCATGTTAGGGATCCCACCTAACGGAAACCCCCCGTGAGCCCAGCAACAAGCCCACAATGCTCACGATATTTCCTGACCCGTGTCGTTTGATTCACTCCCCAGTGGGTTGTTATAACGCCCTGCACGCTTATTAGATCCCTAGTTTCCACTCTACGATCTTGTTGCCTAAATTTTCGAGAGGAGGGCCGGGCCGTCTCGGGGCACGAGTATTAACGCTGCTGTGCCGCAGATGAAAGTAACGCCTTGTTGGAAAGTGGCATGGGGATGGAGTTGCATCCTCGCCAAGACTGTTCATCTCCCAATGGTTCAAACTAACACCCTCATATAAGCCCACCATCCGTGCCTGCAGCCTGCATTCGGTCACCTAGCTGGATAGGGGGGGGGGGGGGATCAGCGTATAATGTGTGGATTCTGGAGGTTGCAGCTGGTAATCGACCCAAAGCTTGCAGCTTGCGAAGGCCGCTGAGCCCTGGAAGACAACCCACCCACGAGAGATATCTGCTGAGATTCACTTCTTCGGCTGGACTTGGCAAAAAGAGGAGTTCCTTACCGTAATGGACTTTCTTAATCACGTTCAAGGTGATATTACTACGCAAGGCTTCCGTACCCTACCCGCGCCTCCTCTACCTAGAATACGAATCCGCAAAGCGGTGGCAAGACCCAGCTACTCTAGAAGCAGACCCCGAATGGCCACTGGAAGTACTATCAAAGAGGCAACCACCATGCTGGTGCTTTTATTGAGTCAGGATCTTATTGAACATGATTTCGCCCATTTGCAGAGTTCTATTCTGGCTGTACCGCCAGCTAGGACTGGCTACCTAGGAAGAAGATAAGCTAGTAGCGCTAGAACTATAGCATACACTCCTATGCCTGTTTCCGAAGAAAAAGATCGACGGATAGTAACGGGCAACTAAGCCTTTACCTGGAGAAGTCTCTTGAGCCAAGAGCTCATAACCGAACTCTAGAGGAACATGGAGGAAGACTGCCAGAAGAACGGGTTTCGATTGAATCTGGGCAACCAGGTTTAAGTTTGCGGTGAGTCTGAGGAGAGTCTAGAATCGGGATCGAGACGAACCTGCACGGCTTAGCTGGCTAAGGGAACATGAAAACCAGGCAGAAGATGGAAAAAAAGGGGAGGATGCTGCGTCCCTCCCTAGTGACTTAGTTTACGAGAAGAATGTGAGATGGTGATGCAAAACAAGTCCAAACCCACCCTTACGGATGTTACACCCCGGGGCCATCAAAAGGTGTTGAGTAAAAGACAGGGGATGTCCCACACGTCCCAAGGAGGCAGTAGCAGAGATGGAAACCCAAGTCCCAATATTTCCAATGGCCCCTTGCGGAGGAGCGAATTATAACCTACGTTCTAAGACCCAGGACAGCTAGCTGCATTATCTTGGCAATAGCAGTGGTATAGTCTGATATGGTAAGGGGACATAGAAATTCTCCTGCTTCCCTTGCGCCCAGCAATCACGTATACGGAGAAGATGATGCTTACCGGGTATCCGCATTGCCGTGCCGAAAAATTTATCCGTCAAAGCCACCCAGCGATTGATTGATCCTATCAGCGAGGGCCGGAGTGTGCCGGAGACCCAGAGCCAGACACATGGGAAGCCACATGCAGGGCACCGAGGGAATGGGCAGTAGGGTCGAGATTGGGTTGTTCCCGAGCCACGGATGCTGGCTTTCGGCCGAACCCCCCCCAAAGTGGGAGTGGGGGGGCGGCGCAGGTCAGAAGTTTATCCAGGCATTGTCGCATCAGCCCGCGTTTTAACTTTCACCTTGAGGTACCTTGTGACCGGATGATTATTGGACATGTTGAGTATTGCTTAAAGTTTGTCTTCCAACATCTGTATTCTTATGAGAGTGCCATTAGAGTAGCGCTGGCTGCTGCTAGAGCAACCAACTGCAGGATGGGGGTGCTCGTTCAGGACTTATCAGCCTGTAAACCCCCAAACGGCCAGGGCCCCAGATTACTTGGCAAGTATCCATCATACACTACTGGTGGGCCGTGATGCTTCCATCGTTGCAGCCAACGATATGAATCAGGCCACAGGACTGTACGAGCGTAACTCAGCCCCCCATCGCCTACTTACTCACGCAGAGTTCACAATCCCAGGAAAGCGCGCGTGATTCCGTGACGAATTGCTTTGTCAATTACTCTATCAAAAGAAGCACACTGCCACCTTCTAATTTGCCCTCCTCGAGACAATGGAACTGCAACCATTGAATCATGCATTCCATATCAATCCCATACTTCCTCCCTCCCTCCCCGTACTCACCCCAGTTGCGGAACACTTGAAAGATCGCTCGCGGAAAGTTTCTGCCATGTTAGAAGAGCCCAAAAGTAACAGGCCCCCCCCTTATGTGATGTGCAGCTATCACCACCAGAGCCTTTTCACAGGCTCTGGGTGGAACGGACAGCTTCGCTTGGATGCATGTTGTGACTAACTGACTGGCTTCCCTGTGCCAGGAAAGCCAGTCGAAAATTCGGAGCCCAAAACAAAGCTCAGAGGAGGAAATCTTCAATTCTTTAATCAGTTCATCTGGTCCATGTCGCTTTCCTTCAGGACTTGATGAGGTTGTGAATGCTGCAACGCATCGTCAGTCACTCGTTCCATACTAAAAAAAAAAAAAAAAAAACATGCGGGGTTATAAGCATACCTAGGGTCCTCTTGCGAGGCCGGGCTCGGGCCAGCACCGTTGGCAACAAGGTTCTTGGAAGCCTTTGCCTGTTCATTCGTGGCGGCCGCGTCCTTCTCCGTCTGGTGCAGATCGCTGAGGTGCTCAGCGTAGCCGGGGGGCACTGCGGTCTTGTACTGGCCGCAGAAGACGCCAACCTCGAAGTCTGTGATGTCGCTCTTCTTGCCCTCATCTACTGCCTCGAAGCATGCGGCCTTGAGGTCCTCGAGATCTTGGTAGATGACCTCGTCAGCGCCGATAAGAGTGGCTACTTGTTCCGGCGTCTTGCCGCGAGCAATGAGTTCTAACGTCCGTGTTAGCATTTGCTTTGCATTGTGGGAGAGAGAGAGTGATAGCTGGAAATACCTTTCGGGTCGGCAAGGTCGATACCATGCTAGAGGAGGACAGTTAAAAGCGGATCAAGCGTGTTGAAAGGTCCGAAGTCTTACGATGTGGGGATGTGTGATCTCGGGAGAGCAAGAAACAAACAGAACCCTGGTGGCTCCCGACTCTCTCGCCATTTGGACCTAGGTAGTTCGCGTTGAGTTAGCGACCGCTTTCATTGGTGTGTGATGCTTCAAACCCGCACAAACTGCGAGTGGTGGAAGGATACGTACAATCTCGCGGGAGGTGTTTCCTCGAACAAGAGAATCGTCGACAAGGCACACGACCTTGCCCTTGAACTCGTCCGTGATAGGAGAGAGCTTGCGGCGGATACCCTTCTGGCGCATCTTCTGGTCGGGAAGAATGAAGGTACGGTAGACGTAACGGTTCTTGACAAACGCGTTGGAGAAGGGCTTGTTCAGCTCCTCGGCCAGAACGGCGGCTGCCGTGTTGCTCGTCTACATTCAACATCATCAGCCAAGATAGCCCGCAACCAACAGAGGGGGGAAGGGGGGTGTCGTGAGGCATCATGTTGTGATGGCTTGCTTACCTCCGGAACAGGGATAACTAGGCCAATGTCAGCAAACTGCTACTCCTTTCGAAATATGTGGAGTATGAGAAGAGCTCAAGCCACTTACTGACGTCAATATCCTTGATCGCCTGCTCTCCCAGTGTCTTCCTCATCTTCTTGGCCAGCTTCAGACCCATGCTCTGTCGGCTGCGGTGTACTGACAATCCGTCCATCTTGGTGTCTGGGCGAGCGAAATAGACGTACTCGAAGATGTCGGGAGTGTAGGACTTTCTCTCGACGATTTGGCGGAAGTGGGGGACGCCGCCCTTCTCGATGAAGACGGCCTGTCCGGGGAGGATGTCGATGATGTCGCTGAAGCCGAGCTGTCTCAGGGAGATGGACTCGGAGGCCATGAAGTAGTCCTTGGCACCCTTCAAAGTGGCGGAGGGACGGGAGCCGAGGCAAAGGGGTCGGATACCGTTGGCGTCGCTGGAGGAGGGAGGCAGGCACGGTTAGATCTGGGGCTTGCCAGGAGACGGAAGAATCAGCGGTGATGATGAAGGTTACTCACCGGAAACCGAGAATACCGAAGCCGGCGATCATTCCGGTGCAGGCGAAAGCGCCGTGGCACCGCGCATACACCTCGCGCAACGCAGTGAAGACATCGTCCATGTTGGCTCGGTTCTTACCCAGCTCGTTCAGGGCGTAAGCGTAGACGTTGAGCCTAGCATCTGGTCGTTAGCAGCAGCCCCTACGGAACCAAGGCCATGGCGAAATCCTACAGAAGCTCGGAGTCGGAGTCGGTGTTGACATGACGGTGGGCCTCGTGGTCGAGGAAGGTGAGAAGCTCTCCGGGGTTGACGAGGTTTCCGTTGACGCTCATGGACAAGCCGAAGGGGGAGTTGACGTAGAAGGGCTGAGCCTCTGAGCTGTGTGTATCGCAAAAAGTGTTAGTAGAGTGACTGTATGACGAGGCTCTGCACACAGCATAGCAGCATCCCCCCCTCCCTTCCCTCAAAACCAGGAACACCTATCAAACAGCCAAGGAGGGTTAGTCCATGGTGGGGGCGGGGTGGTCGACCTACGCGGAAGAGGTTCCGGCGGTGGGATATCTCAAGTGCGCGATGCCCATGAAGCCGGGCAGGTTGGCAACACGGCGACCCTCGTCAAAGACCTTAGCAGCCATACCATTGCCCTTGCATTGGTATACCCTTCCGCCCTGGCAAACAGCGATGCCCGCAGCATCTTGCCCACGCTATTGCGGGGTTAGCGGGGTAAAAGAATTACGGGCATTATCTACACCCGGTATTGAGGGCGAGGGCTCCGAGCTCGAATTTCGGTAGGACTAACATGTTGAAGGAAGTACAGGGACTCGTGGAGATCGACGGCGGCTGTGGTGTCTTTCGAATCACCCAACTGGAAGAGGGGGGGGGGGGGGGAAAAGTCAGCCTTTTTTTGTCGCAAGCATCGCGGGCTTGGGGTGCGCGGGGCGCGGGGCAATTTCAATTGGGCTCACCAGGATAGCGGAAACGCCGCACATGTTTGCTCAGGGTTTTCCGAGTATTTTTTTTGTCGAAGAAGATTTACGGACGACTAAAGTCGCAACGACGAAAAAAAAAACTGCCTTGGGGGCGGTATGGGTGACGCAGAGCCGCGACGCGAGGTAGAAATACCAACAGGCGATTGGCGTTTTAGAAGCTTTGGAGACCAAAAAAAAAAAGGTTAAAAAAATAAAAAATAAAAATAATCGACCCAAAGATTTGGGCCGATCTCGCCCGTGAGATCCCGTGTTCTAAGTGGCCGGGCTTAGTCATTTCCGGACACTTACCTAATTGGTTCCTTTAGCCACCAATACGCAGTATACACTACTCCGTAAATAGTGGGTTAAATAAAGACGAGGTGTTGGTTGGTAACCAAACCGAAGGGGAGGAGGAAAAAAAAAAAAGCCCTACAGACGAAATAAGTTTAAGCTGCTAAGGCAACCCGGGGCGCAAACACCAAAACAGTCTCGCTAAGAAGAGGCATGTTTCCCCGGACCCCGACCCCGACCCCGACTCTTATCCGCTCTGACGATTAGGGAGGGGGGTTCGTCTCCACCAACCGCCACCTGGACCTGGGTGTAGGTAGTCAAGTTAAGTGATGCTTCTAGCCAACCAGCCGACCGCCAGCCGCCGTTTCGGCCGGCAGTTTTCTCGCGATCCAAGCCGACTAATCAGCGTCCAAGCCGATGAATAAGTGAAACACAGCTCGGATAAATGAGCCTCCTTAATGCTTCGATACTATTTTGAGATTCCAAAGTAGGCTTCTGGAATTGTTCTTTCGCCCTTCCTTGAGGTGGCCCCCCCTCCCCTTGTTTCTTCACTTTCACGTCATTTATAACTAACTCTCAAGACTTGTCATTGATTACTATATCCAACGCTCACAGGCCAATCAAAACACATCGTGCGCGATCAACGATGCGAAATGTACCATACGTTCAGGTGTAAAGATGTCAAGCAATTATGATTATCAGGAGACTATCCCATATGTAACAAGAACCAAAACCCGTATCCCAAGCCGGTAAAAGCAAAGCGAAGGGTATAATGCTATGTGCAAGCCCACCAAAAATGTTGTATTCCCGATTTCTTCTTAGCCCACCCACCCGCCGAGGCCGCCGGTCCGTACCTGTACCATTGTCCGTGTTTCTCTACCCAAGGCCACTCTTACATGAACCTGTCCAGACTAGCCCCCTCTCTATCACCCAGTCCCCGAAACACGCCGTGCGGTGCGCTCTTCATTGAGCTGCCGCAAAATAAAACAAAAAAAAAGCCAAAGGACCAAATGTAAAATTGTATGAAAAGTCTGAGAGATAAGGAGATGGCGGGAATACCGCTGAATAGGGTGTGTGATGTGATGTGATGTGGTGGGGCGCGAGGGGAGTAAGACGGGAAGTGAGCGACACAAAGTACCAAAGTGATAAAATATTGATCGGTTGGGAGACTGCCGAGGCGTAGGATAGATAAGCGATGTTGAAACGTAGTGAGATGCTGTCGGCAACTTGTTGTAGATAAGCCACGAGGCTCGAGGGTACCGAGAGGTTGCAGTGCTTGGGAGAGTTGGAACGGAATTCGGTAGTAGTGAGCAGTCGTAGAGGAGAATAATTGCGCAGAATGCAGCCAAGGTAACGCCCAACTGTCCGGGTGGGAGCTGCAGTCTATCCCTTCATTGACGGAATAAACAGCTCCAATAGTGGGTGCAAAGGCTTCCAAAATGAGAATGAAGGGTTGTATGGAGTGAACCTAGGATGGTGTACGAGATTGTCGCTAGGATAATTCGAGTCTTCGTGGCCGTAGTATGCCTTGTTTTAGCACCGTTATCGTCATAGATGTACCCCCTCCAAAGTCGGTGTCATAAGAGCCAATCGATCCCGGCTCTTCTCTTCGACTTCGTGATGGAGGGTCGGAACGGACGCATGGGAATAAAGTGAACCGCGCCACCCGCCTTCGTAAGGCGGCACTCTGCGAATGGTCGATTCCGCTCCAGTGGTGGGGTGCTGTACTTGTTTGGGCTCATGTTGTTGAATGTTTGGTCTTTCGTCCTCCACTACGTATTTTCCATGGACGCATTCGAGACCTGCTTAGCGTGATAGATTGAAGTGATGTGTCTCATGTGAATGGACCGGGTGAGCCCTTCAACCCATGTCGAAACTCGCGGGTACGCCAATGCACAGTTTAAGAGGGTTGGCGGGAAGGCAAGCGAGTGGCCAGAAGCAAGCTGACTCGGGAAGACGTTTGAGACGACAAGGTTCCATTCCATGGGTGCTAGGGGCAGACGGATATGGCGCGGTATCGTTGAAGTCTCCTTGATGCAGATGATGTACGTCATGCAGGCCGGACGGATGCAGGTTGACCCTCCGAAAGACGATCACCGGATACACACCTAACCCTTCATCCCCAATGACTTGAGCCAATGAGAGGGCGAATCGCGACAGGATCGAATAGCTGCATGAGCTGCAACTTCGATAAGCTGAGTCAAGTTGTGAACAGAGGATTCGACCGTAGGTAAGAAGGAATAATCCAGCGCCGCCAAGTCGGTTGCTTGCCTGATGTTAGGGCTACTGTTGTGCTGGAAATCGACGGAAATGCCAAAGATGGGGGAGAGAAGAAGACCAGAATATTGAATCGGAGGGTATGGGCTCAGCCGGTCGGTGACGGAGAGTGGAGCAGGTACATCGGCCGATAATAGCGGGGCGTTGGCCGTCTATTTCGGGAAAGGTGAAGGCTGTTCGGGGGTGTCGATTGGTCTGCGCCACAGCACCTGACAGTCCTCCGGTATCCACCCATCCACACCGGAGAAGTCAAAAAGACCGGGGGGTGTAAACCCGTGAATGCCTACACCACCACACCCTCTTCCACTTCCTATCCTTCTCTTTAAGCGTTTCAGGCCATGCCATCCAAGGAGCCAAGGGGCCCTCCCCAATCAAGTTAACGACCTGCAACCTCTCAACAACGCCATCTCTTCAGGGCCCGCTGCTCGTAGTGTCTTCCTTCAGCACCATCTTCCTCTTGTCCCCATGCCTCGTCCACGCGGTTGCTTTCAGTATGCCACACCCTAGTAATGGTAGTGACTCACTTTAAACAGCCTGACAGCGCTCCTCGAACGGTTCATCACGCTTGTGCCTCACCAGACTCGAAGCAAGTCACCCCTCTTCTCCGGCTTCTCGCTCACCTGGCCCACTACCATACGCTCCCATTCCAGCCCGAGGGCCTCGCGGCTTCAGGCCCGCTGCGCCCCGTCCCCATAACCGCCACCACCGTAGACTTGATGGCTGGGGGCGTGGTGCGCAGTCATGGACTGATACTGCTCGGCATATGTTGAAGGAGCATGCATCGCTGGGATGGTAGGGTCCCATCGTCCGGGCGCTGGTGGAGGTGTATGTTGGTTTCCAATCGGTGTTTGCAGGCCGCTGCCATATGAACCTGTCGTCATCGATCGACTATCATATCCTGTCACAGCTGGAAGTGGTGCGGCCAGACGGAGCCCAGATTGTCGTGGGGACACTGCTGTAAGCGCAGGCGAGAGAGTTCGCGGGGGGCCTGTTGAGTACGCAGGCCAGCTGTGTGTGCTGCCCGAAATAGACCGCGGAGAAGTCAATGCATCCTGGTGCACCTGGGGTGGGACGCCGTAGGCGCTGACATGATCTGAAGCCACCGTAGGGGCAGGAGGCGTCGGCAGAGGGGGGTATGCGCTGACAGGCGTAGGAGTCAGTAAGTGAGTAGCCGGAAGTGTAGACGAAGGGCTGGCGCTGTATTTTCCAATGATCTTCTTCAGGGCTGATTCCAAGATCTTCCACGGGAACACCTTGACGTCTTTCTCAATGTTTCTTGGTTTGGGGTTCGGGAAAGCCATGATGATCTTGAAAAATTCTTCCGAGTCTGCCTTGGCCTTGCTCACTGTCAAGGGCCGGAAGCCTTCCAGGTTGCGTCGGATGCGGTTCTTCTCCTCGACGGTAAATCTAGCTGGAGCAACAACCAACTGTTCGAGGAGATAGATGGTATCTACCGACGTGACGTAGCACTCGTTCTTTTCCGCCCACCAGATGCAGCTGATGCAAATGCTATTAGGCGGCCGTTCGTTGACATTGACCGCTCGGAATGATGCTGTAAGTGTGGAACCAGATTGCTTCTTGTTGAACATGACGATGCGTCTCCGGTTAGACCACTCCTCGGGTGACCAGTCCACAGCCATGCTATCAAGTTTTCCCATGATCTTCAAGACGGCCTTGTTGGAATAAGAGCCCCATTGGCTATATCCCGAACCCTGGCCCCCTCCTGGGGAGCTGGGAATCGAGCTCGTGCGTACAAGCTGGGGAGTGGAGGCCGTCGGCATCGGCAGAGAGGTCAAGCTTGGGCGTGATATCTGCGTATGTGTAATGGGCGGGCCGGGATTTCTACCACCGTACGTCTGCCAGCCTGCCATCGGTGGTCGCAACGGCGGCGGCACAGCACGTGGATAATGCTGGTCCGTAAAGGAATTGGTTCGGTAAGCGCTTAGCATGTTGTTATTATCTTGCGAAAAGTTACTTCCATATGGGGTTTGTGTCGGTTGCTGCGGAGCAGTTGCGAAGTCGTAGGTATTTGTACTGGTCTCATTGCCCAGGTGAGTGCTTGCTGACCTGGGGGACTGATGTTGTTGCTCAGGTGACTTGGATACCTTCCTCGTGATGTCGTCCGAGCTAGCACCTGGGCCTCCCAAAGGTGCTCCGTGATATACAAACTGGCCCGCCGCCATCCTCGAGACTTCTTCTCCATTCTCCGTCTCAATCAGCAGCGACACTGGCACGTTCTCGTTGGGGCAGCTGGTGACCTCGAATGGCGGTGCATCCGCCGAGACAGTCAACATGCCGTTGCTGTCCTGAGGGTCTTTAATGGGCTCTGCTGGAACCTTGTTTGCTCCGAAAATGAGGAAGAAGAACGGTGCCATCGTGAGGAGATCATATGCCGATGACACTTTTACCAGGACTTTTGTGCCCACGATGCCAGAGCTTGGTTGACACGATACCACTGACAAGCCAACATTGCCAACAGACATGTACGGCCCAACCGCACTATTGGCCGCGAAAGCCTCCTGGTTCAGCTGAGCAGCGGTGAGTTGAGCTGCGCCGCCATGCTGAGCGGGATAGGTCGGCGCGCCATACTGTTGATAGGCGGCATCCTGATACCCGCGGGTCGAATCATACCCTGGGACAGCCATATCATATTAGCGAGCCGAAATAATCATCGACACCTGGTCCCGAGCAAACGATGCCCTGCCTGTTCGGTGGACTCTCGCCGATAACAGACACACACAGGTCTAGATGGAACATACCGTGGATTGGGCCCGGCTGGTGCTTCCCGTAATGGGACATGGGGAGGAGACCACCTGACGGGGAATCACCCCGAAGGTCTCCGTTTGCCCTCGCAACCGCCTCTTCGTACTTGAGAGTCACCGTCTCGGGTGAGTCGAGGCCTTCCTCACCGATGATGATTGGCCTCTGAGGATGAAAGTCTGGCTGCTGTCGGTGAGGAACAAGCTGTCAGCCTGAAAGAGCTTCTTGGACCAGTGACACGGGGAGAGTATTGTTGCGTACAAGCAGCAACAGCGTCTCGGGAGTGGCTCGACTCAGCTCTCTGATGATGGGTTGACTCACCTCGAAATGCTTGTAGGAAGCACACTCAAACTTCGCAGCAGACATTCAAGCTGTTGAGAAGGGTGCACTTGGGAAAGGATGTCTGGCCTGGTGTCGGGAAAATGCAAACCACTGTTTCGGGAGCGGTGTTGCAATGACAGGAAGAAACTACGGCCTTGTGGGACCGTCGGGGGACAAAAGGGGGAAAGGGAGAGATATGTCTTGAGATTGCTGTGATTAGATTGAAGTCCAGTCTTGTTTACCAAATCCAGGCCAAGTGCGAAGGAAGGGAGGATCCCTAATAGAGGCGGATCAGTCTCAGTAGATTCTTCCGCCAGAAATGGTTTGAGACACCGTACTCAGATATGTGGATGGCGTTTCCGAGCTGGCAAGAGGCGCTAGGAAACTGCGAGGTAGATCGACTGGCCTGATTCTTGCCGGGGGGTGTTGATACAACTGGAATCAAGGACTTGAAGCGTCGACGTGGCTAATATTGCCAGGCCAGGAAAGATAAACGACGCGGAAATGGTAGCAGAGTAGATGGCCTGGAAATGGCTGAAAAGAATATCCAGAGGCGGCAATCTTTAACCAAGACCAAAGCCTTTGAATGGTGGGCGTTGCGCGAAATAGACTTAGACCGATGTACCTGTCATTGGTCGCTGGGGCGCTGGCAAACCGAAATCTGAAATCGACTTTCGGGAAGACCCAAAGATTCCAACGCGACGGTTACCAACTGAAAGGTGCTCGCGCCAGGACTGGTTTCTTTGGAATGCACGTCAGCCGGTGAACCAAATACTGAGTGTAGGTGCTGCTTGACAGGAACTCCTGGTCAGGCGGGAGAGAGCATCGCGACCATCTCGGCTGCCTGCTGTCGTTCGTGGTCCTGCGGCTGGTGCAGGTAGAGGAAGGGGATCACGTACTCAACCGTTGGGACCAGGGTGCTTTTTGAGAAAGGGACCCAATCACGGCTCGTGGTTTTTGGCAAACAGACTGCCGTGGTTCGTGATGCCGAAGGTGTGGAGCTGGAACGTGCTTCGTTGGTTCTTTCTGCAGAGTGAAGGTGAACTTGTTCGCAAGACTAACAGGCGGGAGTTAGAAACAGGCCCTCAATGGTAACAAGCCCAAAGGTCTCGCGGAGCCTTTGCACTTCGTCTGGCATGAAAGGAGGCGAACTTGCGAAGCCTACTAAAGCCGACAGAGGTGTGGTGCGCCGGGATGCTTTGATGAGCAAAACAGAGAACAGGCCCAGTGATGTGGAGGATGATAGAAAGAGAAGAAGAGATGGGAGGCGAGAGGGAGAAACGCGGACTCAGAAAGTCAGACTGTGTCGCTGATTTTGTTGCGGGGGTGAAGTAGGTAGATGAGGAATGTTGATGAGGCACGGGGAAGTGGTGTTGCATTTCTTGGAGAGGCCGACTAGTAGGTAGTCAGGCAGTGAGCACTGTCTCCTTGCAGGCTCAGGTACATGTTATGAGCGTGAAGCAGGAAGCAGGACGACGACGACGAGTCTGTGGCGACACAAAGGTCCGGCCGGGGAGATCCACACGGAAGGAACAGGGACCTTGCGAGGATGGATATTGCTTTTTCTCTGCTTGCCGCACTAACAGAAAGCTCACGCACCAATAGCTTCGTCTTGGGGATCCCGGCGGCCCTCCCTTACAGTAGTACCCCTCGTCGTTTCTTTTTGAGGAGGACTCTGTTTTTTTTCTGCCCTGGCAAGTGCAGGTAGTCTCGGGTCGCGGGTGACTTTTGGTGGTGGTGGTGGTGGTGGTGGTGGGGGATGAGGAAGAGGCGTCCAAGCAAGGCTCTGAGGCCGGGTGACATTTGTGGGGATGAGGGGAGGTGAGGAAGAGAGGGATGGAGGGAGGGAGGGGGGTATGATGAGTACAGAATATACGGGCCACAGCACTGAGAGAAAGGATATGCAGTAGGAGGTGTAGAGAGAAGAGACTGACAGTCCGTCAGGGATGCGGGCGCCGTTGAGATGCGAGATTCCAAGTGTCTTATGAGCTGCAAGGTTCCATTGATCTGAAGAGAAAGGGTGGGGGGACGGGAGTCAGTCGTTCATTGGGGGTGTGTTGCGTGTGTATGTGTGGCTGTATCCGTAGGCAGTGATGGATGGGGGCCACCTTAGCTGGCAGAAAAGCAGTACGTGATTTGGAAATGCCTGGGCGAGAGGCAAAGGAGACTGAGTGGGCAAGGGAACAGGGCTGTTGTCACCGTGTTCATGTGTACCTTTGGCATACTAGTCGGACACGGCAAAGGAGCTTGGCCATTCTGTATCCTTCATGGGCAAGACATGGGGTGTTCGTTCTAGGAGGCAAGACAAGCAAATAAGGAGGCCCTCCATGCAAGGAGACGGAACGAGAAGAACTGGCCGTACTTGCCAGGGAAGAAGGCAACGGCCGACAGCTAGAAGCACCTGGCAATGACAAATGATGGGGACCATAGAAACCCCGGGACGAGAATTAGGTATTCGAGAAGAGGGCAGGGGAGGGGGAGAAAAAAAAGAGAGGAAGGGCGAGAATGAGGAGAGGAAAAAGGAATGTTGAATTGCACTTACTCAAGATCGGCCGTGATGAGCGGTGCAGTGCAGGCAGAGCAGAAAAAAGCACTACCGGGGCAATACTTGCTGCGTTGGGTACGTACACTTCAGAATGTAACAAAAGTACGGATACACCCACTGAATACAGCCGGTGCAAGATTGCCGTGTAAGTCGGTAGGCTGAGGGGTGGAAGGAGGGCATGCGGCCCTTGCTTGTTGCTGCTTGGCACCTCAACTGGCCTGACGCGGTGGGAGGGCTTAAGCTTGAGCTTGAGAGTAAGAGTGAGGGCTAGAGAGAGCGAGGAAGCAAAAAGGGAGAGGGTGTGTATAGAACCACGAAACAGGCGTGCCCCCAATGACGATAGAGGAGCTGTAAGCGTCGACTTTCTGCGAACCATGGATTAGAGTGATTGGCCATAGCTCTGGTAACAAGCTGCGGCGAGCCCAATGAGCAGACGGGTTGGGATGAACAACAGGAATGGAAATGGCTGTGGCATGTGGCCAGGATTTGATGGGACCGGGGGCCGTCTAACGGCAGGGAGGGAGCGGCAGTAGCCTGTGCAATCGGGACTCAAGCGGCACGCTCCAGTGTCACTGGATCTGGCTTGGATACTACCGACCGGCTGAACCCTTGCATGCGTCCGCCTGCCCTCTCCCCCCTCCCCAAAGCCTTGCACCAGACCAACCTGTCAACCGATGTACATGTGTCCATGTATTGGAGCAAGCGGCCAATCACGGCAGAGATATGCTGGGTTATCACACAGGTAGACAATTCTCCTTGTGCTTGTCCCAATTCATAATGGAGGATGAAAGCGTGAATAGGGATTGGGGGGAAAACGCGTAGAGAAATGGGAAGATGACTATTACAGGGTACAGAAAAGGTAAGGCCAACGCAGCAAAAGAGCCAGAGCAGGGCACCCAAGGCATGCAATGTAAGGTGCCAGAAGGAGGAAATGGGTACCCCTGGATATGGGGACAGGTGGGAAAGCAGGTCTAGTAAAAAAGAGGAGACCGGGAGATCCGCACCAAGGGAGGCGTCCCAAGCTATGGTGCGTTGCGGGAAGTAAAGATGAGACGTACATCTGATCCAGCCACTGATGCCCAGAGAGGGGACGTAGAAGCTAGTCTCTTACGTTTGTATCGCGATGGTCTTTTTTTTACGTCTTTTTAAGGCCTTTTTTGTTTCGCAGTGCCCGTCTTTCTCGCAGCTCTAGTGTTGAAAAAGACGAATAAGATTGACTAGAATGTCAAATTGCCGCAAATCAAGAAGCCAGCACCCGGCGGCAGGGGTCAGAGAGTATTGGGTTCGTTCGGCGTCGTCCACGGCCGAAATGAAAGCCGATGAAGACTTCCAAGCCCAAAATCCTGTACAATGCAAGCAGAAGATGAAATTCGTCGGGCCTACTAATCCAATCAGTTGTCGGAGTCGCCTCGGCTACTTGGGTTACCGGGGCGTATCTGCCAAATGACGATCTCTGATGCTGGTGTGGAGTGGGCGCAAATTATCCCGACGGGAAGAGGGCCTGTCAATATGTTAATACGCCAGGGCTACTGCACTGCATCCGACTCTGCTTATTTCTTTCTATCTTCTTGTGCCTGCTTTGGGTCACGATCAGCAAAGCCAAATGCGATGGGATACTGGGCGCACAGACCTGCAACACGAGAAGGATACAAGGGGGGAAGGGGGGAAAAAACAGACTGGAATCAATAGAGAGAAGCCAAGAAGGAACTGGCGCCGTTACTCCCAGGGTCCTCTGCTTTCTCTCTCTCTCTCTATCTGTCTGGTGTCTCTGCACGCTTGCGTGTTTCTGTTTGTTTCTGTTTCTGTTCAAGGTTTAGAATCGGAGCTTTCTTAGGCCCTGGTCTCGCTGGCTTGCCTGACCCCCGTCTTATTCGGTTGGTTTTCTCTTGAGATGCCCTGTCAGCACCAATTGGTCAGCCCAAAATGTTAATAGTGCAGGTGAGGCACTCGGTCCTGGGGACGATCAGTGGATTCATCCTCCCGCTGGAGAATAGCGCGACTGCAACCTCGGCGGTGGGTGAGAGCGTCGTTGGGTCAAGTCATTGATTTGACATAGCCATGGCGGCAGATTGCGACTCCAGGCACTACGGGACAGAATAGACAGAAACTGCATAGCTGCACCTTCGGTCCTGTCACCAGTCAACTCGCTCAAGCGTCCTCCCTCGTGCTTGTAAAGCCAAGGCCTAAGCCGGCTTTCCTCTGCCCTCAGTGGTCTGTTGACTCTCGTTCGGTGACCCCCCTTGCAGTCGGCTGGATGAGGCAAAGCACCTGCACACAGGGCGGGATGATCGACGGGTAGCAAGCCAGACGGCGACGCCTGTTGGACGGCCAAAATAAAGCTTGGCATCTTTCCTGACCCAAGAAAAATTGAATGAGATCGAATCCTCGTCAAATTCTTTCCGAGCAGCCCCCCTGGCGCAGCTGAATGACACAACCCTGAAGAGCAAAGATGCATAGGGGCCCGTGTTTGGGTTCGGCCGTGGCGTCGCCGAGGCAAGGCAAGGCAAGCAAAGCTTACCCAATACCCACGTCGAGAGTGCAATGTCGCCGACACCGATATTGTACAAGGCTCGTTGTGAAGCTTAGGCTACAACTGCGTTATTGCGTATATCGTGCACGGCATGGGGAGGCTTGTTGCCTCGAGGTGCTACTTGCATGCCACGCCGCAACCGAAGCATGTTTTTTTTTGCCAGGGCAATCTCCACAAGGATAGACGACGCGCACCAGGGCCGTACGGCTGCCAAATTATCGTTGTTTGCGCGCCTTGATGAACACATGCCCGCAGGATTCAGGCTCGCATAGGGGAACGTGGAAGGGTGTCCTAAAAAAAAAAAAAAAGAGAGAGTTCAAGGCTTACGGATTCGGCAAAGCCTGGCGTTTTCGCGCTGTCTCTTGCGGGAATAGGCGGGCTTGTTTCTGTCTGCCGCTGTGTGTCAATTTCGCATCTCTCCGTAGTGTCCGTGTCTCGCTGTCATGTCAGGCACGGACGTACTGTTCGTCGTTTTGCTCCCGTTGGATGAGTCTTCTCTACGTCAAGTCTAGTGAACTGGCGTCGGCTGGTTCCTAGTGGGTGCCGGGGAGAGGCACCAAGCAGTGAGACTTATGTCTGAGCTAGATGCACAGTATTTGAGTTTGATGGCTATAGCTTGGATGTGGGTGAATTGTGATGCCGGCGGCATACGTACACTGAGATACGACGTGTCGATGGCGACAACGACGGGGGCGCTCCCGAACGACTTAGGTCAATCAAAGAAGTGGTGAGAAGGTGGTTGACGGATTTCAACAAGAGTCAAAATTCACAATAGCTAACGACTAGTCCCGGAGGAAGAGTTTTAGCGCGTGAACGGGCAACGGATGGCTCAACGTCGTCGACGATACCCGGGGAACGGTTGCGGTCTTATATTCAACGTGGGCGGTTTGGGAATGGTCGAAGGCTGTTTTGCCACGAAGGTCGCACGGTTGACTTGGGCCAACATGGCATTGATTCAGTTGTGCTCTTCTCGAAAACGTTTGTGTAGCCATTGATGCGAGTACAAACAAGTACCGATGTGAATTGGCTATGGTAGGTAGAATGGAGCAACAAGGTACCGTCATCTTCCTCCCAAGCCATCTATCTGTGCCTCATACTGGGGGGGAAAGCCAATCAGGACTGCATCGCGTTGCACTCATTTATTCAGAAACTTGCCCCAGCCGCCCATTCTTGAAGATGCCAGGTGACTGTTGAAATAGAGTGACTTGGGCGGGGAAGTGAAGACAGTTTGGTCTTGACGAGCAATGCATCAATGACTCTCCGAGGCACAGATCATGGAGCGTTCCTCGAGGCCGGCGACGAAA